ACATTGTTGGATGTTTTCTGTAGGATTCAATTCCATGGGGTTTCTTCTTATATTTAATTACATTACGCTTGTAAGTTACAATATCGGCTTTGTTGGAGAAGATAAATATGCCCCGCAACGCATATCCCTCAATAATAGGTTAAATGATATGATTATGGATGAAATATATACACGAAATAATATCTAATTATAATTAAATCAATAGGAATGTAATGTAATCTTTGAATGGATGGAGATGAGGAAATTGAAAACACCGAAGTTGCTAGTAGCTAGCTTGCGTTTCATCAATCACTTAACGCCCAAAGGGCAACTTCAAAGGGGAAAAAAAGAAGAAAGGAAATTGAAAAGGCTGGATGGTCTCTCTTTTATTTATGACTCAAAATTATTGGAATATATCATATTTATTATTTTTTGCGAACAACCAAGTTTATTATCAGCGAAGTAAAATAATTTCCAATATATTTGTTTAAGGGGACCAAGGGAAACGAAAAATTATGCGGTTAAACTAAAATATTTTTCTAATACAATTTTGAGAAATATGGTGAAAAATACCTCTTTTAGAAAACTCATTTGTAAAGAGATTTGATACAACCCAATTTCCACTGAATAGAATCTTGCCTCAAATTCTTTATATCTATTTTGTCAAGTTCTTTAATCATGCATGATTGATTTTTGAGAGATAAACATTTAATAGTATTTAATTATAAATTCACATGAAATAAAAAAGAATATAAAGCTATGTATAATTGAAGAATTTAACATAATGGATACGAGTAATTTTGATCTAAGTTCTTAAATAAGTTATTTTTACTAATTTTTCTTATAATTTTTTTGGGGCGATTTTTGCTGATCACACATATCTAGCAAGGGAAGGAGACGTGGTGATGGCCGTGGAGGAGGCATGATACAGAAATCTGAGGTGAAGTTTAATTTGTTGGTTGGATGTGTGAGTCCCGTACACGTTTGTGAAGCCCCTTCATTCTCCGTCTCAATCATCATCTTTGATTCCCCCCTTTCTCTACCAATCCCACTTCAATTGCCATTTTTCATCTCTCAACGCCTTTTTCTGTTTTCTTTTCTTTTTTGTTTTTTAAATTGAAATTAATTTTGCGGACTATTAAACAAATAGCCTAAAATAATCCGATTCTACCCTACACGGCCGCCCGGCCACTCTGCGATTGCTATCTATAAATTGCACAATCCTATCCGTCTCTGTCCTCACACCCCAACGTCCTTTTTACTTGTTTCCCCGTTCTCTTTCCTTCGTCTTCCTCAACTCATGGGTTTCCTCTGATTTAACCTAACCCTCACGCCACTCTCGCCCTCTAAATAATAATCCCTTGCAGGTTTTGTGGGTGGCATTCTTAGAGATGGAGAAGCTCCCCAGCTTTGTCGTCAGTGGAGGCGTCAAGCTTCCCATTGGCTACCGTTTCTGTCCCACCGATGAAGAGCTTGTCATTCACTACCTCAAGAGGAAGGCCTTCTCTCACCCCTTACCCGCCTCCGTCATTCCCGACTTCGACGTCTTCGCCGCCCACCCTTCCCGCCTCCCAGGTTCTTCTCTCGTCTCTTTCTCCCAAATCTGTTTTTGCGCTTGTTTTTTGGGGGCACAGAACTTCTGCTTGAGATTTCGCATTGTCTTTCCAAGAACTCGAAAATTTTCATGTCTGCTGATTTGTTTCTCTTCTCTTGTTTGAGGATTTGCCTAAATTGAATCTAAATGGTCTGTTCGAATTTGTTGATTGTAGGTGTCGGTGATTCCAAGGAAAAGAGATATTTCTTTAGCCATAGAAGGGAGCATATTCACAAGAGGCCTGCTGCTTCTGGGTACTGGAAAAGCATAGGCAATGACAAGCAAATTATTGCTTCTGAGAACAACCGAGTGGTTGGGATGAGGAAGACTCTGGTTTTCTGTGAAGCCAAACGTTCCCGTGAGGCTCGTACTCGGTGGGTCATGCATGAATTGCGCCTTCTTCCTTCTGAAACACCTTCCTACCCATCACACCAGGTAAAAATGCACAAGTACAGATCAGTTCCCATTACATGTAAACATGAAAATTCACAGATTTAAGAGTAATGCCCTTTAGATATGGTCCCTTTTTTTCCCCCCTGGTTTATCAGTACTTGATGCCAATTTTCAACTTTGAATTCAAATTCAGGTGGCAGCAGCAGATTGGGCTGTGTATCGCATATTTCAAAAGAGGAAGCTTAAGAGAAGAGGATCTAATGGTCAACTCTCTAATATGAGGAAAGTTCAGGGATTAGAGGAAGAGATCAAACCCAGTTTCATAGATTTCACAGCGGAATGTGGGAGTGACACAGGACCTCCCCCACCTAGTTCTCCATGTTCAAGCGAAAGCAGTGAAATCGCTTCTAACAAGCTAGATTAGGAGGAGATAAGGAGCTTGCATTAATTAGGTTTTCTTTATGATCATCATTATTATAGAGTCACTGAGAAGTCCTTAGGATTAGATAACTCTTCATGGAGCATTTATTTTCTGTAAGAGCAGCGCAAACAACTGAGTTTATTAATAGTACTATTCAACTAACTTGCTTTATTAATGTGACATGATTACGGTGGGAATATAGTTTAGAATACTCATGGCTGGTCTGAACATGAAGCTTTTTATTATCAAAAGGGACATGATTTCTTGGGGAAAAGACGATCCAAATCCAAAAGTATGATAATAAAATGCAGAGAATGGATGCGAAAGGTAGGCATCCAAAGCTAGAAAGGAAGAGGGTCTGTATTAATCTAATGGTAATGATGATGATCTTTGTGAAAATAAGAGATGCTTCGTGCCGTGCGTGTGTGAGCTCATGGCCTTGACGAAACACATGGTGCTGCCTACTGCTGAAGTCCCTTCTCAGCATCACGGCATCACCACACGCCCTTTGATTCCAATTCCACTTCTTTTCACACCACAGCTTCATGCTCCATTCATACAAATGCCTCCTTTCATATTTTAAAAGACAAAAGCCAAATCTTTATTTCCCCCCTTTTTTTAATTTGGATTTGGGAATAAAGAAGGGCCTCTTTTGGTTTGAGAATAAAGAGGGGACGTAAAAGCAACCAAATTATACCCCCACGCGTCAAAATAAAATTTATTCCCTCTTTTCTTTATCTGTATTTTCAACAAAACATGAATAGTAATTACTCCTATTTTGCTCAGATAATAAAATAATGTGGAAAAGACACGTAGGCCCCAAATAATTTAGATGGTTGGAGTCTAAAAAGTTTTTGTTAAAAGATGAGCTGTATTTGTTCCAGCAGTTGCAAGTTATTTGAAGTGACTTTTATGAAACTTTAATATCTTACAACTAAAACTTTCATGTTTACAGCTATCTAAAATAATATTCATCGCTCATTTTTACCCAGTTTTTCATCTGACTATCATTAATTTATTCATTTGGGATCCAAACGTCAATCTATCAAAATAATTGACTCCAAAAATTAAAAAAAATTTCCTCCTAACGTCTATACTTGTATTTGAGTATATTAAATAGATTAGTTAAGTTAGTTATTTATAATAAATATATTTTTTTTAAATACTCTTACTAATCAGGTGTATTAACTAAAACTACTATTTGGTGAAATTTTTATCATATACAACTATTATAAAGACTACCTTGAGAAAAAATGAATGAATATGAGAGAGCAAAATAATTTAAGTCTTATATTTAATCAAATTAAAAGTGAAACTACTTTTGTATTAAGTAGCGGAGGTAGTATGTAAGTACTTCGGGGCCAAGAATGAGATCAAAATGAAGCATACTGTGTGCTTATGTATCACCTCAAGCGCCACACTGAAAAGGCTCAAAGTGAAGCGTGACATATATTCCACTTTGCTGTATTTTAATAAATTAAAGAAAGGAACGTGGAAACCAATTATCCTTCTCTGTCTTATTTTCATTCGATCTAAATGCCACTCTCCAGATTTCCCCCCTCTGAAAACAATCGATGTGAATTATAAAACAGAATGCCGAAGGAGAGATAACGGAACAAGGCACAAAAGGGAAAGCTTTGGGGATGGTTGAGTTTGGGAAGGAAACAAGGAACAAATTAAAAGGAATTATATGTGCAGGGTGACCGAGTGAGAGAGAGATTCTTTCAAGCCTGGATAACGCAACATGTTGTGACATTTGAGAATATGATTCTTTTTTATCAACAATGCATATTATCTGTTCACGTCTTAAAAAATCTATTTTGAAGCTGAAATTTTACATCACTCTGGTTGCCAGCCAAAAGACATCACGCATCCATGCATGCATGTAGTTATCAGTTTGCAGAGATGAAAGTAGTTTAAATAAAGATATAAATAACTGAGGTGCACGTCAGCAGAACTTTGATGCGTGATACATGTAGATAGTTTGAACATGGAATGAGGAATTGAGGTGCCGACCATGGTAATTTCCACAGGACCTTGCTTTACCCTCACGCGAATCCGTTGAAGGCATAGCCTGAGATTTCTGACTTTTCTGTCAAAGTTTTCTCTCATCCCTTTGTTTCAAACTTGTTTCACTCATGACTTACGGCCACTACACTCTCGTAGTCCCACAACAGCCTAAGTTTCTTGTTTTCTTCTATGATGTTCTGGTCTGAATTATTAATGCGGTCCCTCTTCTGTCTTTGCCAACTTAGTCAGCTCGATCAAGTACGTGCGTGTCAAACATTAATTCTGGATGCTCTGACTACTGTTTATAGGAAAATGATAATTAGGCCTCTAAAATGGGGCGATGACCAAGGCTCCAGATCAGTTCGGTAAGTTTTGGAACTTTACTTCAAATGCCGTTTCGAGCGTGTGATGCCACAGCACTCCTGTAAAACGCAATAGAAATAAGCTTCGTGTAACTTGCTCTAATGATATAGTGTTGTGTCGTTGTTGGATTGGAGGCGACATCACAATTAGATGGAAAGAATGTAAAAAGGGAACAGGTAATTTTAGGCACTTAACAGATACATAATGGCGACCAAACAGAGGACAGCCTTATTGGACAGCTTCTGTTACAACCTTAATCGTAACCGTAAAACCTTTGTGGCATCTCTCGTGTTGGCTCTCTGTACCAACGAATTCGGGTGTCCTTTATACAGTACTTATTGGTCCCTCCCAATTCCATCCCAACGCAGCCATCTTCCTCTGCTCCATCATGGGTTGCGGCTTGTCAACAAGGCTGAATCCAGAAGACGCCGCAACCCTTAGCCATGGACGCATGATGAGTAGTAGTGATGGCCACATTACAGACATAAATTCGCCGGCCACCAGCAAGCATCACGACCGTGGCGGCGACGACAGTGTCCTGTCTTTCGCCCAATGGAGCCAGAAAAGCGGGTCGTCGACGCAGGGGAAGGACGCGAAGCAGGTGGGTGAAGGAGGAGAGAAGGAGGGAGAAAAGGAGGAAGAGGATTATCAAAGTGAAGTCCTCATTTTTCCAAGGTCCCCAAGTTTCAGGGTGTACTGCATTGCCTCCTCTAACTCCAGCAGGAGTCACAGTTTTATTAGTGACAACGACTCTGCCTCCAGCGTCAAGAATAACGGTCTCTGTTTTACTTATTCTCTGTGAATATTTTTTTTTTTGCAGTAAAATTGCATTGCATTCTCATGGGGTTCATTTCTTTATATGCAGGCGATGAGGATTCAACGAATAAGCCAACCGAGGAAAAGAAGGTCTGATATTTCACGACGCGTGCGTGCTTTTTCAGAAAGTTGAGATTATGTTATAGCTGTTGTTTAAATGTGTTGGTTTTATGAATTTTTTTTTCCTGCAGGAACGAAAGAAGAAAGAAAGAAGAACACGAGGACTTAGGAGTGCTCTGCAAAAGGGAATGCCCAGAAGGAAGAAGAATCTTCTAAGTTTTGGTTGCTACACTAGCCATGCATCCTACGATGAAAAGCCCTTATAATAGAATGAATCTCCTTTCCCTAACGAAGCAGGATTATTGTTCCCTCTAATGTCTCTTTTGGTTAAGTGTGAAAAAACAACGTAAGCGCTGTTAAAAGAACAAATATAATGCAAAACTAGTGCGTTCACGTGCCTTACATGAAAAACGAACCCTCTCTTTCGTAATTTTACACTCTGAAATTAGAAAGATTCATCTTTCAAGAGGGTATTAAGTCGATCCCTCTAATATTATTGCCATCGAAATATAATCCCATGGCTTCCCATCGTCCCATATGCTCATGAATGGCTCCAAGTCTCAGAGCCATATCAATATGTTTGCGTGATTTTTTAATACTCCTCCGGTCTGTAAGATCCATTTAACTAATTTGATTAGATTAAGGAAGTTAGGTAAGTTAGTTAATTATAAGAAAAGTGATACATTTTTCCTAAAACACCATAATCATCTTTCTTAATACCCCATCTCCCTCTTCTACTTGATTATGGTTGAGAGAGTATTCATAGAGGTAATTTAGAGAAAATTGATAAATATGAGAAATGAGTCTTATATTTAGGATCAAAATCAACTCAAAAATTGAGTCTTATATTAAAGACCGGAGGAGTATTAAATTTGTTGCAGTCTTTCTCTGCACAAAATAAAAATTCTGGACTGTCAATTCAGTAGCCCAGAACCACGGATTCCCTGTGTGTTGCGGAGCCATGCATGCAACTTAGTAGTTTTCGTCTTATCATCATCTTTTTCTTTCCTGTTACGTAACAGCATGACTATGGAGATTCAGTTATTTTATAACGTTTGATTGATTTCTTTTTGTTTTAATAAAAACAAACTCTGTTTTTGGATTACATTAAAAAAAAGAAAACAACCTTTGAGATTGCATGGCTGTAAGATTTTGGGAGGAAGAAACTATCCAGGAGGGAAAAGACTCGTGTTCGTAGGCCACTACATTGAACCTCAGAAATATGTTTCACTTCTGACGGTGGGGAAATACCATAGTCAAAATTAACATATATCCCAAACAAAACAACTAATAAAAATGATTAACAGATTTCATTGCTAGGGTTGTCTCCTTTTTCTTTGGCGTCAAATGTCAATTTTCATATGAAAAAAACATATCTGATTTCTTGAAAACCTGGGGTTTAAGTAGGATGCGTGTTTTAACATTAGTTAAGGATTTTTTTTTTTTTGACCTGAACATTAGCTAAAGATTGGATCTTGAGGGAGAGGAAAAACAAAAACATGGTCAAAATTTTTGCTTTTTAAGAAAAAGAGGGATGTTGAATAAGAAAAACAGAACACGTGACTATTTTGGTTGAACAGGGAACAGTAAAAGGGAAGACTTTCTGAGTTTTCTTACTTGCAGAAAATAAGAAAAAGCAGAGTTGCGTGGCCGGCACCTGGGATCTTTGCATGTCTTGACCTGACCTCATTGTGTTTGAGACATTCGTACCATAAACATTTGAATCGCCACTCTTCCTTCCACATCAAGCAACACTGACTTTTTGACCCAACGCCTCCTCTCTTTTTCCATATTCAAATAAGTAACATAACTCATCATGACCAACGTCTCATGCCACGCCTTCAAATATTCAAACACTTTCCCCTTTTTTTAAATCACAGAAAACCAAGCCGTTTTGTTTATTTCTCAAGCTTCCCTGCCTCCCAAATATTGATATTCCCAAAGATGAGCAAGCTTTCACTGTAATAACATGGCATGCCTTGTAGCTCTTGGAGTCTCAGAAGCCTGGGAATACCTGGAAACACAGACCAATTATATATTACCATATTGTAATTTCCCAGCAACAAGCTGGATAGAATCCACACTGTATGAAATAACGCTGGTTCTTAACTTCTTATGTTCTCATCAAAATCATGATCTTAATATCGAATGAAATGCGTGGTCAGACATTTTGCCCGCCGCGATTTTTCTAATAAGACAAATATCTTTCATTTTCCTCACCGTCAACAAAATCTATAACGAATGAACGTTAGTCATCCATCTGCCCATTCTTTTCCTCTGCCAAACATCCATCTGCTGACTTATAATTATATAATTATATAAAAACAAGTGCATGCCATCGCAGCCGCTGTCTATAAAACTTTTATAATTCATGGCCAAATTCCTTTTTAGAAAAGGAAGGAAGGTGCCGCCAAACAAAAAAAAAGTCCTAGTTTTCATTAAATTGATTTTAATTATTATGACATTTAAGCAGTTAATTCTAATGACCCGCCGAAACTTTGACGTGGATGTTGATCCATTTATGGTTTTATTTCTACACTGGTGCGAAAGTCAAAATAAAATTACTCCTCCTTCCTTGACTTTTCCAAAATTCACACTCCACCAAATTCCTTTTCATTATCTGTATTATACATGTATTTTATGTTTATAATTATATGAGAAGGGCAAACGTGTAAAAGGAATGGGGAATGCAAGGGTCATGCGCAGGCAGTCAAAGTAGGGCACAGGTTTGGGTTCCGGAATCCCATCTTTGTTTGTGTAATCATATATCCAACCTTTGACCCTTTCATTGGTTCCGTCAAAACCCCACCGCTTTTGACACTGACGTGATTCTGCGCTTCTCCACTCCCCCCACTCTGCATGACGCCACCCCCTTCCCCAAATCCTCTCCGCACAATCACGTTCGCCGTGCCTCCTGCTCTTCCTCGTTCCTCTCTCGTTCCCTCTTCCTCTCCGCATTAGCATTTCGCATCTCTCTGATCTGTTTCTGGCGCTTTTCACTCAACTCACTCGGATTCTGCTTCTTCATTGTCGTTCAAGATACGGAGTTGATTTTCAAGCCGGAAATTTTTACTGGGCTGTAGACTGCGAAGTAAACCAAGAGGCGTCGACTTTCTTCCTTCTCTTTGTCGCTGCGTTTTTACATCTTGTAGACTCATTGTGTTCGGGTTTCCGGAAAATGAAGTCCTCGCTGAGCATGTTGAGGAGGATTTCATTTCACAAGGGCGTTGGCAGAGAGAAGACGGACTTTCAGCCCTTCACGGTGTCCGATGAGCTTGTTCAGGTTGCCAAGGTACTTGTGCGACTTCTTCCTCCTTTTTCTGTTTCAATTTTCGTTGAGTTGCTGAGTGTCCTCTTGCGGGCCAATGACTTCTAAGGCAAAATAATCACTTTGAGAATGCGACCAAATGAGGAAAGAAAGGACACTTGCACGAGAGTGCTGGCATTTTGGATTAGAGAAGATTTAAGAGATACTAAGTTTCTCACGGTCGACACGAAAGTTTACCCGGTCACTGACAAATTCCCCTGTTCGGATGATTATTTCGAAGGTTATTGTTTGTGAAGACTTGGTAATGCGCCCGTTTGGCTCCAGCTTAGATTTGCCTGTCTCGAACATGACTGATGACAGATAACGGATTGACGCCCCCCCCCCCCCCCCAAAAAAAAAAAACTAAAACGAGAAATTTACGCCTTTTTGACCTTTCGCTAATTGTTGATTGGTAAGGTAAAATCAATATTTTCTTGTGAGCTTTTTGAACTCACCATTAGTAACAAATCTCCATGAAAGATGATCGGACATTTTGGCGTGCAAGGAGAGTAGATCAATAGAATGTAAATTGGTAATGCCTCCTCCCTGATACATCCTCTAGAATTGATGAAGAGTTTTCCCGCCCGACAGTTTTCCTTTCAATAGGGCCTTTCTACCCTCATGGCCGATTAGCGATCTTATGATTACATTGTAAAATAAAGTGTGCTAATGGAAGTATAGTGGCTTTTATTGCTTTTGCTCATGCTGGCTTTTGCACGGAGTTTACTCTCTTCTTTCCTCCTCTATGGCTTCACCATTTTCAAACAATGTATGCTTTCTTCTCCACTTGGCAGGACATGCAAGAGATGAGAAACTGCTATGACTGCTTGCTTTCTGCTGCTGCTGCAACAGCCAACAGTGCCTATGGTAAAAATTCAGTTAACAGTGCAACTGTGCGTCTCCCTTTATATATCCCTTTACATATTAAACTCCATGGTTTAGCTTTAACCTTGCTTTTTCACACCCAATTTGGGAAAACAGCTTATAACAATCTACTTTTGGTATGCCAGATTTGAGCACACGTTCTTACTGAATTTGTGTGTTGGGACTAATGTTTTACATTAATAGCAATAGAAATCATGAAGATATCTGAAAACAACAGTGTTCTAAAAACTGGATAAATCATTGAATCAGGTTAAGAAGCACTTCACTGTTTAATGGTCCAACCACAATTGAACATTTTTTTGCTATGTATCACAACATATATAGTAAATTTTTTTAGTATTTTGCATATGACAACTAATTTCATAGTTGAGATTATTTTATTGTAGCAGTTCCTCACGCTACTTGTGTGTCCAGAATTCTCTGAGTCACTGCGAGAAATGGGTGCTTGTCTATTTGAGAAAACTCCAGTTAATGATGATGAAGAAAATGGTGAGCAAACTTTTCACGACTCTACTAGTTGATACTTCTTGCCTCATGCTAGTGATTTCAAGCTATGAATATTTTCTGCTTAGATGGAAGTGGTTTGTAGGTAAAACTTTGGAAATGCTTGGAAGAGTACAGCTCGAACTTCAAAAGCTTATTGATGGCTATGTGAGTCTTTTGTTTGGGTCCAGGCTTCTGCATACTTAGCTCATGTTTGGCCATAATGCATTTACATGAGCTTTGTCTTGATTCTATGCTTTATGTTTTTCAGCGTTCTCACATAATAGTCACAATTACAAACCCATCAGAGTCTCTTCTCAATGAATTGCGGACTGTTGAGGTTTGTTTATGTGCTTTTCTATTTCAGTTTTATCACCTCTTAAAACAGTTCGGTGCTGGAGCAACTGCTCTATTAATTTAATCTCATTATATGTCTCCTTACTGTCTCCCTTCAAGCTAATTTGTTACCCTTCTAATGATTTTATGTAGGATGTACATATACTAAAACTTGTAGTATCAGGGCTTAAATTGATGCATGCCATGTATTATGATTTGGGGTAGATGCTGCTAACATCTCATCATGCCCCATTGTTAACGTAAAGAAGGCTGAGAACTTCTGCTTCTGATTGGACGGATATACATTTGCATCCATATGTAACACTGAGATATACATTTGCATCCATATGTAACACTGAGATGAGTTGCTGTGGTTCCTCAGTCATTTTCCTTCCTTCATGAACATCCAGTTCTTTCTATGTGAAATTTGTTAACCTTTATGAGAAAGTGATTGCCGCTCACATTTAACCTTTATGAGAAAGTGATTGCCGCTCACATTGAGAAGCTCATATCATATTGTACATTCAAAGTTATTAGTTGGTGTTTAATTGTGATTCTTGCTCCACATTCACACATTGACATAAATATTGGGCGCTCATAACAGTGTTCTAAAAACTGGATAAATCATTGAATCAGGTTAAGAAGCACTTCACTGTTTAATGGTCCAACCACAATTGAACATTTTTTTGCTATGTATCATAACATTTATAGTAAATTTTTTTAGTATTTTGCATATGACAACTAATTTCATAGTTGAGATTATTTTATTGTAGCAGTTCCTCACGCTACTTGTGTGTCCAGAATTCTCTGAGTCACTGCGAGAAATGGGTGCTTGTCTATTTGAGAAAACTCCAGTTAATGATGATGAAGAAAATGGTGAGCAAACTTTTCACGACTCTACTAGTTGATACTTCTTGCCTCATGCTAGTGATTTCAAGCTATGAATATTTTCTGCTTAGATGGAAGTGGTTTGTAGGTAAAACTTTGGAAATGCTTGGAAGAGTACAGCTCGAACTTCAAAAGCTTATTGATGGCTATGTGAGTCTTTTGTTTGGGTCCAGGCTTCTGCATACTTAGCTCATGTTTGGCCATAATGCATTTACATGAGCTTTGTCTTGATTCTATGCTTTATGTTTTTCAGCGTTCTCACATAATAGTCACAATTACAAACCCATCAGAGTCTCTTCTCAATGAATTGCGGATTGTTGAGGTTTGTTTATGTGCTTTTCTATTTCAGTTTTATCACCTCTTAAAACAGTTCGGTGCTGCAGCAACTGCTCTATTAATTTAATCTCATTATATGTCTCCTTACTGTCTCCCTTCAAGCTAATTTGTTACCCTTCTAATGATTTTATGTAGGATGTACATATACTAAAACTTGTAGTATCAGGGCTTAAATTGATGCATGCCATGTATTATGATTTGGGGTAGATGCTGCTAACATCTCATCATGCCCCATTGTTAACGTAAAGAAGGCTGAGAACCTGATTGGACGGATATACATTTGCATCCATATGTAACACTGAGATGAGTTGCTGTGGTTCCTCAGTCATTTTCCTTCCTTCATGAATATCCAGTTCTTTCTATGTGAAATTTGTTAACCTTTATGAGAAAGTGATTGCCGCTCACATTGAGAAGCTCATATCATATTGTACATTCAAAGTTATTAGTTGGTGTTTAATTGTGATTCTTGCTCCACATTCACACATTGACATAAATATTGGGCGCTCATAAGCTAGCTTCTTTTCAGGTTAAGTTGTGAGTGGGCTTGGTTAGGTTTTGCCTTGTGCAAAAGGTTGTTATGGAAACAGTAGCAAACTTCCTCCTTAACTATGTCTAAAAGCTGTTGTTTTATGCATTACGCCTTGGGTGAATGTTGTAGAATTCTTATCAGTGATGAAACAGGATGCAGTTTAACTTCACAGTGATAAAAATTCCTTCTACTCTATTGTTTATTCATGAACAGTAAATATTATACTTGGCCATCCCTCAGACATGAAAAATACATTCTTGCTGATGGCCGTTTGAACCATATTGGTGTTTGACTTGTAAAAAGTTCTGCTCATCATTCTTTTATACATTGAGCTTGTTGGCATGTAATTTGATCATAGAATATGTCTTGTTCCTGTTTCTCAATGTCCTTTTGTTCCTGACACAGGATATGAAGCGGATGTGACGCAAGTCATCTTCTAAAAACTTGTGTTTCCAATTTTTGTGACAGATGGGTTCAGACAAGAAAAGGGTGGATCTTAAAGCCTCGAGTAAAGAACCTAGGGTCAGCAGCTATTCAGATTCAATTATTGCAGAAAAGAAGTTTGACCCAGCTGAAAAAGTGAGGCAACTTCTAACTTCGACTTCAGCAAAGTCCAATACCTATGTACTTCCTACACCTGTCGACATAAAAGAAAATACTGTGAAAACAAGCAGCTCAGCCCCCCGCACTAGTGCAAGTGGACGTTCACACAACTTGTGGCATTCTTCCCCACTGGATGACGAAAGGATGGAGAAACATTTTAGTGACGGTAAATGGTGTGAACCAACTATCTCCAGAGCTCAGTCTGGTCTTAAAGAAAGCAGCACCCTCAACACATCCACTCAGCTACCCCGCCCTTCCAGGGAGAGATTGTCGCCTTCACAAATTGATGCTTTTAAGTTCTGATGCTAAGAAAATCAAAAGACAGGCTTTTTCAGGTCCATTGCCTAGTAAACCACTGTCAATAAAACCTGCTTTATGCGTCAGCCCTTTAGTATCAACTGATTCAGCATCTGGAGTTCTTTCTCGATTACCACTGCCACAGCTTTCATCTCCAAAAGCTTCTCCTAGTGCTTCACCTCCCCTGGTTTCTTCACCTGGCGTCAGTGAGGTCCATGAGCTTCCTAGACCCCCGGATAGTCAACCTGGCAGACCAATGAAACCATATCAGATAGGTCATTCTGCTCCATTTGGTTTGAGAAATCAAGAGCATTCTGCAACAAACAGACTTCCTTCATTTGCTTCGAGTGCGGCATCCCCCCTACCAACTCCACCTTTACTTGTCCCTCGAAGTTTTTCTATACCCTCTAGCAGCCAAAGAGGAAGGACATTTCATGCTGTGGAACTTCTGGATGCTCCCCAAGTTCCACAGAGGGCCAAAGAAATTGCATCGCCTCCATTAACACCTTTATCCCTCTCAGATATCAAAAGAGGACCAAGTCCATCTGGCCTGGCTACACATTCCAGTGGAATTAAAGGTAAGCTACTGCTGTTAATTGTTGCCAGTGGTGGTTATTGTTATAGAATAACTATCTTGAGCAGTGCATAATGCTTACACAGTTTATTTCCGTTATTCTTAGACAAACATAAATAAGGACCTGACGATGTCAGACCACTGAAAGGCTATGATTGACTCCTGCCGCTCAAACCTTGCGTATGTGATCACAAAATATTCCCTTGGTATAAATGTGAAAAGTAACCTACATTTGAAAAAGCCCGTGTCATGAATATAAGTTATTATCAAAAGTGAGGCAAAATTTATATTTCTTATATTTTTGGCTAAATTTTGCTGAATATGTAATCCAAAATGATAAGTCACCTGGAGACCTAATATGGAGACTCTTTTGTTCGTAAAAATGAGTGACGTACATCACTTGGTATGATGATAATGGGCAAGCAATTTGGACGGGCTGATTATCAGCACCCGCTGGTGCCATCTGCAAGCTGAATGTTTTTCCTTGCAGAGAGCATTTGTTTGACATGAAGAATCGACTGATACTAAATTCTCCCTTTGAAAGTGGTTGGGACTATTGAAACTCTTGCCATAACCTCTTTACGAACAGAGCATAAGCTTTAACACGCTTGCTATTTTGTCTTAGAATGCAGATCTTTGACTAGAGTACAAGCAAAATTATCCTCATTATGAGGAATTGTGCGCCTTGCATAGTCATTTACGTTATCCTATTCATTGTTTTGATCCGAAGGAAAATTATCCTGATTATGAGGAATTTCAGTGGATGCAGGTGGGGAGCTAAACACGGCGCTCATGATGTATGTAGAGACCGAACTCCTTGGGGTTGATTGAGACTCCAGGTTTCCTTGATGCAAGTGGAATGAATCTCGACTGCATTTATGGAGGCTTTGAAAATCTGCTGGAGGTTCGCCCAGGAGGGTGTGTATGGGGTCTCATCCTGTCGTTCAAAATACGAGCAGGGATGTGTAAATATATTTTTTTAAAAAAAAAATGATGTCGATATGTATTTTTTTCCTTGTGTTGATGAGAACTAAATTCTACATGATTGTGTCATTATAATGTGCTCGTGTCTTTGGATGAAGAAATTTGTTCACTTCCAGTCTCCCGCTACTATTAGGTCATGAAGGATTTTGGTTTTCTCCAACGGCTGTATGCCAATTATTACTTGGGTTTGTTTGGTATGTGGGACGGATTTTTGAAGGAGTTGAAATGAGAATGAAACTGAAATAAGAGGGGAAAAAATTTTGAAAGCGAAATTTTTTCTGAATTTTTTCCCCAGAAAAATGAGATTTAAAAATAGTTTGACTCGTGAAGGAGAGAGCTTATGGAGTTTCTGAAGTCCGCGAAGGGGATCATAAGGATTCTGGGGCAAGCCATAGGTGGATTTCGAGAAGGTTCCCCTTCATTAGGACAGTGAAGATGCCTGCAGAATTTTTTACATTTAATTAATATTTTTTCAATCTTAAATATAAGATTCATTTTTATTGAAAAAGCCCGTGTCATGAATATAAATTATTATCAAAAGTGAGGCAAAATTTATATTTCTTATATTTTTGGCTAAATTTTGCTGAATATGTAATCCAAAATGATAAGTCACCTGGAGACCTAATATGGAGATACTCTTTTGTTCGTAAAAATGAGTGACGTACATCACTTGGTATGATGATAATGGGCAAGCAATTTGGACGGGCTGATTATCAGCACCCGCTGGTGCCATCTGCAAGCTGAATGTTTTTCCTTGCAGAGAGCATTTGTTTGACATGAAGAATCGACTGATACTAAATTCTCCCTTTGAAAGTGGTTGGGACTATTGAAACTCTTTGCCATAACCTCTTTACGAACAGAGCATAAGCTTTAACACGCTTGCTATTTTGTCTTAGAATGCAGATCTTTGACTAGAGTACAAGCAAAATTATCCTCATTATGAGGAATTGTGCGCCTTGCATAGTCATTTACGTTATCCTATTCATTGTTTTGATCCGAAGGAAAATTATCCTGATTATGAGGAATTTCAGTGGATGCAGGTGGGAGCTAAACACGGCGCTCATGATGTATGTAGAGACCGAACTCCTTGGGGTTGATTGAGACTCCAGGTTTCCTTGATGCAAGTGGAATGAATCTCGACTGCATTTATGGAGGCTTTGAAAATCTGCTGGAGGTTCGCCCAGGAGGGTGTGTATGGGGTCTCATCCTGTCGTTCAAAATACGAGCAGGGATGTGTAAATATATTTTTTTCAAAAAAAAAATGATGTCGATATGTTTTTTTTTCCTTGTGTTGATGAGAACTAAATTCTACATGATTGTGTCATTATAATGTGCCTCGTGTCTTTGGATGAAGAAATTTGTTCACTTCCAGTCTCCCGCTACTATTAGGTCATGAAGGATTTTGGTTTTCTCTAACGGCTGTATGCCAATTATTACTTGGGGTTGTTTGGTATGTGGGACGGATTTTTGAAGGAGTTGAAATGAGAATTAAACTGAAATAGAGGGGAAAAAATTTTGAAAGCGAAATTTTTTCTGAATTTTTTCCCCAGAAAAATGAGATTTAAAAATAGTTCGACTCGTGAAGGAGAGAGCTTATGCAGTTTCTGAAGTCCGCGAAGGAGATCATAAGGATTCTGGGGCAAGCCATAGGTGGATTTCGAGAAGGTTCCCCTTCATTAGGACGGTGAAGATGCATGCAGAATTTTTTACATTTAATTAATACTTTTTCAATCTTAAATATAAAATTCATTTTATATAGTAAATAAATTATATTATAAAATGATTTTATATTTAGGATCGGGAATATAAATAAAAAAAATAAGCTTAAACTCCTTGACCTTGCATTAGATATTTGTAATTGCGTTTGCAACATACGGACTCGAACAGTTGGCGATTGCCCATACTCCTGCCGCGAATAAAATAGGGGGAAAAAAAAAAAAAAGGTCGGACCCCTAGGGGAGTGGAGAAGTTGATTTTAAGAAGCGGAAGTGATAACTCCCTTGGCCAAGGTGGAGCCGTTTTCAATGGAGAAGGCAATCCCCGCGCTGCTTATCGTCTTCACTGCCATCTCACAGTGCCACTGCCTTGGCTCGATTTCATCTGCTTACTTCCTCAACTCTTCACAACCACAACTCCCTCCGAATCTCCCCTCCTTCTCACCCTCCGTTGCGTAGGCGTCTCTCCGTTCACTGCTCCATCCCCGATAGCAATCCTTCCGGTAAGTCATTCATTTTCACTCACCCAGTTAGTCCTGTCCTGATTTTTACTCTCCTCCACGTTGTTTACTATTTTCAATTGCCTTAGTTTATGAATTGAAAATCCCCCCCCCCCCCGGGTAACGGGAATCCTTGCGGGTTATGGTTTTTAATTGATATAAGCTTTCCAATGAGGAGTCTGATAGTGATTTTCAACTCTGCTCGTGGAGCTTTTGCTTGCCTTCCTGTTTCTTAGTCGTGTGCGTAAGCATTTCAGGCATTCGGCATATTTAATGTCACTCTTGAACCGCTAACTAGATAAGATGAATACACGATAATTGGGTTCGATCTTTGCTGAGACACTTGGGTGTCTGCGGAATATTAAGCGTTTAATGTGCTTGTCGGTCTTGTTTATTGATGCTTAATTTGAAAATTTGGATTATTCATGGGAGTTGAGACTCTTATCAATGATGCTGCGATGGGATATAAATGATGTCAGGTAACGCGTCAACTAGACCCTGTACGATAAATACAGAGATGGTTATGCTACAGCTGATGGGATTGTTTCGCTTCAAAGTATAGTGCCCTTGATATAGTCATTGTTTTGTGTGTTCCTTTTGGTCCATCTACTTGTTCGTCCTCCTGAGTCATGACACAGCCTCTCTGTTTGCAGACGTAGCCTCTGGGTTGGGTTATGAGGATTTGGGAGACGTCACAGGAGAAGACATGACTCTGGAGGTGGATTTCAGATTCAAGCATGTTTTAGATATAGTTGAGAACGTGTCAGTGAGGTTGCTAATCTGTGCACTGATTTCAGGTTCTTAAGGAGCTAGAGAAGCTGACCAGAGCCAAGAAGATGATGGAAGAGGCTGCAAGACCTTTTTGACTTGCCATATATTTTCCCTTTTTTGTTTGATTAACCACTATGCTTCCTTGCCATCCAGTTTCCCTTCTTAAGTCATCTGTTTCGGGCCTTTGGCAGCTTGGATTTTCGGTGGGTCTTCGTTTCCGTCGGCAGGAAAGAAAAGTTATTGTATCTGAAAACAGAGAGGAAGTAAAATTATTTAGGCCACGTTTGGTATTTATCATACCTGAATTTTTTTTTAAATTTTTTTGTAATATGCGTTATGTTTCTGATATTATCTCGTAATATTTATCTCTTTTTCTATTTTTTTTAATTATAGATGCATACTTTTTCATTTATTTTATTAATTTTTCATTACTGTTTTGTACCTAAGATTCTCGACATTAATGTGACAGCGCGGTGTATGGAACAACCAAGCACTTGCATGCTCTTGGCTGGAGTGAAGCTATTTTTGATACAAGTTGTCTCAGTAAATTTATTATAGGGAAAATGACAGATAAAGAAGCTCCAAAATGTGAAATGCCAATTTGGGAAGCTAAGGAAATGTAATTATCCATAGGGAAGTCCTTTCCAAATTAGAATTTTAAAATTCAATGAAATGATAAAAATGCCTTTTGTTTTTTTTTTTTTTTTAAAAACCCAGCCCCTCACCGGCGACTGGCCTCTGACGGCCGCCGACCGCCTCTGGCCACCGGCGCCGGTCACCGGTGTGGTGGCTGCCGGTAAAGGATTTTTGTGGCAAGATTTTTTTTTTGGGAATAGAATATTATTGGTTCAAAGTGGCGAGGGTGGGATTTGATCCCACAACCCCTTGGCCACTTGGACCAACAAAAGGATGGCCATTGGGCCATCAAAGATTTCTTAATCTTGTAATGCAAACAAAAATATAAGTTAACTCTTTTACTGTGACTCCAACTCGTGACAACAATTTATCTGAGGATGACAAGTCTTAATTGAGAAATAACAAGTCTAAATTTGATATTAACAAAGCAACTTTTCCTTATACATAACAAATAGCAGCATGTGCATTAATTAAAAATGATCATAATTTATTTAAAAATGACACGTCTTTGCTGGAAAATAACAACAATTTATTCGGTATTTCTTGTTATGTATAAGAAAAAGTTGCCTTGTTAATATCAAGTTTAGACTTATCATTTTTCAGTATAGACGTGTTATTTTCAAATAAATTATGGTCATTTTTAATTAACGTAGATGCTATTTCTTGTTATGTATAAGGAAAAGTTACCTTGTTAATATCAATTTTAGACTTGTCATTTTATAGTAAAGACGTGTCATTTTTAAATAAATTATGATCATTTTTAATTAATGCACATGCTGCTATTTGTTATGTATAAGGAAAAGTTGCTTTGTTAATATCAAATTTAGACCTGTTATTTCTCAATTAAGACTTGTCATCATCAGATAAATTGTTGTCACGAGCTGGAGTCACAGTAAAAGAGTTAACTTATATTTTTGCTTGTATTATAAGGTTAAGAAATCTTTGATAGCCCAATGGCCATCTTCCCTTTTGTTGGTCCAAGTGGCCAAGGGGTTGTGGGATCAAATCCCACCCCCGCCACTTTGAATCAATATTATCCTATTCCAAAAAAAAAAAAATCTTGTCACAAAAATCCTTCACCGGCAGCCACCACACCGGTGGCCGCCGCCGGTGGTTAGAGGCGGTCGGCGGCGGTGGTCGTCGGCCACCGGTGAGGGCTGGGTTTTAAAAAAAAAAAAGAACAAAGGGCATTTTTGTCATTTCACTGAATTTTAAAATTTCAATTTGGGAAGAACTTCCCTATGGGTAATTACATTTCCTTAGCTTCCCAAATTGGCATTTCACATTTTGGAGCTTTTTTATCTGTCATTTTCCCTTTATTATATAATTTTACCTTTTAACGGTTACAGACATATAAATTAAATAAGAATAAAATTAAAAAAAAATCTTAAATTTCAAGATATAATTGATTTGAGTTTTTTCTTAGTTTTAGTTAAATATACCGAGCTGAGTAATGTGAAAAAAAAATTGAAATAATGAAATGGTTCCCCATCGGTTTCAGCTGCTATTGATTAATATTTGTTTATATTCCTGCTATTAGTTAATAATTTGACAATTTATTAACCATCTGCGTGACTGCTTTCTTTCTCTCTCTCTCTCTCTCTCTTTTTAAAATATGGGTGCAATCGTGATGTCTTTCATGTTAAAAAATGGTACGGTAACATGGTAAAATGACTGTTTGGGGAAGGCTCATAATGGGCCGTTCGTCACGGAGAAGGGTGTGGGCCACTATGCCTTCATTGATCCACTATGCTTTGCATCCGGAGGTCCAGCCCTGGCACATGGGTCGGGCGGGTAGTGATAAGTATGAATACAATATAATTATATAAATAACATTTTTATTATAACAATGACAATAATATAATAATATTCGTTAAAGGAGTCGAGATCATGAAGTCATGAACTCATGATCAGTTGATCACGTGACTCTCGGAGTTTGTTTTGCGTCTGATTTTTCTAAAAATACCCGTCCCTTTGTTTGGTCAAAAGCTGATCTTCACTCAAACGAATCAAAGGGATTTTTATTAACAGATTCCTTCACCAAATGAGGATTTGGTAGACAAGGGTGAATAACTGTCCTTTTTAAGAAAAAATATTAATTGATTCAAGGCCCCACTGTACAGATAAATTCGAATTTAAATTAAGCTGAGCCTCATTTAAGAAGGAAAAAAGATTATATTCCTCCTGTCCTTAATACAGGACTTAATTGTTGAGTTAGTTTTAATCCTAAATATAAGACCCATTTCTTATATTTATCAATTTTTTCTAAACTACCCTTAGAGACTCTCTCAATCATAATCAAGCAAAAGAGGGAGATGATGTATTAAGAAAGATAATTATAGTGTTTTAGGAAAAATATGTCACATTGCTTATAATAAACTAACTTATCTAACTTCTTTAATTTAATCAAATTAGTTAAATGGGTCTTATATCAAGGATCGGAGGAGTATTTATGTAAAAAGTACGGGAGATGAATAATTCATGTTTGTTTGGTGAAAGGATGTGTTTAAGTAAGGTTGTTGGGAGTTCGAAGGCGAAGAGGGAGGCCACATGGTGGAGTGAATTGAATTGAAAGGTCGCAAGAGAGGCGTTGGCTGAGGGAATTCAATTCCGAAGAAGTGAAACCAAACTTGGCTTTTCAAACTCTCAGAATTTTGGTGCCGCTTTTTTAGTGCTACCAATGCGCCCATAACAAACCAAACCAGCCGGACCTTGCTTCTTCAATCGGTCACCATATGGCTTTTTGTGTCCCAGCGAGAAAAAGTTCCCCTGCCATGTTCAATGAATTAATTAAAATAATAAAATGCGAATTAAAATATTTTTAAAAGATGAAAAATGTCTTGTACGACTTCTTTTAGAAGACGTTCGATATACGGGAATGAACGGAGTACCCACCAGGTGTCATTAAGTTGGGATCCCCCCATCAATTTGTACAAATACAACACAGAGTGTGAGATCGTACCAAAAAAAAAGAGCATGAGATTATTTGCCAAGGTAAGATAGCACATAGCTGCGCGCCATGGCTTAAACAGAAGCAGTTATACAAACCATCATGGCCTAAAAACAGGGTACTGTGGATGATAGGAACAGGGGAAGGATTGGCAGAGAAAGAGAGAGATGTCGTGTTGTGAGCAGTTGAAGAACAGAGTAAGGAACACGTAGGGATGATCCATCCCTTTCCAAGGATTGACCCTATATGTGAGTGCCTGCCACTTGTCCCTCACATTCCCAATTCAATCTCGGCTTCTCCTCCTCCTCCTCTCTTTCTCTCTCTAACGTGTTCCCCTCTCATTTTTTCATTCAACTTTCTACCTTCTTCTACTCTCTCAATACTGCCTCCTCAAATCCCCTGCATTTTCCTAACCTATCCAATCATCTCTTGACTCTTTTTCTCTCAAATGTTCTGTTCAAAACCATCCCTTCGTGGCTCAAATTCATTTGCAATTTTCCGCGGCTTAAATTCTACCTCACACTGCACCCAGCTCCTATAGGGTCAGTGTCAAATTTATGTTGTGTTGTATTCGGCCAAATGTGATTTTTATAGTAAATATTTGCTACTATTGTTTGCCTCGCCTAACAGCACAGTTCTCCTCCTATTTTTTTTTCCTGGTTGGTTTTTTTAATACCTATCATCTTTAATATAAAAATCAATTAACAAATTAATAATGGTCATATATGTAAAATTTATTCTGTATATTTGTCAAGTTTTTCTCAAATTAATTTTATTAATATTTTCTAATGAAAATCAACTGAGAGAAAGGGAGAAAATTTAAAAAGATACTTAAAATATTTTTTTAAAAATTTATATTATATTAACTGATTTAACTAATATTATAAATTTATTTAAATTAATTAGTTAGATGTTACGGGAGTATTATGGTATGAAACGTCACTCTCGTGTTGCTGCGTGAAGTTGCAGCCACCTGGTTAGCGGCGGGGTTTGGTTCAATCAAAAGGCGAATAGCTTGTGGCTTTGTGATCATCATTTTTTTTCTCCAAGGAAAATTAAAAAATGAAACAAATTGATTGGCAGAGAAGACGCATACGCATAAGGAGAAAAGTCCAACTCAAATTATTCAAATCCAATCCACCGATTTCAAAAGCCGGAAAGCTCGTTTTATAGTTGATTACTGTAATAGTTAACATGACAACTGGGGTTTAGACCTTTTTTAAGATCAGTTTTAAATTTGAATTGCAAGCTGCGGCAATTCTTTACAGTGCAGGATCAGCGTATATTCGCGCAACCATGAAAAGGTAAATTGTGGTATATAATGTTTTCTTGCAACAATAGTGGTACAGGTAGTACATCTTAAGGTAAAATGTTGTGATACATAACTATTTAATAACAAGTAAGATGCTAATTTCCAGAGCAATATTTAAATTAGGTCAAGAATATAGGATTTTACAGCCGTTCCTTAACCATCATTAAGGGTACCAAACCCTGTGGATCCCAGTGGTACAGAAAAAGAAGGGAAGATCGTAGAAGGGGAAATGGACAACAATAAAGACCGGCCCCAAAAAATGCAGACAATAATGAAGAATAATAAGTTAAAGAGGAAGAGGAAGAGCACAGGAGAAAAAGGAAAAATGGAAAAGCCGGAGAAACGCAATGTTGATACTTGATATATAAATTATAAATAAATGGAAGCCCTCTCTAAATTGTTGATTTTTTAATTTAATGATAATTACGGGCGAGAAATAGCGATGGCAAAGCAAAGCGAGGATGGGGTGGGGGATGATGACGCTACGCTGGTATTTTGGCATTATAAACATGGGACAGCGGGTGAGGGTTTGCATTTCCAAGCAGGCATGGGTCTTCCCCCTCACGCACAGCCTAACTTCTAGACCTAACACGCTAGTACGGCCTTACCTGTTATAATCATCTCCAACCTCTGCAACTCGCAGAATTAACGAAAAAGACATCGTTTTAAGAAGCACCCTTCTTTTTATTTCTTTCCTTCTATTTTTCCTCGAGTGATTGTTTGATCTGAAGTTAGAACTCCGGATGGGCTATTGATATGATTTATCAGTCGGATTTTATCGCTAACAGTTTCATTGGTGCGGTTCCTCACTGGTTAATTTTGGGTTGGCCTCTACTGCGTGTTGCTTAACGATTTTGATCACCAAGTTTGAGTTTTGTTGGACTTAGTTTGATTATGCTTCAATCTGGTCGGTTTTTGGTTTGTGTGATTGTTGTAAACCCCCCCCCCCCGGGGTGGATGTTAGTTTGTCTCTGCTTTAGACTCGCGGAAAAGAATAATATAAAATAAGTTGTTGCTTGTGGTGGATAAGAAGGACTTAAAAAGCTTAAACGGTTTGCGGTAATGTGTTCCGTGCAAGTCATTCCTTCGGTTTTCTTCAACTTCTGTTGATCGTTTCATGAGAAATCGTCCTGGCATTTATTGATTATTCTTACTTCAGCTTCAAAGGTTCCTCTCAGATCGATGTTTGCCTCAACTTTGTTCTTTCTATGAGATTGCTACTTTCGTAGCCCCTCCCTTTCCTTTCGACCTACCTTAATTGGTTAGGCATGGTCTTCCTCTTTCACCAGTCATGCGCACTTGAATTTGGCTATAACTCTTTTATTTTCCCACACCTCACATCCCGTCCTCCGTATATTTGCGGGCTAGTTATATGAATCTTTGTTTAATTGAATCGAGGATTCCAAGTTTGATTGTCAAGGGTCTGATTTAACTTAATCAAGGGGTGATTGACTCCGAATTAGTGTAATGCTGGGATTTATTATCTCGGAAAAGTTTGGGATACTGCTATCTGTCTTTCGTTGTGATTGTTTGGACTGTTTGTGAACTCCGCGGAATAATGTACCTTTTCAATTCTTGTTTCAGGCATATGCGCTGATCTTGCTTCCTGACATGAGCTGCTTGTGCTTCATCTGTTGCCGGCATGGAGATCGTATGATCTGTGCCCATTGTAGTTCTCAGATATTTATCATGTCCTTGACTTTCTCTGTACCTACAGCAGAGGAAATGGTGGTTTCAATGTCTCATATGTGGATGCCCCTGTTAGATACATAGTCTGAGATTCTTACAAGTTTAGAATTACTTGAGTAGGATTACTGCATTGCAGGTTTAGTTGCAAACAGGTAGCATAAAATCTTGAATAGTGAAACGGATCAGGGTGGAGGCTGAGATTCCCCTAGTCAGTTGAAGATTGTATATAAAGGACCACACTGAGGAATGGGATTGATACCATAAGCAAACCACTTATTTCTTTAGGAAAATCAGAATTTATATTACACTAGTGATGGGCTTGCCACAGATACCCTTGAGTGCAACTGCAGAAGAAGTTGCACCAGCGACAGCTGTTTTGCATAGCTCTCCACAGTTTTCTGATGTAAGCTCCTCTAATATTGACAATGTGCATAGTGGAAGTACTAGTGGACTGGCTGCATATCCTCGGGGTCCCCCATTCATTGATTTCCCAAAGAAAGCCTCATTGGAAATTTCAAATACATCTGATAATATGTGTTATTATAGAGGAGCCATTGAGGTCACTTCTAATGTGCACAGCCTGAATATTGGCTCGTCGGACAGCAGTTGCTTCTGTGCTTCAAGAAATGGGCGAAGTATTCACACCCCGGCTTCTAGAATTGTGGGTTTTGAATCTGGCCCAACAAGTTCTTCAACTGATGGGTTGACTGGAGCTTCAGCTGCTAATCTTCATTCTTCTGCTGCTAGTGATGTCACAGCCAATGATACTGAACCTGCCAGTTCATTGGCGAGGAAGCGACTACTATCACCATTGAGCAGTATGCTCTCTCCACGCAATTTCAAAGGTGATGCCCTTGACATAGGGTGCAGAAATATGGAGAGTGGCTCCCTTGTCAAGAGTGATAATTTCAAAAGTACTGCTGCACCAGATAACAAGAAGGCAAATATTGGAAGTAATAGCAGCAGTAACATGCCTTCTTGGTCCTTGTCAAGTTGCTTGGAGCAAAAAAACATTCCCCTCAAGACAGAATCCCTTTTTATCGGCGATGGTCCTCTGCTGGAAAATAGGGAACCATTATCCCATTGTAGTCGTCCTTCCACGCCTGCAGTTGACCACTATAGGGAAGCAATGCAAATAAAACTACCAAGCGACATGATGCCCATATCCCCTATAGTGAACTCACCTCCACTTTCCTTCTCGCCTCTTGGTCCTAAATTTTCTGAAAGGTTAAGTGCAATGGGAGGTTGTAGGAGTACTATTATAGAAAAGAAGAATTGCAGTATTACCCTAAAAAATATAGAAAACTCTCTGGACAAATCTAATTTATGCCTTCAGAAAGATAAATTAAATATTGCAAGTAAATCATTTGAAGATGTTGGTATTTTGTGCAAAGACTTTTGTCCATCTTCTTTGGATGATAGTGCTGATACAAGTTGGCAAATAGCTCAAGAATTAGTGCCCACCTCTCACTCCATGAGGTTCAGCAGAAGTTTGAGTGGGCTGCCAATAAGGAGGTCCTTGGTTGGTTCATTTGAGGAGTCTCTTTTATCTGGCCGCTTCTTATCTGGAAGCTTAAGTAAGGTTTGTATATATGCTACTTTTTGAATTGATGTTGTAAATAATTCTGTATATAGGATTGGATGATTTAGGACACTGACATGTTGCTTATTGTTTCTCCTTTTATTTCTGTAGAGAATTGATGGTTTTCTTGCTGTGCTAAGTATTACTGGGGGAAACTTTTCTCCAAAGTCACAAAAGCTTCCATTTTCAGTGACTAGTGTTGATGAAGATTGCTACCTTCTGTATTATGCATCAATAAATCTTGCTGGAAATTCGTCACCAAACAAGGCTAGAGGCCAACAACTGAAACGAGGAATCAGCAGTGATGATTCACAAATTGTCAAAAGTCGCTTGCGTATTCCCATGAAAGGACGGATACAATTGGTATTGACATACTTACAAGTTTCACAATTATAACCCTTTATCAAAGGGCCTTTAGATTTTCCTAGATAACATTTCATCTTATGTTTTCCTAAGATGACCTTTTTCTTTCTATTATGTGGGTTTGTTTTGATGTTTAATTTGTGAGTCTCAGGGCATTTGTGAACATTGCTAAACATGTTAAAAATGCTTTATTCTTACATTTATTTGCTCTCTGCAGGTTTTAAGCAATCCAGAGAAGACTCCCCTTCACACTTTCTTCTGCAATTATGATTTGAGCGACATGCCAGCTGGTACCAAAGTAAGATATGTCTCACGTTTGGGTGAATCTCTGGCTCTTCTGAGCTGGGTTTCTTTATTTTCTAATGGCATAATGGTTTGGGCCTGGTAGATTTTTGCCGTGGTTTCTTCAAATTATGATTGCTTGAATTTTTCAGTTTGAGATCTGTAAAAGTAAAACAAAAAAGTACCTCTAGCTTGAATATAAATATTTATTTCTTGACCCTCGTGGCCCCATCCCGAAGAAAGCTCAATAGTTTCCAGTTGGCATGTATCTCCTGATGTAATTAGAAGTGCCGGTACGTCTGTGTAGTCTAGAAAGATGCTATTCTGCATTAATATAGACAATTAAGTTGAAATCTAGCGATGGACCCTCTCTCTCACATGACTTCAGTCAGTTCATCCAGGGTTCTTGTCGGCTAAGAACGACTGCTGTCTACTTGTACAACTCTTTTGTTGTGCCAATGATGTTAATAGTTGTCTGTGGCTGGACATTTGTTTCCTTCAAGTAGAATTTGTTCCATGAACAAACCTTGTGAAATTAAGAATATCAGATCACATTAGATGTACAGTAGCAGAAACTTTGCGGTAGTGCTTGCGAGGTAAACATATAGGTTCAGATTTGCTCATTTTGTGTCACTTAGAATTTATTGACATTTAAGCAGCATAAATGCTTAATGCTTCATTCATCAAGCTTTTTCGTTTCTTATATGAGGCTATATCTAATAACATTTTTTTTTTTTGGGCCACGTACATCGAACAACATTGAATGCAATGCTGGGGATTATATGAAGCATGAATTGGATCTGCCTGAGCTTGAATAACTTTTGTTTCCTTTCAAGCCTATGAGATTAATTTGTTTATCAGCTTCTGATTTCATTTTCTGTTCATAATTGAGTAGACGTTCTTGCGACAGAAAGTTACCCTCGAATCATCCAGTTCAGCTTCCTCTCAGCCAAAGCAAGGTCCAACAACTCCAAACAGTGGAATCATGGGTAAGGAGATCCCAGAAAAACAAAGTATCATGACCCACAATGTGAAGAATTAATGGACACAGATGCAATTGACATAGTAAATAAAACAAGATTGACAAATCAGAATATTGGAAAGGGCTCTAGTTTGGTGGATTTAATTAATGAAGAGGAATCGAAACAATCTTCCAACATGAAATTGATGGGAATTCCTTCCTTAGTAAAGGTTGATGATGGATGTAGTTCTGATAAATGCAAGAAGGATGACAGAAAGGAATCATTCTGGGAGAGAACATGTGAAGAACCCAGGAAATCATTGCACTCCTGTTCAAAAGTTAACGAGAATAGTAGCAGTGCTGGTCCACTTCGTTATGCTCTTCACCTCCGGTTCATTTGCCCTTTCCCTAAAAAGACTACAGGAACATCACTTCAGAAATCCCGAGCTAATTCACTTCCAGAAAAAACTGCATTGTGTGTGGAAGGGGATCGGAGATTTTACTTGTATAATGATCTGAGGGTTGTGTTCCCTCAGCGGCATTCAGATGCAGATGAGGGCAAGGTATGTGCGATTGCTTATATTGTGACACTGCTGCATCAATATTTGTCTGTACAATCCTGAAACAATCACAATCCAGAAGCAATATGGCTTCTGCCCACAAACGTGGAAAGCAATTAATTTACTTGTTTTTGGTTAATTATTATTGTTGTCGGCTTATTTGTTTTTCCCCCTCCTTTGACCAAAGTTGGTTTATTTGTTTTGTCTTTAAGTTAATGTTCTTCTTGATGAATTATGGTATGAACAGCGCTAGTTTGCCTTGTTATGGTTTCCGGCTGACATGAATTGGGGCGATCAAACATAACCGATTCTTAGTGTAGGGAACCTTGGCAGTTATGCATGGGATATACTAAATAAGATAGTTGATCGTTTGGTCTGTCTTTGTGTGGATCGGAGCGGGTGTGTTTAAATGTGTGTATGTCTTGATTTGCATTCCAAGGTTCTGACGAGGATTGTTGTTGGGGTGTGTTTGACAGTTGAATGTGGAACACCATCGTCCTGAGAATCCAAGATACTTCGACATCAACTGAAAACCAAAAAAAAATTGAGTTTTCCCTCCTCCAAAGAATGCTGCTTTTGCTGCTGACCATCTTCTGTGCAGTAACATGTTGGTCGTCGGTCATGTCTGTTGGAAATGACACTAACCCCCTTTACTCCTCCTGTAAATACTTTGGTTTTTAAATAATTTGATGGATTAAGTTAGTTGATACTGACCACCTCCTTATAATCAAGGATCTGGACTTTGGTCTCCGCCAAACCGTTGTGGAGACAGGAGACCCATATTGAGCCTTTCAAAGAAGTTTGCTTTTGTGACTACTGATTATACCCAAAGGCTGAAGTGATTAAAAATTAAACTGCGACTGAGTAGCTTCAAGATATGTACGCATGAGCGTGTCAGTAAGCCGTCGGGTGTGCTTGTTCGATTGGCCTTTTTATAATGATGATTACATGGAGGGTCATGCTTGAGTTGAATGAACCGTTAATACCCATCTTGCCTAGTTTTTGAGCCGAGACGTGAAATTACTTAACAAGAAGAGGAGCATGACTCTGTTAATTCGAACTCAAATTATTATTAATAAGGCTAAAAGGCAAGAGCACTTTGATTCTGATTTTATGAAAAGAATAAAGAAGCGTGAGTCAACGTTGTTTGGAAAAATAAAATTTATATTTTATCAGTTTAATTGAAAGTGACAATTAAATGCCTCAAATTTGTTAAGAAATGACAGTAACATAATATGTTCGTTTCTTTTTAATTAGATTAAAAAAAAAAAAAAGCACCCGAGAGACCATAGTAATGTCGGTAGAAGCTGATTTAAGTTTTCTGTGCGTAAATGAAATATGAAGGGTGCTTGTATAAGAAGTGAGAAGGATTGGGATATTGGGATGGCTATGGACGCCTGCACTGCACTCGCACTCCTGCACATTGCAGTTTGCCGCCACTTACCAGAATGCAGCCTTCTCCAGACCAACAAGCAGCTGCTTCGTTCCGACCCGCACCAAACAGAATATTCGATTCCTTGGAATTTTATTTGATGGGTTTTTAAATTGAATTACAATCTGGAATTGTAATTTCCCCCGAAGGAACAATCAAAACTTTTTTTTTGTGGAGAGGGGGGGGGGTGTTTGACAATAGAGCGACCCTCTGGCCTTGAGGCTTTATTCATGTTTACCCTCAAGTACATGTAACTAGTGTTTATAGTTGAACTTTTTATTTGAGATGACTGCCTCCCCAAAAAAAAAAAAAAAAGGACGGCATGAGTGAGAAGAGAAAAGGAGAGCAGGGAAGGCGGCGTTAAGGGAAGTAAAAGCGTGTGAAACACAGAACCAATGGTCCCAATCTGCTCTAACTCTAACTAATTATCTTAATTTTCATAAATTAGTTTTATCACTGAAGTTGCTTGATGTTTTGTGAGGGTGAGTGGCATGGCTTGATGTGTCCCGTTATTCCCAGGTTAGGCTGGGCAGAGTCGGGATCAGCCGTAGCAAAGGCATTGGCCTACGTGGCTCTCTGATATTTGGAGCACCCTAACTAACTCTATTCCTCTGCTCTCTCCACACTCCCACTCTCTCTCTCTCTCTCTCTCGTACTGTCACCCCCCAAACCAACACTCTCTCTCCCTCTTCCCATCTTTATCCACGCGCCACTCGCATCCTTCTTGCTCCCTTCATTTCCTGCTAGTCGTCACCCCCTCCCTTCTCTGCCCCCACGCCAGTATTTCTTTACATCCATAGGAAGGGCAAATGCGTCATCTCATGGGGGGCGCCCAATCATGACGTTAGCTCATTATATAAAGCCAGCCACTCCCTGCTTCTCCTGCGTCGCCATCCTCATCAGTCTCAGATCAGAGCTGGAGTGCAAGAGAAAGCCATGGGAGAGCCCGGTGGCCACATGTACGACCTCCTCAACCACGCCTCTGCCTCCTCCGGGGGCATCCGCAAGTCGCACCCTCCCCAGCCTTCTTCGCCTCGTATATTCAAGTGCCGTTACTGCCCCCGCATGTTCTGCACCTCCCAAGCCCTCGGCGGCCACCAGAACGCCCACAAGCGTGAGAGAGCCGCCGACCGCAACCTCAGCCCCACCTCCCAACCCCAACTCCACCACTCCCATTTCTTCGATCCCTACTGGCTCCGTGTTGAACCCGTTCCCGTCGCCGGGCCTCACCACCATCTTCCTCTTCCTCCCCCTCCTCCTCCTTCTCCCCCCAGGCCTGATCCTCACTTTGACCACGTCAACCACCTCGACCTCACCCTCCGCTTATGAATCAATCATGCATCCTTTTCTTCGGTCACTTGTCTTGCTTCTTCATGGCCGGCCGGAGCGGCTCTCTCTCGTTTCGACATGGAAGGGCCTCTTTTTTCCTGTGAATCACGTCCGGCAGCTGCGGCTGGTCTAAGTTTATGTTTCGAGTTGTCGCTATTTATATATCTATGATATAATGTATATGCTGGCTTCAATTTAAATCTCAAGCTTTTGTGTTTTCAGCAGTTCCCTCTCTACACGCTCGACGTCCTTTATTCATAATGATCTCATGCTTTTTACAATTCCACACTACTGGCTGATGCCCTTTTTTTGTTATGTTCACGTTATCCGCAACTGATTTTATCCGCTTAGTTTATCTTGTTTTGGTGGCCTAGTGCATATATTATTGTTTCATCGTTAAGTAGTTCTCGAAATATAACGAACCAACCAGCTTGTTCGATTGGGAGATTGAATATATTTATGACCGTGCAATTTATGATCACCTTGATATACTGATCAAAAACCCTATCAGACTTTTTGTTCAACAAAAGGCCCTGCTAGCTGCTTCAACTTTTAATGAACTTTCTCGCCATTCCAACCTCTTTTCTTTTCCAGTGATCTCCCCTCATTAACAACATAAATAATGAAGCCCTTGGCATTTGTTTCTGGGAAGATCCTTTCCTTTATAAAATATCTTAAATACATGCATTTAATGAATGTCATCCCTGGCCAAAAAGTAAATGAAATATCTGAAAGAAAAATTAAAGGTGTATATAATTATGGAGTGAAGTTGGAGTTGGAGAAGTGAAATGGTTTGAGGAAGGAAGGAAGGAAGAGGCATGAATGATGGCGAAGGACGTCCATCATGTGTTGTGATTGATTGGGTGAAGGGATGTTTCATAGGGACATTAGAGAAGGAGGGAGGGAGGCGACCTGGCTATAGTTGCAGAGTGCACTTGTGTTGTTGTTTGTCCTTTCAACTTTTCTTTTCTTTCATTTCCTTTCGTTTTGCCCTTTTTATGAAACATGTGTCAGCCAATGTTATGGCCTTTGATCTGCTCCAAATGGAAATAAACACGATCCACTTCAACACCAACCAAACAGAATGGGACGAGGCCCTTTGGTTCTTTCTTTTATTAAACAGAGAAAGCCTGAGGCATGCATCTTGTTATTATAGTTGCCAGATTATGAACCTAACTGAGCCATCAGAGAACTGCACTCTCTTAATATTCATGGCATTGAGATTTATAGATAAAGTCCTGAGTTTCTCTGTTCATGGCCGCCTAACAAGTAACAACTAACGAGGAACAAATATCAACAAAATCTTGTTCTGTTTATATTAATATTTGTCTTTTTATTATAACTCGGTACTCGTCAATAAGAAATGTTTAGAAACTTCATATATACAAGCTTCAAATTGAAATCGTCTGCCTTGCCCTCTTAAATGCATTTTATTGAGGAAGACCCAATATGCCAATATTTTGCTATTGAAATTTGAAACAGAAGATTACCGGTTATGGCCTTTTTTTTTTTTAATGTGGAAATATCACTTCGATTTAAATTAAACTACATAGAAAAGGTCAATATTGGGATAATATAAAACAATTATTTAAATAAAATTATTGCTGTTGTGGGTTAAATAAAATTATTCTTTTAATATCCACTGCATTTTTATTGCTTTTATTTGTGGAATGCATCTTAGACGTACAATCTAAATCTCATTTTTATTCATTTGCTTGTGTTATTTTTTACTTCAAAACAATTCAAAATCGGCAGTCTTGGGTGACGAATTTAAAGAATTATTTACTGTTAAACATATAAGACATAGATTTTTTTTTTTTTTGCGGCCAAAATATAAGACATTGAGGGGGAAGAATCACTTTTCAGAAATACTTTTCTATAAATCGAGACAAACTCCTCTACATATTTATTTCATATAAGACATTAAGGGGGTGTTTGGGTAACCTCAGAATCACTTTTCAGAAGTACTTTTCTATAAATCGAGACAAACTCTTTTATATATTTATTTCGTATACCGTAAAAATACTTTTAAAACTGAAATTTTGTTCTTATCCAAACATCCCTAAATTAGAGGGGGGGGGATTGCAACATAAACAGCGAGTCCAAAAGAAGAATGTGTAATAGGATGAATGGTTGAGGATAAAATGGGAAGGAAACTATGGGGTGGGGAGCATAAATGTTGATCACCTGATGATTGCGTCGAGCACTAAACCAGTACGTGCCGTTTTTTTGACGTCGCAACTGTCCTCAGTCTGCCATTTTTGGCGTCATATGAAGCATTCACTCTGGGCCCACACACTCTCCCTCATCTCCACTTTTCATTTCATATAAATAATAAAGAAATTAAATAGAATTCAAATATAATTTTAATTTATTCTTATTATTTATTATTTTAGATAATAATTTCATAAAATATTAAATTGGGAGAGAAAGGACAGTGGAGAAGATTTTTTTTTGATAAGTACAAGGTATTGTCAGATATTAAATATAAATATCTTTTTTAATAAGAATTTAAATCTGAATTCACCATGTTATAAAAAATTAATCATTTTTATTAGATCCAACCCAATGATAAGATTCCCTATTCATTTTAGTTCAGTGAAGAAACTTTATTCCGCCGGGAAAAGACAACATAATACGCGACGCTTCATTTATGTTGGGCTCGGGACTTGCTACTTGCTAGCCGAGAAAACACAAAACTGATCGGCGGTACAACTCACACGTATCAGCATTTAGCTTAGGAGTGTTTGGATTAGATTCTTGAAAATAATTTTACGGAATTTAAAATGATTATATAAAAAAATTTATCTCAAGTACCTTTTCAAGTGGAAACACCCCTTAGATGGAAAAGATATTTCCCGGCCCAATGTACAACCCCCTTCTTCTCTTTCTATCCTCTTTCTTTTTATTTCTTTATTAATATTTTAACAGTTCAGATTTAAATATTTTTAAAATTATTATTAAAATATTAAATTATAAAAATAAATAAATTATAAATTATATTAAAATTAAATTTTAATAGTTTGCAAGTGGACTAAATGTTTTTAAAATTTTTTTATAAATAACTTATAAAAAATTAAAATGTTGAAATATTTAATCTAATGGTTCAAAAAAAAAAAAAAAAAAAAGAGAGGTTGTTCCTGGCCATCAAGCAAATTGTCAATCAATTCCGTGATAAATTTAGCAGATGAATTTACAGAGTAATTGCCCACTCACCGGACTAATATCTTGATCCCGATATCTTATTGGGCTTGAAGCCCACCGTTAAAGAAATCCCATATCCCCGGTTCCTCTAGATGCGGGACCAAGGTCCAATACTTCAGCAACCATTTGATCAGAACAGCATCAAATTTCAAAGGTCGGAACTTCAGATGTAAAACCATGCGCGGCTTGGTACGCCAAGCGAGACACTATGCTTCTGTAAGGATCGGTTGCTCTTTTCTCCTTCAAATAAGCAATGCATCTCTCAACCTCGGATTTCACTTGTAAGTACAGTTCTTGAGACTTCTCCCTATCTCTCAATTCATGCCTCCTCCCTTACCAACAATCAAAAGTCTTAAAAGTTAATCCGCCAGCATTATATTCTCCTCCGTGAACAAGTTTATGACCGCGGAATTATTTGTACTACGATACAATTTATTGGCATTTCAAGCTGTGAAATTAGTATGCATCAGCTTACCTTCCGTTTCAAATGTTCTTCCAAAATAATAGTAGAACCGGCCAGGAATTTTGGGCATAATTCCTGGCAAATGCATTTGCTGATTAGCCACCTCACCGCTAGCATCGATCCTTGGTTTGACAGGAGAGAAACAGTTTAAATATTATACATTTTAGTATTTTACATATAAAGGCGTAGGGACAGAATTACGAATATATGGAGATACCTCAACCGGGCAGCCTGTTCCGTTAAAGTTTCTATATCAGACCTAAAATAAGGAATCTTCATCAAGTCCTCATAATCGAAAACTACCTGAAAGATGGTATTCGTCGTTATGCCATAAGCCCATAACCGATACATCATGGCAAACCCAGACTACAGCAAAATGCTAGTGTACTGGACATGCACAGGCAGCGTCGGATTGAAGATGAAAGGTCTTAGAAAAGATCAGATATGTTAAACATACCTGACCCAAATCGTCTTCCCCAACAGCACCAAAAGGCACAATTTTCGCTCCAAATCTGGCCGCCATCCTGACAAATTCGGCTTGCTCGGGCCAGAATAACTTGTATTCTTCACCCTGGAATTGTTAAGTTCCAAAACCCGGAGATTAAAAGCATACACTTATGTTTCTTTTGTGAGAATGAGACACGGGGCCAAAATTATTCTAAAATGAGCAAGCTAGCATGATTCAATATTCAGTGTAAGTGTTGAAAGTTAAAACTTTCCAATGGAACAAGTTTACCCATTGGAATTTACCTTCCGATGAAGAGCCTCTCGCATCCCTCCAGGGTACAGTAGGACATGAGACTTGGACGCGAAAAGCTTGAAGAAGTTAGTTGGTGCGACTGGAACTGCACCCAGCAGTCTGAACGAATCAAACGACGACATATCAGGAAATTTTTCACTTTTTGGCCTCATAAATAATATCGGATGTGCCAGCCCTCGTAATAGGATATTTTTTTCCTGAAGAAATCGAGAAACCAGAGGAGCTACTTCCCATCCCAGCAGCATGTGGTACCCCACGAACAGGACAGGTCCCTCTGAAGGAACTCCAGCAAGGCCTTTGACAATCGTTCCGTCCTCCAGAGTTGAGAGCATTACAGCACTAGCGACAGAAATTAACAATCTGCAGCCACTAGGCATTAGTACAATTTGAAGGACACTATTTAAATTATGTTCCCCACACTATAATTCGATCGATGAGAATGAACAGCGATAGTCAGGGTTAGATGTGGCCTAAATTTTCTCTAGTCTCCAGTACCTCTCGTGGCTTCTAAGATCGTTTCTGATACACCTATTAGTACTTTTTTATTTTATTTGGCAAAATGAAAATTTTAGGAGCGCTGCTATTAATCAAGATGTCAGTCCGAAGATAAGTTTCCAAGAGTCAAGAATGTGGGGTGCGTGCGTACCTGTTTTCTTCTATTACATTGTCTATTTCTTTGCGTGTTGGCGGCACAAAATCTGAAGCATAGTCGTGATACTTGCCACGGCGATAGAAAGATGTTTTCTTGATGATGGTTAGCAGGTCAATCTTGTCATCCTGAAACCAATGGGGGAAAAGCATTACCTTAATTACGGTCAAACGAAAGTCAAAGAAAATTTGAAATGGAGATTGGAGAGAATTATACCAGGAAAAGGAAATGACCACTGTCATCAAACTTACGAACGTCACAGTTAGGCAGTAAACGACTAAGTCTTTCACCTTCCTGTTGACTAGGTAACAACTGATCCCTTCCGCTAAAAATGGACAGATATTAAAGCTTAGCCCAACATTACATAAAAGAATCATAAAACCCAAAAATATGTGAAAATATATGACATCTTCTTACACTAACTGCAGCGATCCAATTTAAGTCACAGACCAGTCAATTTAAGGATTTACGAAAAAAATGGAGTGAGCTCTGGAACAAATGATAAGAGAAAATGATAGATTTTTCAGTTAACTGATTTCTTTCGTCGCAGCACGACTTCTAGCAGCTCCTTTCACCAAAAATATAATGATCGAGAAGGGAAATGGGGGCTAATCAAGCAATTCCTTGTTCTAAGATTGCTCAGCATTTTATTTACTTCATTTTAAAGCAAATTCATCAAGTTGACGCGAAGTTAGAAATTACAGAATAAACCGAATTGTGACCAATATGAATGACAATGTCCAAGTGTACGCACCTGCAAAGTATCAATGTCTGAGCTTTGACATTATGAAGGCGTGAATTGGCATATGCAGAAGCTGACTTAAGCATCGCTAGTTTCCATCGAAATGTTTCTCTTGGTAGTATATCCCCAAGAACCTGAGAACTCAATCAACAACAGATTTTCAATATAGGAACAAGATGAAGGGAAAACTTCAGGGAAGCAACTCGCTCATTTCTGTCCATATTTTTCAAACGCAGCATAATAACCTTTTTAAAAAATTAATGTAACGGGGAAAGAAATATGCTATCCAATTTTGGCTTTATGTCCCCTCTAGCAAGCGGCTTTAGGAACTCCTCTATTTTGAGAATCAAACCAAAACAACGATGTAGTTGAACCTTACAGGGAGAAATGATGACAAAGCAGTGAGATCCTCCGTTAGCTCTCTAGCCGTGTTTTGTAAGGGAAGTCCTTTCAACGTGTTATCCAGTACCATCCTCAGGGGATCACCTAAAGTAGAATTGCTGAAGGCATAAATGGAGAAAGACAGTTTTTTTTCCTAATTTTGGTGAAAGAGAAAGACGCCATGTTGGTGCTTGATCTATGGTAAAATGATTGGCTTTGAAAAAGTTTCAGTGCCTGGGGATCGAAAACTACTTTTCATATTCAGATTTTCTTTTTGTCCCGCATTTCAAGGCATATGTAGCTTTCGGGATAGAAAATAAACCCACGCATCTAGCATGGACATCAAGTAAATACTATAACTTGAGAAACAAGAAAATCAAACCTGCCATCAAACCGAGAAAATAAGGCAGGCCAGGAGATATTTGGCCAGGCATAGTTTCCAACAATGGGGTTAGAAGTTGCAGCTGTGACCTGTCGAATGAAGTAGCTGCCAAAATGAGCATTTTGGGTGAGGAACAGTTAGGTATTTGTGGGTCATCCATTCATTGACATGTACAGTGCGGCAGAGACATTCACGTAATATTGTTCTTACAAAACTCGGGATCAACAACACTACCAATTACAATAAGTTTCATCATTTCATTTCCCCTGGCATTCCTTTAACTAAATTTTACTGATGAGTATACATATACCACAACAGAACTGCAATTCACCGTGCAACTTACTCAGCATTTCCTGATGTACAGCTCTCACTTTTGTTCATGCTTATGGTGTTGAATTATCGTCCTGATTTGACTATTCGTTGCCGATGATTAACAAAACCAAAAAAGATAAAAACTTTGGCTACATCTTAGGAAGTTGGAGGTTAAAATTTACCTGGGTTGGCCAAAATTAATACCAGATCAATATCAGGGTTACGGGCAGCAACAGCCAGGGCAAGGCATGCTCCTACAGAATCACCCACAAGGTATATGGGTCGTTTTGGCGAGCGTTGATTCTCTGACCTAACAGTTCTCTCAACCATCTTCACAAGCTCTGCAATAACCAACGGGGGAAATAGACACAGACAATATGCAAAGTCAGTGAAAAACGACATGTTATAAAAGAGACGAGGGGAAAAGAGAAGGACCTGTAAATGGTGTTCGATCCATAACCGGAATATGCAAGCACCATATGTCAAATATCCTTCATTCAAGGAAAAAGAAAGAATATTTCTCACAAACCAGTCAACAAATTATCTCTTTTTTCTCATAAACAGTTAGCATAAATAACATTATTAGAGTAACATCAAGAAGCAAGCAGAAACAGTTTGGCTTCCAATTATTTGTCTGGTCAGTTACAAAGTGAACTCCAATCATAACATGAAGGTTTTGAGTACCTTCCCAGCTTCTTATGACTTGAGATCATTCCAAGACCGACGCCATCAATCCCTAAAACATTAATTATGACGTAAGCATACTTTCATGAATATCATTTTGTCATAATTCATATTTTGATTTTCATTAAAGTGGGTCAATATTCAATAATACTAAACGCTTGTAAAATGACATACGTAAAGGAAATCTATTTGCTGAACTAAATATCTCTCTTTAATTTAATTTTTAGGTTGAACTAAATCAAAATAAACTTCTATTCATCCTTCTTTTAGGCCATGACTTCTACGTATCCTTGAAAGCCACATATGGTCACCGCCAGTCGACACACCATGGTGCCCTTCCACTCCCCCCGCCCCCCCCCCCCCCAAAAAAAAAGGAATAAATACGCATTCCACCACCCAACTGACTAAGTTAAAATAAGATTCAAAGTAAAATTACGATTATTGAGTTATAACATTAATTTAATCTCATTAATAAAAGGTACTTGTTTTTATCGCATATATATGACATCATATGAAAAGTTATCCCCTTAACCTTTATATTTTTATATCAGAAAAACAGTGTGGGCCTATGAAATGCATGAATATAGAATTTGAGAAATATGAATAATATGAATGGCATGAATATAGAATTTGAGAAATACTGTTCTTTACCTCAATTATTATATATAATTTGAATAAGAATTATAAAAGAAACCCTGTTACGCTGCTGTTTTTTTTTTTTAAAAAAAAACTTCACCCGTTTTCACAAATGTGAAAACCACATAATAATGATCACCAGCCTACATTTAGAGGACCAAAAAGAAAATAAAAATTCTTCCTATAATTAGGACATAATTTTAATATAAAAATTATTTGACTAATTTTATTAAATTAAAAAAATTTCTTAAGTTATTTATTTATAACAATTAGTTATTATATTTTTCAAAATATCATTACTAATTATATGTATTAGTTAAAAATATTATTTAATAAAATATTTAATATTTACCGTCACAGCAAAAATTGCTGTAATAAAAATAGAGCAAGCAAATAGCATACGGCATCCAAGCAAGGAAACTGCCAAAGCACTGGGTCACTTCAAGCCATAAATGCATCTGCTTAAGCACATGTCCTGGCACGATAGCCAGTAGCCACTGCTTTCACTTTGAAAACGTCTGACCAATTACACTTCTTTTATTATTATCATATTATCATTGTACCTTTTCAAATCCATGTCCGGCAAAACCGCATCTCTTTTTATGTATAATAAATAAGGGAAAATCTAGGGCTAGGGACTCGAAAGTGCTACTAGGGATACGATACTTCTTCTGCTCTTTTTTATTTTTTATTTTTCCGGCCAGGAAGGGATCCTGTATACTTCTCCTAACGTGTACATAAAACATGCGCATCAGGCACCAGCGCTTCTCCAGAAACAACTAAAATTTGTATAATTCTTTTTTAACATAAAACTTAATTGCAAATTTCCAGGGGAAAAAAAAAAAGAAAGATTGCAAACTAAATCATAACAGGCGCCACTTACATTTCTAAATTGGAAAAATGACAAAAAAGCCCATAAAAATTAGAAAATTTCACATTAAATATTTTCACAAAAATTTGTTATTATTTATAAATTAAGAGTTATCAAATCTTATAACAAATCTTAATTTGAAATTCTCTCATTTTCAAAGTTTTTATTTGTCATTCTCACTATTTAATTAGAAAAAAAATTAGATAACAAAAGCAAACAAGCATACTTTTCTTCCATTCAAAATTAAAATTAAAAACATACTAAATAAAAAGGTACATTTTTAAAGTTACTTTTATATTTTATGAAATAAAACTTTTTTATCTGGCCTAAAAAGAAATAAAACTTTTTTTTATATAGTACTCCTTTTTATTTTTATTTTTATTTTTATGAACAACAAATAATTGATTAAATTAGTTAAAAACCATAAATTGGAATAAGTTAAACCAAACACTAAAGAGAGAGTGGTCCCCAATCGTTGGGTACTAACCAGGAAGAAAGAGCAGCAGGGGAGAATTATTGAATCGGAAACCAACGTCTAATGGCGAAAACCAGCGAGGAGGTCCACCGTCCGGCCTGATCATCTCCTCCGATTCCTCCAAGTACGCCTTCCATCCTTTCCTTTCCTCATTCGCCTGCTCCCACCACTCACTCCCTTCCTCCACCACCGCCCTTTCCACCCTCATTCCCTCTTCTTCTCCTCGCTTCTCCAATATCCCCGTGGCCGTCGACCGAGTGGCCTCTTCCACCGACACCGCCAATCGCCAGTTCGCAAGAGGTATCCGATTAGATTTGAACCTCCCGGCCGATGAGGTCGCCTCGTACCGGAGACACGGTGGAAAACCGCCCGGGAATACAGAAGCTGCAAGGGGCGCCATGGCTCTGTTCTTCCAGATTCGAAAAAAGCGTATGAAGCACGATCGAATACAGCTAATTAATGATAAGACAATGATTCTACAGTTTATCAAACTGAGCTGCCAGGAGCTTTACTTAGTTGACGGAGTGTGACAGACCGCTTAAAATGTACACACCTATATATAATATCGTTCAATATATAGTTGGAAAGGGGGAGGCGGGGAGGGATCCATGGACACGCTGGCTCTTCCAGTATTATCATTTGATGTTTGACAATTTCCCAATGGTCCAAAAGAAACGGAGGCAAATTTCCTGGTTTCTTATTTCCTGTAGAGTTTTGTCCTTAATTTGTTTTTTGGACAGCGCGACTCCCATAAGACGTTGAACTTAATATTTGGACAGCGCGACTGATGTGATATTTCCAATCAGCTACTTGATATTACTTTCCATTCTTGGTATAAGAGTTGGTAATAAACTAATTTAAATAGATTAAAAAATTTATTAAATTAGTTATTTGTAATAATTAAATGTTATTTTCTCTAAAATATCTTTACTAATCATATTTATTAACTAGAACTACTATTTGATTGAACACTTAATATATGTAAAGACCACAATGATTATTTTGGAAAAAATAGATAAACATGAGAGGTAAAATAGATTATGATTTTATATTTATAATCAAAATAAAAGTCAAACAATATCTTATATTAAGGATCGGATTTCAAAATTTTGAGGAATTGATATTTTATAAATATTGTTAAATAATTAAAATGTTTTTATATAAAAAAGCTTATTAACAAATCATGAACCAGTAGTAACAAATGTTGAACAGCAAATGATAAGAAGTACAGTTACAATAACAAATTATTTATTAACAAGTTATAAATTAACAATGATAAGTGTTGAACAGCCAATAACAAAAAATGTACTGATAATGACAAATTTGATATTTTTTTTAAATTTGACATAAAGGCATCTTAGCCATTTATTTATATTTGAAAAATATCATCTCAAACGCTACTTCATTGGTACTGAAAAATATTTTAGGATACTATGTGCTGCTAAAAATAGTTCAGTGTGCTAACAGTCAGATACTAAGTGTTATAACAAATATTTTAGAGCTCAAATTGGACCCAAAATTATATTAAAATAGATAGTACTGAAGAAATATTTCAAAATAATAAATGACACTAAAAAAATATTTCATGACGTTAGATGTTTATTTTTTTAAAAAAAAAAGTGTCACTCGACAATTTTCCATAGTAAAACCGTGTAGTTTAAAGCAAACAAGCATAGCAGATGGGAAGGGGCAAAGGAGAGAAGACAGATTGACCCCCGCCCCCAAGAGTCATCTTCCAAAACCTTCCTTGACGTTGATATCTAACAAGTCCCATCCGACACATTCGTTTTTCATTCATAAAATCAAAAGTGCATCTACCCATTTATTGTGGGTTCAACGGTAAGAACTACACCTCTTTATTTAAAAAAAAAGGGGATTTGATTCCCCGTCACGGCATTTGAGAGGCATCTTATAATTGACGTGTCTAAATTAACACCTGAACGTATAATGTAGGTTTGTCATGCCCAATATTGGTATCACTTATAAAGAATCATTCAAGCACCTTGTTCTTGATTTAGATTGAGCAGAAACCGCTGTCTAAAATTTTCATACCAGTTAAACAGGAAAAGCAAAAGTGCGTCTTTATGTTTTTTTTTTAATAAAATACTTTAATATCTCTTGTATTTTATCTTAATTATACGGATCTCTTTTCGTTAACAATATTCTAAAAAGATGATTTTTTTAATTAAAATTTATGTTGAAATACTTTCTATTTACTAATTTATCGTTCATAATACTAAATTCTTAAATTTTAATTAAAACTATTTTGAAGAATTTAAGATTTTCTCCTTTACTTTAATTTTATTTTTTATTTTTACAAATTGTTGCTTGTTTAATATTTTCATCATATTGGGCCAAAAAATTGAGTAATTTAATTAATGCAAACGTAAAAAAAATAATTGACTAGAAATTTGATTAATTCTTTGATTATAAATAGGTTATAAATATTTGCAGCAGTTTTTTAAAAAAATTTAAACTATATATTTAATGGATTTATATAATTTTCTAAACTTACATAGTTTATATTATATGATGAAAAAAAAGAATTCAAAATATTTTCTAGCCTATTTAAAAGAAACCTTAAATTTTAATATTTTACGAGGAATTAAAATTATATAATTCTATAATATAATCAAAATTAAAAATTTTGAAAATACATGTATTATAACTATTTTTTGTTGTATCAAAAATTACCTTTTCATAGATATAAATATTTAAATAACATTTTATGTTAAATAGGGATATTTTCGTCAAAATAAATGTTTGAAAGTCAAATCTAACAGTCAACTAACGGTTTCTTAGATGGATGGAAACAAGATCTTAAAAGTATAAGGGAGGTTTGTGTAATATACGTTTTAATTTTAAAAGAGGTTTATATAAATTTTCAAAATAGATGAGAAGTTTCTGTAATTTAACTAAAATAGAGGGATGTCAATATATTTAACTCTTTATTTTTTCTATTTCATGCTCGACCAGCGATCAATTTGGTGTATTTAGATTTTGTTTAAAATGTCCAATTTTAGCATATTGGCCTTTTTTAATTTTGTACTTGTTTTCTCTTATTGAATTAATTGCCTTTTATATCTTTACTTTTTTTTCCCCTTTCATTGTTCTCTGGTTAGTTTTTTTATGTCGCCAAACAAGCACACTTACTAGACAAATAAAGATATAGGCTGGTTTATTTGAAATTTAAATTATACCGGGGAAAAAATGATCAACCCCCAACGTGTCCCGTCTTGGATCAGACTTTCCAGTTTGGCTTCGAACTTAGACGATCCCTTTTTGCAAATCTCAGTGAAAACCGAACAAGCGAAAGCCAAGACGTTCACGACTTCGCGTTGCGTAGATTTCTTCTTCTTCTTTTGACGTACGGTCCCACATTCTTTTCATATTTATGATTGAAATCATTAATAAAGAATATAACAAATGTGGCAATGTGCGTTCCAATTATAGGGTCGTGTCGTGATAAAACTGTTTTTAAAAAGCGCATACTTTCTATATTCTCAATTTTTGCTAATCTTTTATTTCAATAATATAATAAACTATACCTAAATCTCATTCCCGTGATAATGTATACAAGCCATTAACACGGAAAATGCCTTGTCTTCTATATTCGTGCCGGTTTTTTTTTTTTGGGGGGGGGGGGGAGTTCCGCCATCATCGCTTACACAAGGGCGTGATGCACTAGAAAACATGCAAGTGAAATTGAGTTATATAAATTAACCTCAGAAGAAACTTAACTAGCTTAATCAATTTACTATTTGGTGGTTGATTTGTATAAGTGATTGGGAGTTTGACAGCTTTTTTCATCGCCGAAATCTTCGGCCCCTTGTCCAGTTCTGAAGTGATTCTCCCTCGTCCGGGCTGGGCTTTTCGCTTATGGGCCAAGTTTTCTTCTACCATGAATACTTTAAAAACCAAATACATTTTTTTGGGCCAACAATTAAAGCGCTTGAATATATTGCCAAATTGTCAGTGTCAGGCTTTCAAGGAAATAACAGATTAGAATTTTCCATTGTGTCCATTTATTATGATGCCACTTCACATGATCAAGCTTCCCTCGTAAGGCTGATTTGATTTTTTTTTCCCCTAAAGACTAGAAATTGCATGTAGCGTTGAAATGAATGTTTTTGTTAGTTCGAAAGCCGCATGTCACTTCAGACTTTACTAGTGACAGTTCCATGCATTTTGATTGCATAGTTATTAGTTAACTTGTCATTAGCCATTAGCCAGTGAGGCAAACACGCGACATATATGGAGTAATAACACTCAGTCATGTCTCGTGCTTTAAGGTGGGATGATCATTTTCTTTTGCATCCATCTTTATGTTGACTAGTCTCTCTTTCCTTTTTCTCGCTTGTTAAATAAACACTTTTAATTCTGTGTATTCAAAATCCACATGGGCACGCAACACAACAATGCTAAATAGAAATGTGCCAACCCTAGACATTTCAAACAATAGACTTGATGACTAGAAGACGTTTTCAAGGCAGCAACAGATTTTGCTCCCAACCGCCTCACAGGAAACTCCAATCTCTTTCTTTTTCTTAGAAAAATTTGCTTCCAGAAGCGCGAGGTTTTGCTGAGCAAGTAAAGTGGAAAAGGGACCAATTGATCTTTATTATATAGCCGCGAAGTGGTTCGTCTCTGTTGAAGTATTATGGACAGTATGGTGAAAGTGGCCTCTTAACTTGCTTGAAGCTCGGAAATCGGATATATTAAAGAATGGGGATCTGCCCTGTTGGTGGTAAGTGTACATCACATCAAGACCAAGTCATCAACATGGCTGACTTCAATGGTATCTATCAATGCTTCAAGCTTTTCGCCTTTCATTGTGGTTGACTATCTCATTACCATCACTATGACAAGTGAGACACGTAATCAATGTGACAGGAAATGTTACCTATAGGCTGCGCCAATCCTATGTTTCGATAGTTTCAAAGTGCTAATTGCCCTGAAGCAGGGAAATGGAGAGAACGAGGAACAGGGATTTTCTCATCACTGGAATAAGAATTTGTCAAGTTTCACAAAAATTTAGCTGAAAATAATTCAATCTCATGCCTAATTGAGATGTGATATTATGTAACGTCGTACACAACGAAATTGTACTTCCCATTGTCTCATGCAAAAAATAAAGAAGATTGTTCAATCTCAATCACAAAATACCACATATTATCCTTGTTTGTGAGTTCAACTAGCAAAAGAGTTGGACACACTCACAAAAAGAGGGGATTCGACCTTGGAGCACATCACAATGCTAGGGAAGACAACTTTGAAGTTAAGATCTCAGCTCGTAAACAATGAGATCCTCCATCCTAGTTTAATTTATAATGCTGGATAGAGTTAGGGTCAAGAGTTAGTTGATGTATCTTTGGACAGTGAATGAGCCAATTTTTTTTCTAAAATCTAGTTCACAAAAAAAAAAAATCACGTATCAAAAAGTGCTGTAAAGTTCAGTCTACTGCTCAAACTAGCTGTTCTTTTCTCTTTAAATAATTTCTGCTTTGAAATAGAAAAGACTGTTTATAAATTCCTAATGTATCATTTAAATATAACAACTATATATTTTAAATCATTCCTGTCATAAAAGCGAGACTATTCAAATAACTAAAAAGAAAAAAAAAAAAGCAAGGGATGGTAGCACTATTTTCATCATTAATTTTATTAATCTCTATTAGCTACAAAATTGTCAAGAAAAACAATTAACGATTTATTTTGTGCTTTGAACTTTTAATACCTTATACATATAAAGTATTTGGAACGAGTCACTTTCTTCACATATTTGAACAATTTTATCATTTTAAACTAACAAGTAATATTAATAAATATATTTGCTGACAATTAACTAGTAGCAAATGATTAACATGTTAAGAGATAGGTATCCCTCAGCAAGAATGCGTTGTTGGTCATGTTCAGCATTTTTTGGTCGCCCGTAGGGCCTAAGCATACGTGTTTGGGGCGTTGGAGTCAATTGAGGCTTACAAGCAATGCACACCGATAGGCTGCCCCCATATCTTGGGCATAATGCCAGATCTGGAACTTGCAATTCTTCAACATCACATTTTCTTCCTTGTCATCTTCTTCACAACATTGAATCAGTCGGCCCCACAGCCATGAATGGTGATCCCTCCCCCCCCCCCAGGGGACTCAGACTAGTTCTCATTTCTTGCTATAAAGCCAGAAGCCCTGCCTCTCCATTTTCATGCCTTTTTATTTCTGCGTTTTGTACTCTTCTCCATATCTTGGAGATCTCAGCAGCTGAGACATGGCTGACCAGTGGAAAGCTGATTCGCTCATGGCGGTCGCTGCATCAAGCCCAACCCCACCACCGCAAAACATGACGTTCTTCAAGGCTCAGCACATTCTCAGAGGCCTAGCTGTTCTGTTTACTGCAATTTCCGTTGCACTCTTAGTCACTAACTCCCAAACCGTCACCGTCTTCATGATCCAGCTCCAAGCTCACTTTTATTACTCTTCTGCCTTCAAGTAGTATCATTTTAAATATTCCAAATTTCCAATCTCAAACGAACCTTCCCATTAACTAATCCTTCACACTGGTCTGTTAAAAACTCGTGCCTTCTTTTCTCCTGCAGATTCTTGGTTGCTGCAGACGCTATAGTGTGTGCATCATCCGCGGCCACTCTGATTGTGATTCGGCTTCTGAAGAAACGCCGGGCAATACCACAACGCAGGCAGTACTGTTTCTTACTGTTTTTGCATGATATTGTAAGTCATATGTGTTTGTGTATTATAGTTAAATAGTGATGAAAAGGACGATTCAGTGAAGTGGTTGATGAAGAGAATTGCAGGTGATGATGGTGCTGATGATGGGAGGGTGTGCGGCGGGAACGGCGATAGGATATGTGGCGCAGTACGGAGAATCGCATATGGGATGGGACCCAATATGCGACAAGGTGGCCAAGTTCTGCAGAATCAATGCGGTCTCCCTCTCGCTCTCCTATTTGGCCTTCTTTGCCTATTTAGGACTCACTCTTTTGGCTCCTTCAAACTTCCTCTCCTATTCCTCACAACTAGCCACCTAACTCTCTCTCTCTCTCTATGTATATATCGTTAATCATATCTGTATCTATCTATCGCTTGCCGTTTGCATATACACTCTAATCGCTACTTATCAAGTACTCTTTATATATATATATATCTATTTATCTTTCTATATGTATCAGTTAAATTTCATCTCCTTTCCGAGTAATTTGTTCATCCTGGCTCTGTTTGGTCAGCATGCATAAAGTGCATATGCTATTAATAAGGTGTTCGGGTAAAAGTAGTCTTTTTACAAATTGAGGCAAACTACTTCACGTAAATATGTCATAAAAACATGATTTTGTCCCCCCCCCCCAATCCATTCGTTATTTTCTTAGTGCCGATTACCGAAAGGACCAAAAGAAGTCATCCACTTTCCCTTAAAGCTTGATCCCGTGGAGGGTTCTGATTTCACTGGTTGTAAGAACTTTTGAGGAATTTTAAATGAAAGCTAGACCTTTCAAAGGATCTACCTATATTTTTCCAAAAAAATAAAATAAATTAATACGCCCTCCGTACGTGAATATGTAAATACAAAAGTTTTATCTTCATATGGGACTGGAGAAGTAATTATTTTCCTTATTTGCAATCTGTTTGCAATCTTCTCAAAAATTACTTTTATAATCTTTAAGATATCTAAACGCTATAATCCTCTCCTCGGTCAATTTAATATGTATTTTTCAAAAAATTGAAAAGAAGCGTCACACGTTTTTTGTTCAAAAAAATAGAAAGATAAGTGTGCTTACTAGTACATGAACATACCCATATCTATTTATTGCTCTGTACGCCAAATCATCTCCATCACGCAGTAAAAAAAATGCAATTATTGCATGGAAATGTGGTCATTTACACACGAAATTCCATCCTGACTAAGTCACCCAAAAAGCTGAGAAAACTGGTCTCGTTCTTCAAAGCTCCGGTTGCCTACTTTAACGTGCTGCGTATTTCTTAAACCTTGAACGAATCATCATGAGTGAGACTGATTAAGAATTTTGGCAAACGAGACTCATTTTTGGATCATTGGTGAGTATGACCAAATTTAATTGACAAATTGTTTGAGGAACTCATTCGTGCTTGATGTATCAACTTTATCTCTAGTGAGGCGTTCCACAATTTTATGGTAAGCTTCTGAACCAACCATCGAACTGGAGATTTCCGTGGCAGTTCACAATCTGTGTCTCTAATTCCTCTCAAAATCATTAATTTCGGCTTCAACCTCATCTTCTTCGCTATCTTTAAGATGTTCTTTCAAGGTTGTCCTAGACTTTCCCAGCCTTCACTATCCCATACTGCATCTATTTCAGGCAGCTCATAGTCATCTGGACTCAATGACAGTTGAAAATCAGGTAGCTCAGGCAATTCTTGGAGACCCCTGCATCATATGTGAGCCAATCGCTTTCATCTTCCATAGAAATTTAAGGCATTTATTAGGCTAAATTCTAACAAACGAAGCTGCTTACTTCTCTTGTTCCAAGAGGTAGCCATACATCTGAGACTTCCTCGATGCAACTTCAGGAATTTTCTGCTGTAAATGTTTCATAGCACCCCAGAGGGAGCAGCCCTTCACAAAGAGAGAGATAATCATTTTAAGGAAAAAGAGTCTTCTGGAAAACAAATTCAGACAAAATCTTAGGATCACACAAAACCTGGTCACTGGAGCTGCAACACAAAAGCTTAAGCGGGCCTTCCTGCTCTCAGCTAGAAGTTCTTCTGCAGCAAGAAAACAAGACACAGCACCAACGGGATTGCTCGGTTCATTATCCTTGTCGAGAATCAGGCCATGGTAGTAGTAGGCTGCAGCCTGACGCCACATTATAAAAATGGGCCACCCACGTATTTAATCATCCGAATTATTGGATTTTATTGAATGTTGATGGAATTACTAACCTTGGCTTCAAGAATTTCCATTTGATGAACCGGAGATGCTTTTTTCCATAATCTTGGTTGAAGCCACATTCCAACAAGCACTGATAAGCCTGCTCTTCAAAGTTTCCAATTAACCGAAGTTAGAAGATATATCAGTGGGGGGGAAGATGTATCAGTAGACTTTAGCGAGATAATCTGAACGTATTACAAAATAAAATTAATGAGTTAAGAAGTCTAATGATGAGCAAGTATTCGGAGGTTGGAGGTGAAGACCTGACTAAAATAAATCAGTTGTTCACATGCCAACCTTCTCTTCACCGACAAAGTTGCGTTCTGACATTCAACAGCAAGGCCAAGCTGAATTTCTGTTCCCTGAATTGTCATCCAGATGATCGATTATAAGCATCCCTTGTTTATAACAAAACTATAAGGCAGATTATTATTTAGTGAAGAAAGGGAGGTTTTATGCCATGATTGCATCTTAGCAGAAGCGCGCAGAGAAAAAGAACCATGTTCATAGTATCATGATTTCAACTAGACAATTTTAATGGCCATTTTGGTATGCTATTTGGTATGCATGGAGATGGTTTTTAAGTACCTGGCCAAGTGCTTGAATGTATAAAGCCTCTAATACACCATCCTGCAAACCGTGGGGTAAAATTTTCCTGCATGTTGTGTTGAGAAAAAGCTTAATAGTGTGTCTAAAAGATCTCCAATTCTGGTTGTAAACTTGCAATGTAGAGGCTAGAGAGAAACGCACTTAATTTCAAGTGGTATTCGAGTGAGAAGATCCCTGACACAGAACTGCAGGTATCCTGATGCCTTCAGTAACAAATCCACTGCTTCCCTCTTGCTATCTGGTAGCACAAACAGGTTCTGGTTTCACGTTGTCGGCCTTCTATAATGTGGAATAATTATAGTTTTGTGTATTAAAGCGTAACCTGAAGATACAACCCTTATTCCGGATCCTGAATGGTCCTTCGGAATCAATAACGAGTCAGCTTCTGACAGTGTAAGCATAGCCATAAGATGAACTATGGAAAGCACCTCAAACCAGGCATTTGCTACACAGCTATCCTGCAAGTTAGAGTTGATCGTTCGGGTCAAACGGGCTAAAATGATCAATAATGATGAAAGTTTTGGGATGACAGCCATACTTGTCGCCCATCCTGGAAATTTTTCCACTTGAATTTTATTAATCCCTCGAGACCATACTCTGCAAGATGAGAAAATTAAAACCCGTTTAAGAAAGGTAAGGAAGGCAAAAAAGGAGCAGCAAGGGATGTGCTTAAGTTTCTGAAACCTTTCTTAGTAAGCCCAACAAGAACGGCCAAGTATTCATTCAGAGCTCTCCGCAGTTCTGCTATGGCAGATCCCCCTACAAGAATCAATTAAACTTCATAAAAATCACGAAACCAGTGAAGAACAGAGGACCGTTGAAATATTAAAAGAGCACAAAACTAGAGCTAACGAGTGAATTCGAGTGGGAGAGGTGACTCACCAGTGTCCTCAGCCACTAGCACTATCTGATTCCGAAGGGAAGAGAACTTGTCAGCAAGATCCCCCGGAACTAGCCCTTTGAGCGCCCTATGAAGATCAGATTGGAGGGGGAATCGGATGGAGGGAACAAAAACCACCACTTCAGGGATACTTGTCTTCTTCTTCTTCTTGCCAAGTGCGTGTACAGAGTTAGTACAACCCATTATTTTGGCCGATCACTTTTTTCAAGCATAACATCCTACATTAATCAAACAACCATGTTCAAAACTCATGTCTATTACAATGACAGTGTTCCGAAGGACCAAACATTGGTGAAGATGAGAGCATGAGCGAATGGGAAATGAGGGAACTTAAAAACAAGCATGGTTGGCACATTTAACAGCGAAAGAGAGCTAGCTAGAATTCAGCTGTGCTGAAGTGGGCGAGGAATGGAAGTTAATCAGGTACAGTTTTTCTGATTAGCATATTAAAAAAATGAAAATAGAAATAAATGAATAATACACCATCCAAATGCATGAGTGGCTCCGGGACAAAAAGGACAGTTAAAACTGGTAGATTCAAAATAGGCTGATAAAACATTGAAAACCCAGATCACACTAAAGGTGGGCAAGTTGGGAAAACAGAGCAGAAGAGAATAAATGGGATATTTAAAGGGGAAGTATCTGGGACAAAGTTATAATTTTTTGATGAATTATTGAGAGCGAGGAAGTTGGAACCAGTGACTTACTGGTTACAGAGGGGAGAGAAGCAGAGTGACAGAGGCGAAGCTTCGAGGAGGGGAAGAAAAACATAGTAATGTGGCCATCTCAGCTGTATAGGAAGTTCAGGAACCGAGACAGACTCACATGGCGAAAGCGTAGAATTCTCTGCATCGCTGAATTTCAGTTGGAGTAAAGAGAAGTGATATGATTTGGAACTTTTATGAAGAATATAATAAGCTGATACCGTAATCTGATTGGATGATGAGGGGTCCTATGATTGCAATATGTGGATCGGATCAGATGAGAAGGTATGCACATGGCTTTGGGACGAAGCATGCAAGAAGCAGTTTCAGACTATTATTTTTTAATACGTTAAAATGGTTCAAAACGAAAAGGCACCCAAAAAAAAAAAAAAAAAGCATAGGAAACATTTAAAGAAGACAAGAAAAAACTTCATTTGGGTTTAGATGAGAAGTTTAGGTGTGCCTGATTGATAATAAATACTCCTCCAATTTTAAATATAAGACTCTTATGCATACTAGTATAAGAGTCTTATATTTAAAACCAGAGGAGTATAAGTAAAATTGTAAAGGCGTGGGTTCTGTAGCCAGAAAATGCTTGATCCGTTGGTGCACAGTATACTCCAGCGTGGAAAAAGTAGTATAACTAGATCAATCTGGGAATTGCAATGATGGATCTAATGCTTTGAAAAATACCGCGTGAAGTAGTATCAAAGACGAGACTGACTTTCAGACATGCTATTTTGTTATGTTCAGAGTAAACCTTGGAAAGATACTTAGAGGCGCCTTGATTAACGTAGCCAAACTTACCGGATCATCAATATACGACCTAAATTAAAGTCAATGATTAGATTCTTAAGTTTAATATTTTTCCGGTTCTAAATATAAGACCCTTATATATTAGTATGTTTAAGGATCTTATATTTAGAACGGAACCCTTATATACGAGTATGTATAAAGATTTTATATTTAGGACCGGAAGAGTATATGAATAAAAATACAAGGTAATGAAAGAAAACGGTAGGAAGAGACATTAATGCCCCTAAATCTGATCTAATACAAACACGCACAATGAAGGTGTCAACCCCTGATTCTATTATTTACTCTTCTCAAAGCTGAGAACAAGGTAAATGATTGTCATTGCAGTAATCTGCCAGCCGTCTCCATATTCAAATCAACTAGAGCCTTGTGGAGTCAGCTACACGCAACAGAAGTACAGAACCGCCATGGCTTGACATTCTCTAACGGAGGAGGAGGGAGAAGAGCACGTGATCAGCATTGGCTTAGGCTGAATTGTGATTGAAATTTAAAGGCGAGGATTATAATGAGGTGACTTGCAAAGAAAATAACTATAAAAAAATTTCTAATGATAAGTAAATACTGAAAATTATAATTATCATTATCATATTATATGCTGTTCTGTACTGTTGTTTTAGGGCTTCTTTAATAATTATGTTTTGTTCTTAGAATTTTATTACAATTCTCCCAATTTAATGCATACATGCACATGCCACTCTCTGATTCGCTGCGTTTGCTGCCAGCTCTCAACGGAACCCTCCCAGCATGAATTTGTTCTGCGTATAAAAAAGACCATATAAAAATAAAAAAAAAATTGTAAATAGGGACCCATTACAACATTAATATAAGTTTTCATAACAATTTATAAGCAAATCACAACAATTTTGTGAATAGGTCTCTATATGTAATTTGTAAATTTTTAATTTTTTTTAACGATTTTCTCAAATTTTAAGCGGTGCTAAAAGTTTTGTCTGCACGATAATTATCTGTATCAATTAAGAGGTGCTTGAATCAACGGAAAAAGAAAAGGGGAATTTTATTTTTAATATTTTTTACCTCAGTTTCCTTTAAACACTTGATTTTGAGGTATAGGAGATGATGATATTTTTAACTAACATTTTTCCTTGCGTAATTTGGTCAAATATTTTTATAAATAATAACGGAGGGAGTATCATTTACATGAGTTTTTACAGATTTAGTTCAATCAATGAATTATCACTTACAGCTGGAATTACTCATATTCATATGCATCAATGGCAAAAGAAGTAAATTTACATGCATTAACTGCCAAATGAAAGAAAACGCTAATAAATGCGAAAAAATGCCGTTTCATAGTTAATGCAGCGAATGGGCGAAGGCCAGAGGCAATCTTTGATTTTTCCCTTTCTTTGGCCTAAAAAATGAAATTTTCATTCGCATATTGTCAGTTTGATAGCGTTTAAGAGATGCAAAGATTTGTGAAATTTTGTGTTTAAAAAAAGGATTATCAGGAGTATACTTTGATTAGTTTTCCTGCATATTCCAACAGTCCAATCGCACATTAAAATTGTTTTACAATTGAAAATTTTTTTCATCTCATCATTAATTAAAACTATCAAACTTTTTATTTTAAAAAAACCGTGCTTAAAGAACACATATTAAAAATTTGCAAGATGAACACTTCTTTTAAAAAGATGAATACCCCAATAATTATTGCAAAGCAACTTGCACATGTGACCACAATTTCTTCTATAATGTAGTTCATTATTGGAAATCTAATAGGTAACTCAAGTAGTTAACGATTGCAATTACGATTTTTTTAATGAATTTTTTTTTCATATTTTTTTACTAATACTTCTTAATTAAATTACGTGAATGCAGGTGAAAAATTAAAATTAGTCAACAGCTATAATTAAAAAATATTTTCAAAACAACCCTTCTAAAAGAGTAGGAAGCGTTATTCTTAAGTTATTTTAAAATAGATTAAATAAAAATTTTGAACAATACTTACATTAGATTTTTTATATTTATTTTGTCAAGTTCTCTAATTACACGTGATTATATATCCTATTTCTAAAATATTAACATTTAATAATATTTAATTATAAATTCATATGAAACAAAAAACATATATGACCAAGTGTGATTGGAGAATTTGACATAGATATAAGAGACCTGACCTAAGTTTTTTTTTTAAAAAAAAAACACTTTCAGTAACTTGTCATAAATATTATTATAATCTGACATAAATTCTATATTTAAGAGGTATTAAGAATGAGGATCATATTAGAAGAATCACAATTGTTTATTACAAGTACTTTGGAATTTATGATGATTAATGCACTGAAAAAGAATAATGTGGTCATAAATGAAAATTTTCACGCTCCTTTGATCATACTGTTGGTCCTTTGATTCCATCTGGAAACATGTTTGTGACTTCCTTTTATACAACTCTGATCTTTAATATGAGATCTTATTTGACTTTTATTTTGATTCTAACTATAAGATTCCAATCTACTTTGTTTCTTATATTTATATTTTTTTACTCAAGGTAATCCTTCTAATAATGGTAGTTTAAGCCAATACACTTGATTAGTAAAGATATTTAGGAAAGATAACACTTATTTATTACAAATAACTAATTTAACTTATTTCTTTAATTTATTCTAATCAGTCAACTAAATCTTATATTTAACCTCTCACAATATTGTATCTATTATTAATGAATTACCATTTATAATTAATTATGGATAAAAATAAAAAATATATTAAATTTTAGAGATCTCCAAATATAGCTTATAAAAAAAAAACTCATTAAAAAAAAGTTTATAAAAATGAGCTGGGAAGTAGTATTTCATATTAAAACTTTAATGAAATTTAAGAACCATTAATTATTCTTATCCAGAGTACAAAATATTTTTTTCCTTTTTAGAAAAAAAGTCATAAGAAGTATCTATAAATTAAATACACTGCACCTTTGATTCCAGCTTCCCCTATAAATACCGTTGAGCCTGACTCATAGACGCCACTCCAAGTCAGGTCTAAGCTCTAAGATCATCTTATAGGCTGCAAGCCAGTCACCATGGATCTTGAAATATTGATCAATTGGCTCCTGAATAACTCAGAACTGCCCCTCCTTCCTCCATGGGAACGAGCTTATGATGTCTCAGTAACTATATATCTTCCTTACTCTCCCTGTCTTTTTATGTTCCAACGAACGCATGAAACTTCCACTGATAGTGTTTGATTTTGCAGAGCGGGCTCATTTTCTACAGGAACAGTCAAACAAGGTCAACTGTATTTGATTTAAGACCAACCATTGACTTGGGAGGTGGCATCATTCTGGACAACTACAAGTGGTCGTGCATGGGAAATAGGGCAGCCTCGTTCGAGAATATTGTGGTGCAGCCTCTGTCCTTCACACTGAGATTCCATAATCTCAGAAGCTTTGCCAGATTTTTCCTCTTTCGCGCTTCCTGCAGCCTTGTCCCTATGCATCTCATTGTGGCACACCCTCTCTTCCAGTGCCCTTTCTGCCATTGCTTCATCCCTCTCATATAATCCTTGTTTGGCTACTTATTAATCTTGTGTTAATGAGCAACTTATATCCTTTAGGTATGAGGATGCAATGGCTATTTGGATCCATATGTGTGCTGTTCTTCAAATCTGTGATTTTACATGCTCTTACCCTTCTTATGTAGCAACAACTATATGCAAGTTTCATGTAATCTAATATGCCTTCACCCTTATTGTGTTTGTTAGATTAATTGTAGCTGAAACGTATTTGAAAAATTGGTCAACACACTTAGGTTGACAAAGTATAACTACATGATATGATCCTCGAGAAGGAGGAAAGAAAAACGGATTCTCAATAATTACCGTATTTATTATGAAACAAGATGCATCCTTCGTGTTTTGCTTAGGATGTAAAAGAAACACGTTTCGCATCTATACTTTATGATTAGGTTGAAATGTATCTGAAACCTCAGTGGATGTACTGGGGAGATAAAAACGGATTCTCATTAATTATCATGCTTATTATGAAATCTGATGATGTAGCACCCAATTTTAATAAAAGCGCGCGAAACGAGACACGTTTTACTTGCATATTTTATTTTACCAATAGGTTGCAATGCATTTGAAAACTGAGCATGTATATCGAAGTTATCAAAATGCAGCTATATGATACAATCTTCTGATAAGGAGAAATAAAAATTAACTCTCATAAATTACCATATTCATAATAAAACTAGATGCATGCCTCTAATTTTGCTTGAAATATAAAGTAAGACACCGTTCACATCTTTATTTTATTTATCAATAGGCTAAAAGCCTAAAATGTATTCGAAAACCCTGTAAATGTATTGAGATTGTTAAAGTTCAACGGCATGATACAATCCTCTTAAAATAACAATGAATTACTTTTAACTATCACATTTACTATGAAATCAGATGCAAACCGCTTATTTTGTTGTAAAGTGAAACACAGTTCACATGCGTATTTTATTCTGCAAATAAGCTGGAATGCATTTGAAAACTAGATGAACGTCCCTATGTTGTTAAAATACAACCATACGATGCAATTTTCAAAAAAAAAAAAAAAAAAGAGAGGAAATAACAGCAACTGGCTTATATATTACGTAACAGATGTTGGTTCCTCGTTTTACTTAAAATGTAAAGTCAGGCACGTTTTATACCCATAATTTAGTTTACAAATAGGCTATATGAAAGCTTGATGAATATATAATGAGATTCTTAAATACAGCAGCTAAAAATTACTCCTGCATGAAAGCTTCAAGCGTAAGCAGGTTTTTACTTTCTAAAGTACTTAGGGATAAACTAGATGCGACTATTTTGTATAATGCATAATAAATTGTCCCTTACTAAGTTATAGGAAAAACATGAGTACTTTCTTTGCACTCACTTACTTCCCCAGCTTTCTTCCATAGCCCCCCCAACGCATTAATTAGTATTTATTTGGTCCTATTTATAAAATTTATTTTTAATATATTAAATACAAACTAAGAAACATCTTAAATTTTATTAATTTTCATTTAAAATTTAACAGCCTTTTCACTTTATCTCCGTTTAATATATATTATATCTCATGAAAACAAAATCAACGCAATAATAAATGAAAAATAAAAGTATACATTATATAAAAAATTTCTCTCTCTGTTTTATAAATAAGACAAAAAATTTTCTTCTCTTTCTACCTTGTAAATAGAAACAGAAGAGTATTGTTAAAATTTGTGAGTTTCTCTGCAGAACCAACTTCAGGGTTTGATCCGGCAGGCTTGCATTAAAAGAATCCGTATAATGCAAGCATCTTACGAAGAAAAAGAACAAAATGTAACATACTCCTTAATTTACGTAGACACAGGCAAAACTAAATTTGAAGAAAAATATAAATATGGCGAGAATATTAACGGAAAATTGAGTTGGGGGGGGGGGATGTCTCATTCAAAATGTCATCGGGGAAGATATCCAAGTTAGAGTACCCGTATTCTTTGTTTACAAAATGCCCAGACTACCAATATTTTTTATATATAAAAACTTACTAAGTTCTCCAAGCTAATAAAAATTCTCAAGGGAGATTTTTCTTCAATTCTCATGAATATTAAACAAACAGGAAATTATCATTAAAAAATTAAATTAAATACGATAGTATCAATAAAAAAATTAAATACAACAGCAAAAATCCAAAAGCCCGGCCCCTTCCCTCGTCATTTCTTCCCAAGCAAAAATTGTAACAGTGGACCGAAAGAAGTCCCGGGCTCAAGAGGCGGCCGATGATGGTACTGCGATTCCTGGCACTACAAAATTTGATATGCTTTCCGAGAGGTGCTTCACTGCTTTATCAAAATTCACAAAACCCATGAACCAAAAATCATATCCGTCGACCGTCACAATCTGAATATACTTTTCCGCCGAGCTCTCCTTCATGATCACTGGGTTCACCGACCCGATCTTACCCAAAGGCACCATTAGCTGGTCAACAGTCACAAGATTTCTAATTATTAAGTCATTTCTTACACCCAAATCAATTGTTACATCCGGTCTATTTCTAATGTTCATCAAATTTGACAATCATTTGGGTAAAATTATAAAATTCAGAAGCGGGATTAGGGATCAGCATTTACCTTGTAGTGGCTCCAAGCCTGTTGCCCAGAGGGTGCGCTGTAAGATACGGGGCTATCGCTGCAAAATGCGATGTGAAGATTAGAGAGGTAGAGGGTTCCTGAAACTGGACCTGCCGATGTGGAGATGTGACAAGCGAAGGTCTTCTTGAGCTTCTCGTTGGGAAAAGTTGCGAAGTTTTGTTTGTAAAGAGCCTCAAATCCGCCTCCACTGATGGCTTTCGCGGTCAGATTCATCTTCCCCCAGGCCGTCGAAGACACCGACGGACTTGTTCTAACTGCAATCAAATAACAGCAGAGTCAAACACTCAGTTTCCGATCGGCACGAAGTCGATGAAAACAAGAAACGAAAGGAATAGAGACAGACGATTGTGCCAGACGTTGTTGGCGGTTACTTCAGCCTTTTTGCCCCATGAATCGAGGGTGTTGAGGATGGATTCCATGGGACTAGCGGGAGGCTTCTCAGCCGGAGAGTGCTGGACGTAAGGATGGTGGTAGTAGGGAGCCGATGGAGAGGAAGAAGATGCAGATGCTCCTCCATGGTGGGTAGGGGCAGAGGTTGAGGGTGAGGGATATTGAGGAGGTGACTGGTCGGCCTTCATTAGGATCTTGCAGAGTAGGTGGGAAACGCTTTACTTGTTGAATCAAAGTTTTAAGCTCGACGTTTTATGAACTGTTCCAGGTTGGTTGCTTAACCGCGTTATTGTTGCGACTCCCAACTCCCAAACACGCTTCAGGTCAAAAAAAAAAAATCCCAAACACGCTCGCTTTCTCACTCCTTCTTCCTCCGCTCTGTTTCCCATCCATAAGCGGTTCCGTGGGGTTTCATTACATTACGACTTGGAATACAAACCCAAAATTTCGGTCAACGTCGTATCCTTATTTTATCTATATTTAATATATATTATATCTCATATAAATAAAGTCAACACAATAATACATTAAAGGTAAAATTATACATTTATATAAAAAATTTATCTCAGTATCCTATAAATAGAATAAAAAAATATATCATCTCTCTACCTTATAAATAGGACCAGAGAAGTATTTATTTTTTATTTTTATGATTTTCAATTAAAGATGTTTAATCTCAATTAATCGACAGGGGGTCTTCACTTAGCGTAGAGTTTAATCAATATTCACTGGCGCATGAATAAATGGTTCATTTAGCCTTCATTTACTCCCTGCGTTCCTTTTATGAGAAACACTTAACTAAATCATATAGATCAAAAAAATTAGTTAAAATTAATGACAAATTGTAAGTTGTTTCTCAAAAAAAATTCTTATTTGTAAGGAAGAGTGAGAACATACGACAGAGATAAATAAATAAATAATGTTTTAAAAGATGAGATGATAAATATATTGAGTATTAAAGTATACATTTAATGGGACAAAACGAAAAATCAGTCTTTCACCCAAAAAAAGAGAAATTAATAAAAAAAATTTGAGGCATTTTATAAATGTTTTTTTAATAAATAGGAACAAAATAGAAATGTTAGTTGTTTTTTATTAAAAAAAAAAAAAGCAGGGAGAGTATGGCAATCAAATCACACGTACGTGTAAAATACGTCTGTAATCCCAGCCTCCAGATCCAAAAACACCGTCAAACACCCGCACGAGAAGAAAGAGCGACTTTGTCTCTTCAAAAGCTTCATTAGATTTCCATTTACACAAGAGGAGAGAAACTTCCCACGCCAAACACGCCCACTTGTCTCGTAGTCTTAATTATTATCCTTTGTTCATAAATAGCATCATTTGATTAAGCTTTTATACTACTAAACAATTTTTTTTAAAATATGAAATGAATTGTACTGCTTGGGTAGTAAATCTTATATTATTCATTAATATAATAATTAATTTATTTTGTAATTAATATTAATTAAACATATAAAATTCACAACAAATAATTGTACGTTACTCCAAAGTGATGAACAGCAGCGGGATAAATGTGACCATAAAGAAAGACCTTCACCCGTCAAGGCAAAGCTGCTTCACGGGGCAAAGCGTACGTGGCGATCGGATATTAAACCGAGAGTTGAGAAGTGTCGAAAAGGCGCATCGTTTTATATTTCGTTTCAGTCTGAGACTCTCCTCGTTGACATCATATCTCGTCACCCTCACCGATGACTAGTTACCACATTGCCCACCAGCAAGATTACCCTCCGCCAGGTTCTGCTTCACCCCTCTCCTCAACTCTGCTTTTCTTTCATTTCATTCATCTATTCGTTGATTTCCCGATTTCAATTATAATTTTTCTCATATTCATCGCTGAATTTTCACCCAGGGCAAGGATCTGCGTATCCTCCTCCGCCGCCACCGCCGAACCCATCCGCACCGGGGCCTCCTTACGGAGGTTATCCGACGCCTGCGTATTCCGGATACCCTCCGCCCCGGCCTCCTCAGCGCCCCCCCCGTCCAGGGGTACCAGGGTTATTTCCATGACCCATATCAACAACCGCCTCCTCCGCCTCAACCGTATCCCAATCACTATCACCAGTACCATGAGACCGACTGTCATTCTATGCTGCGAGGCTGGTATGCTTTCCTTTCTTATTATTTTTTCTGCCCTGCTTTCATCATATTTTAATTTTGGATTATGGGATTCTTTCTTTTATTATATGGTTGAATTAATATATTGACCCCTAACTTAAAATTTGGAACTAACCTACTTTGCTTGAATTTTGGTCTTATCCTTTAGTTCATCCAATAAGAACCCTTCTTTGTGTAACCTCTCTGCGAGTTCCACCATTTCTACACGCTCAAACCCTCATGTTAGTTCCTCTCCGGTCACTCCATTTTATCCCTCCGATCTTATACAATTTATTTGCAGTTCGTATTCTGTTGAAAAAAAATATAGAGGGAGAATTCGAGTGGCAGCACAGGTCGCCCATAAAAGAGTCCCCAACACCCCAAAGAGATATTGCACTTGTTTCAAACTGTTTTAATCTTGATTGGGAATCTTTAGATAGGAATCATTTACTTTGTCAATACTTGTTTTGCCTGTTTGGAGTTAAAAATGGATACTGATGGATGTGTGCTAGTCTGAATTTGGACTTTGATCTTATATTCTGTGACAAATCAATGTATTTATGAGTATATATTATGCTTCCTCTTGTCTAACAGAAACAGTTTCCATGCTATCGTGTCGGGACTAGAGGTCCAATTCATAATTTAACTTCCGTACCTGATTTGATGATGTTAACTCAAGCTTCGCCTTTTTGTTTTTTGGCCAACCAAGCTTCGCATTAGTTATCATTAGGCCAAAACGTTGGAATGTTTGAAATGCTTGTTTGCTTCTTCCCATTGAATATGATATTCTAAACAAGCAATGGTAGTTAGGAAGAGAAGGCCATTGCACAAGACACTTGTCATAAAATACAATGCAATGGTCAAGATACAACTGATCTGATGGTAAGTACTGATTTGGAAGACACATACTTGTTTTGATATGTTCACTGTTGCGCTTGAACATGGACAGTTCAACAAAAGATTTGACTTTGAATTTGATTTCGGCTTCTTTAGACATAGCCAGAGATCCTGATCTGAACATGACAGGTTTAAATATTTGATATTGTCATAGAACTTGGGCTTAAGGTGTCCATTCTTGATGGGCAACTCGTATCACCGAATTAAATTATTTTGAAGGATCATTTTCACATGCCTGCCTTGTTTATTTCTTACGATGTTAACTAATGCGGATCTTCATTTGCCTTTGCAGCTTGGCAGCACTCTGTTGCTGCTGTGTGCTAGAGGAGTGTTGTTCTGATTGTCCCATTATAAAATAATAATGAGTCGTTTCTGCACTTTTGGTGTGCTTGGATGTAGCACTCTCTGATAAGCGTGGGATACTGAGATCTGTCGTTTTATCGTTCTTGTATGCTCAAAACTGTTATGTCTAGAGACTGTGATTTAGTTTGTATGGGTCTATTTGTCATTGTATGCCAACTTCATATACAGTCAGATATAAACTTAATATGTGCAGAGAACCTCCATTTAGCTAATAACATAGTATACTATACTATTAGCCTTTTCTAAATCCACTCTTGCCCTTATGTTGTCGGGAAACTCAACTCAAAACAACAAACACTCCCCCCCCCCCCACCAAAAAGAAAAAAAGGAAGGAAAGAAAGAAAGCTTTTAACTTTGGTTCATGTACTTTTTCTGACAAACGATACCCGCACTCTTTTTTTCATTTTTTGAATAAGATCTGAAACTTCATTAAACTAACAAAAAACGAGTACAAACATAACTAGAAGACCCTATCCTTCATCAACATCCGCCTCCTAATCTAGAGAAGGAGGTTGATCAAAGAGTCAAAAATTCTCAGCTATCCTATGAGCTAATTTAGCTAACCTATCAGCAATAATACCCGAACTCTTTCAAACCTATACACTTTTATCCCCCGAAAGACTGGTATAACGCAATATCCCATTTCTTTGATGTATTGTCACTTGCTTTCTCAGCAGCTAGGCTTCGATTAGCTTCTGGGCTTTCGACTTGGTAGACAATGCTGTGAAATGGTTCTCGGCTCTTCTTCAAATAATTTGCAAGTCCTTTTTTGGAAAAAATTAAAGGGCCAAACATTGAAGACAGGTTATCAGTGAAACTTGTGACCTCTCATTAGTAAAGGAGTTGTATCTCTACTAAATTGTAAGGGTATTGACAATTGCTAACCAGCTTACAACTTTCTCCAGTGTGTTACAGTTAAAATTAACATTTTTATTTATTTATTTGGGTAGATTTTTTTGAAACAATTCTTTCTTCCATCCTACTAAATGGAGGAAGACGCATATTTGTACTTTGTAGATGTGTTTGGTGTCCATGAAAGTCCGGCTGCCTGAAAATGATGTTATAAAGATGAGATGAAAATTTCTGGTTCTCTCTCATTGTATAACCGGCTTCCGAAGACGCCGAAAGATTCGCTTCATTTTTACAGGATGGACCGATGGAGTGTGATGAAGGAGATTATGGCAAATAAACGGTCGTGTAACGTGAATCAGTTTCTCTACATTTTTTCTTCTTTTAACCAACTACTAATAATTGTATCATCCATCTGATATTAAATTGACTAGTCAAACATGCATATTCAGAACCAATTACTCGTTTTAACAAGTCAGGGACACAGCCACTTCAAATCACCGGCCTCTCATGTTCCGGATAATCTTATCACAGGGTGTCTAGTAACCCTCAAGAATACTTATGGAAAAAACTTTTTCACAAATTAAAATAAACTTTTCCACATATAAAAAAACTTTTAAAATCATACTTTCGTTTCTATACAAACACCTTCAACACCTAGCTAGCAAGGAAATTAGTCCAACAGGCATGGTATGGTATTATCGATTACAAGTTATTGGATTATCAACATGGCATAATACCCTAGTAAAACACAAAATGGCATAATACGATTTCAATAAGGGTTGCAGGCAGCATCTCTATGAGGACTGATAAGCAGAGAATGCAAAATAAAACAGAAACAAGCCACTACACCTGGCTAAGATTCCATTAATCAAGTCGGCCTAAGCAAGTACAGAATGCTCGATAAAAGGAAAATTAAAATGGCCTAGAATGCACCTACTGAGTCCATACAAATTCTGGTGCATCCTTCCTCTTCCCAACTAAAGTTCGATAAAGGTACATCTTCTCTACTCTTTGCCCATCCTTCATACTACATTCTTCCTGTTCATTCTCATTTATGATCTCCACATTTAGCCTTGGCATCTTCTGAGCCAGTGTCTTGCAGGCTCCAAGAGTCACTTCGCAGGACGACATCCAAAGGGATCGCATTGTCTCATACTTCCCTACGTCCGTTAGAAGTGCTGTGTTGCCAAAAGGGCAATCTCTTATCTCAAGCTTCCTAAGCTTCTTGCATCCATTCAGCACATATTGCATCCCCTTGTCACTTTCTCCAGCAAATGCAATGGACAGCATTTCCAGCTGCTCAGCATACATCCCAATGTAAAGGAAGACTTTATCAGTCAACAAGCCAGAGAGCGATAACCGCTTGAGTCGCCTGCAAGACTGTACTATTGCCCCAAAACCTTCATCAAGTGGCTGCAGTGTGTCTGGATCAGGTTTCGTCGGCTCCAAGATGCACAACCTAAAGCGGATAAAATTTGGACAGCTCTTCGCCACTGTTATGAGGGCAGCATTAGTCATCTGTTGGCAGAAGTAAAGCAGTGAATGAAGCTTGGGGCAACCCATTGATATAGCAACGAGTCCATCTCCCGTTACAGCCCCGACCAGCCCTAAAGGGATCACATGGAAAAACCCTCAATTCTTGCAAATCTTTACATGTGGCAGCTACAACATCTAGTCCTTTGTCTCCAATGCAATCCAGTATCTGCATACAGAAAACATTAGCATTCACCAAAATAGGGTTTAGTTAACAAAAGGAAAAAGATTCTGCAGCTCATTAGATTCACCCATAATCGCTGAAGTTTCCCACACTGACGAATTAGTTTCCTCAGCTCTTTACCCTCAATCCCTGCTGCATAGCTCAGGTTCAAGGCGGTCAAGTTCGAGCAAATAGGATATATAGCAGGAAGGCAAGAAGGCGCAACCTCCAAAAACCCCGACAAACTGGTTATTGATTTACACTTTAAAATGGTACTCTTGAGCCTGGCATATGTCTCAGAATCCGGATCATGAACAAAAGACCCGGTACCTAGGTCAACTAGCTGAGGTGCTCGCATCAATATCCTTTGGAGGGTATCAAGAGGCACAGCAGGATTTAACCTCAAGCTCTTAAGGTTAGGAGATCTGGCCACAAGCCTTTCAAGAGCTCCCATATTGATCTCTCCTTTGAGACAAGCAAAATTGAGAGAGACGAGTGATGTACAAGTATCAGGAAAGCAGCTTAGCCATTGGCCTTTGTGATCCTCAATTTCATTCTCTTGCAAGTCCAGCTCTCTAAGAAACCTACATTTTAAAAAGAAAAGCAGAAAACTGGGGAGTCAATTCCATATGCTTAACATCATGTAGTTCCTTCAGCGCTAACGGTTTCCCATGACGATCTTTACTTACTCCACTTCAGCAATACCAGAAGGATATTTTTCTCCAAAGAAAAAATTATAAGGCGATGGCAAACAAAAATACAAAAATAGATTAATCAATTTGTTGAGATGCTTCGAGAACTAATTTGTTAGCAAAACCTGACAAGCAGATGGGTAAAGTTAAATTCTGTTAAAATATATCATATTAGAATTGAGAGCATCCAAAGTTGTTACCCACTTCGCTCAGAGACGAGAACTCCTCCATCTAACATTTAGACATGCAACAAAACGCAACAACAATCCACAAAAAGATAATAAAACCCAGCAACAGATGAAAACTTCAACAGACATTTGGACATAGAAAGCAACTACTCATAAAATAGCAGCGCCGCTCCTTCGAGCCAAGGATTTCCAAAATCATCCAAAAACCAATAGTACCAACATTCGTCAAACCAAAAACCCATGTCAACAAACTAAAGACAATGGCACCTACAAATATACAAGGGTCCCAAGAAATTCTGCTCACTTGCAATTTGCAGCAATAGTACCCAGGCCATCGGTGGTGAACCCTTCACAGCTCACAAGAACTAAAGACTTAAAATTCGTGAAGGAACGGGAAAGTAGCTCCAGGCTCATCCGAGACCACCATCCTCTTCAATCTAAGCTCCTCCAATCCCACCCGGTTCTTCGCCAGTGCTTCAATCCAAGGGTAAACAAAGCCTCCCCAATCATGGGGAACTAGATTGAAGTCTGCAAAATGAGGCTTTCCCTTCAGAGTCAGGGATTTTAGTCTAGGAAACCTCTGGATCACCCTCTCCGGGCTGATCGAGTAACAGTTACCTATAAAGACCTTTTGCCGGCTACATCTTTCTATTCTGTACCACGTTTTGCACACCAGAGACACGGCGTTCCGGTCCCGGTGGGACGTCACGAAGTCAAACACGTGGTCTAGTACCTCCTCCGGAAAGTAATTCATCCTTTTCCCTACTTCGCGATCCAGATTCCACAACTCTCACAGAAAGTATTCATATTCCTAAGGTTAAAAAAAAAAGGTTCTACAGAGACGTAAAAGAAGCAGATATGTTGAAACTACTTTCTCGGAAGTCCCAAATCACAATAACAGACCCAAGATCCAAACCCTGATATTCGAGACAATAGCAGAGAAAAACGATGGAAAGTCAGATCTCGGGCGAAAGAAGAGAGAATGAACAAGATCTCTCCAATCACATTCACGAAATAACTTCAACTCTACAACAGGGGGGAGATCTAAAAACTTCACAAAGCCAAAGGGACTATAATTAAAAAAAAAAAAAAAAGAGTGGAGATTTAAGATTTCCCGGCCTGGATCTGCTAGAAGTGGTAGAAACGCCAAAAAAAGAAGGGGCAGAAATTCTCTTAAAGGCAAAGGGGGGGCTGAAATTCCGAAGAAGAGAACAACAGGAAAATCATACGGAGTGACCAATCATCTGCAAATGAAATGGTGATGATGACGTTGGATATATAACATTGAAGAAAAGGAAAGACGGAGCTAATAGATATCAGAATCTATAATTCCCACAAATGGTATTCTACAGCCTAAAAACCACTCCAAGCGGGAGCTTAACAAACCAGTCCCTCCTCTCTCTCTCTCTAAGTGCCTCCCCCTCACATGCCCATGTCAAAGCTGAATTCAGTCAGAGAACAAAGCTCAACCCAAATGTTTGGACTAACTGACCATGGTTACCCCATGACAGTGTGGTTGAGCCAGAGCTTTGAATCGAACGGTAGGCGCCGATGTTTCTTGTGGGGATTGAGAGAATCTTGACCGTCGGCAGGATGAGCATGCATGCGTCCTTATCACTGCTTTCCAAGGGAGCCTCATCTGCAAAAGTCTCCACCCTCCAGCTAGAAAAAGAGACCCAGAGATACAAGACATGCGAAAATCGGAAAGCAACTCGCTACATAATCGCCCCAGCTTTCGTCATAAAACTACGTAAATGCCATAACTTTTTGGTCTTTCAATTAGGCGAGTTGTCATTATGAATCCCCTCGGCGAGTGAAAAAACTCGCGGCATTTGACCACCATATTTTTATCATGCGACCGTGACGCCAGTTTTTGCCCTACCATGACAGCTGTCAACCAACCATATGGAGTGAGTACAATTATTTTTTTTTTGCTGATTCTGCCACAAATTTATAAAAATTGTAACTGTACACGTGGAAAAATAGTACTGTATACAGAAATGATATACTGAGACGGCTAAATTCTATGAATTATGAAACCATTCTTTAGGCTTAATCGTAATAAATCTTGCCAGTTATCCCTCAAAATCTGGTTGCCGAAATTGTGTCTTTGATGTTGATCTCTCTGCTCCTTGCATGTTAATTTTAAAAATAAGAAATTAAATATTTAAAAAATGAAAATAGGCATGTCTGAGGGCATTTTAATGATTGGGAAATAAATCCATTCTAGGCACATAAATGGGAAATTCTGAGATGAACAGAAAATGATGCTGACAAAAACAGAAATTCTCGGCATTCCAAGACTGCCACCTCATTTATTCACTTAACCAATCAAATTGCTCCATTTATATTAATTTAATCCCCCATGTGATGCGCTCTCTCTGTCCATTTATTTATATAGTTTTAAACTATTTTAATATTTTAATTAATCCCCTAAAAAAAATCACCTCCGTACCTCGTTAATCGTCATCCTCCCCACGCGCCAACATCACATTGTTTCGCGGATTCTCCCCGCCTCATCCTTCCTCCATCGGGAACACAAAAGTCCCGAGCTTTATTCGTCTGAACCCAATAAATAGTTTTTTTTATATAAAAAAGGAACTAAAATTTTATTAATTTCTTTCCATGTCAATATTTTCCTCCATTTATGCATCAACGCTAAGGTTTCTCAGCCCAGCGGTGCTTCAAATTTCAAAGTTCGAACTCATTTCCCTGCATATCAAAGGATGGTATATAACTATACTGCATGAAAGTGATTTTTAATTTTTTATACCATTTACATGGTATTTTAAATATAAACCCTATATTATAATATAAATTATATTGTAATAAATCTTATCCTTGGGATTCAGACACGTCCTCCGTTATGTTTCTCTCTCATCAATCCCATCAACACTGATGGCAAGCCCATGAGAGAGAGAAACCGTACAGACTTCGACGCGAAAGAGAGAGCTTTTGTTTGATTAGGGCAACGCATCATAAGAAATGGACTGTTTTGGAATAATACGGCAATAATGGTGGGAGGGCCAGAGCGTGTTTGTTTCTGAGGATATAAAAAAATAAAAGCAGAGAGAAAATTATTTGCGGAGGAATATCTACTGATCGGTCCGATGCATAAATAATGGAGATCGAGGGAGCAGCAGGAAGCACAAATAATTGAAGAAGATGGCACTGTTTGGAACTGAAGATTGTACCAAGAGTCGAGCAAAGTAGTACAAGTACAGTCTCAGCATATCTCAGTTGTGATGTGTGAAATTAATTTCAACTTCAATGGAGTACTTGTGTGTCTCTGTCCATTTATAAAAGCAGGGTTTCTGTCCCCATGCACTGCTTCACATCGATGCATGCCTACCGTCTCTCACTGTAATCCTACCAATACCATTCTCCTGTGTCTTCCTCCATTAATAAATGCTTAATGATGTACCTCTAATGTACATATAGAAAGGTAGTAAATATTTTCCTGTTGCTGGGGTCTATGGGGAACGAGGGTTTTGATGTTTTGGAGAATATATGGGGATTTATATGTATGTGGTGGGAGAATATATATATATATATATATATATAGAAAATGATGCTTTTTTAGATGAATTGAGTGTTTGTTAGAAACAAGTTGCAAGGGAGTGAGCTAAATTAAGCTGTATGATGATTCACGCATTGACCCTTTTTTTGTAATATTATTATTACTGCTTCTGAGATATATCTTTCATAATCATTCATCTCTTTGACTCACTTGAATGCCACGTCCTCCAACATTTTCAACATGGTTTTCCTCCGCCAATGTCATGAACACTTTGATTTGGTCCACACATTCCACACCAGTCCCCTCTTTTTAGCTTTGGAATTCACTAATTACCTAATTACCTTTGTTCTCACTGCATATGTCACATGCCCCTTCCCGATATTAATAATTAAGTGAGTATAATTAACCTAATCATTCCTTCCTATCCGCGGTTGTTTTTATGCCAGCCCCCCTCTTGTTACTGATTTACTGCACCGTGTATGTATATGTATCACATAATTGTGGTCCATGACATTATTATGCTCTTATAGCCATTTTTCCCCCCATTCCAGTCCAAAGCCACTTTGCAGTTCTGAGGTTAGTTTACCACAACTCTCTTGTTTTCTTACCAAGTTCAGAACTATTCTATTCCATGCATGTTGTTGCCTTCTCAGGAACAGGATAACCAAGAGAGAATTGATTATTTTTTTGTTTGAAACAAAAAAAAGAAGAGAAATAAGGGAAAAGCTGAAATTTAGGAACACAACATTCTATTCAGTTCTTTTTTTCTTTTTTGTTGGCCAAAACATTCTATTCAGTACTAGAACGCCACTAATTAGTTTGGCCACTATGAGATTCCCAGTTGATAGGCTCCATCCGATGAGCAGATTTAGGTGAAAGGACAGAGCATTATTATTGTTCCTGAGAGCCGCCCCTCGCACCCAAATAAATGAATTGACACTTTCCGTGATAGCCTGATCATGTTGGGTTTAAACTGACCTCTTGGGATTATCCTCATCTCGCGGCTAAATAATCCCACTCACACACTTCCCGTATCACCCTCTCTTCTCCAATTTCATCTCTCGAAACATAATTTACTTCTAAAAAAAAAAGGTTGTCTTTTCTCCAATTTCATCTCTCGAAACATGATTTACTTCTTAAAAAAAAAAAAGTAAAATGTTTTGCCCTTTTAAGTCCATCTCATACAACAACAAAGTTAAATGCAAATAAAGTCGTCAGCCAAATTTCACATTGAATAATGAAAGTACTCCTTTGGTCTTATCCATAAGACATTTCAATATGTTTCACATAAATCAAGAAAAATTTAAATTTTACTGGCTCTCATTTAAAATTTAATAATTTTTTAACTTTACTCCTATTTAATTTGCATTGTAACTCGTGTAAACAAAATCAATGCAATAATAAATAAGGGATAAAATTATACATCAATATAAAAAATTTCTCTCAGTGTCTTATAAATATGACCAAAAAATATCTTCTCTCTCTACCTTATAAATAAGACCAGAAGAGTATGTGGTTTGCAATTTTAATATTGAATGAACTTTTTTTAAAATATTTATTATCCACGAAGGCCAAGGACTTGTTTGAAATATAATATAAATATGTGAGAAGATTTTTACCTCAAATTATATAAATATGTTTATATATCACAATTCCAAATTATTGAGAAGTTGCGATATGATATGCTGCTTCAAGTGGCATGAGGCTTGAAAGACCCCGCCACCCAATCATCGTTGGATTAAATCGTAACCAAAGTTACATATCCATCACCTTTTTTATATTTTCCCTCAATCCCTTTCTAAAAATGCATAAAAGACACACAGTCTCAATTATATAATTTGCTCCCCGTGGCTTGGAAAAACAATAAAGAAAGAAAGCAGGGCGGCAAATGCAGACCCTCCATTGCAAGGTGCTCTAGACATTTTAATTTATTAATATGGCCAAGCTGAGAAGCATTTTGATTACTTTGAAAACATATAGAATATTCACCGTTGTGATAATATTGAAAATCATACAGGTATATCATATTATCGGGCAAAGTTTTCAAGTCATTTTTAGTCCTATACATACATGACAAACGTGGTGATTATCTTTTTTTCAAGGTTCTCTTTCCTTAATTACAACAAATTGCTGGTATACTTTTCTTCTTAGAGATTTTGTTTTAATCGCGATCATTAATTTTAGGAAATAACAAAGTTAAAAGTTGCAATTTTTTTAAAATTTTATAGATATCAAGTTATCAACTTTAAAAATTATCGTTAGATAGCTTTTGTGTCATAATTAATATTGTTATAAATGATATCAGAAAGTATTAGTGCACATTTAAAAATAAAAATAGACTGCTCTTTTATTTTTATCCATTCAATTCAATCATTCCTTAAAATTTCTCTAACGTGGAAACAGTGCTAATGAAAGTGGACCTCCCTCGGGCCATGTGACGGTGGGCCACCCTACGTACCCACTTTGAAGACTGGTCAATTCCGTCTAAAAATAAATTGCAACCGACTTAATGTTAAAAAATTTAATAATCTATAATTTGATTTATAGATGGGACCATTGTTTTAATCCAGAAAGCACAGAAAGCAAGTATAGAAAAAAATTGGCTCATAATTTATAAAGTTATAAGTTTTAATTCTACTATTAATATAAAAATTTTGTTGATGAGCGAGTACTCTCTGTAAGCCTGGTCCTGATTATGATGAGTTACCGGACCAACTCAACTAAAATTTTGTTTATTAAAAAAAAAAGAAAAAAAAAACTCCTCTCTTATAGTGCCTATTTGGCATCGATTATTTTGGGCTTATAAATAGTTTATAAGCACTATAAGCTTGATTGACATAATAATACTGTTTGGATGGGCTTTTCTACAATCGGACTTTTGTATAAAAAGCTATAATAAGCTATAAGCTAAAATTAACGGCTTATGATTTATAACTTATGACTTATAGTTTTTAAAACATAGAGAGAGAAAAAGTTAAAAAATTTATTATGTCCTTTGATTCTTATTATAAATTTCAAATAACTAATTTGTAGATAACAAAAAAAATCAGTTAAAATCAGTTGAAAGTAATATATAAGTTAGAAATATACTTTTGTTTTAAATATGCTCCTAGAAATATACTTTTATTTTTTCATGTTTCGTTTTTATATTTAAAATATCTTTTATGATTTCTCTAAAGTTTTAAAATTTAATCCACTCATTAAATTTAACTTCTTCATATTAAATTATTTTAATTTTATTGTATTATGTGAAATTATTTTTTTAATCATGTTTCATTATTTATTAAAAGTCATACCCATTTTGGTCATTTTACAACCAAACTTTTTTTTACTTAACTATAATCCAAACAATTTTTTATCAATATCACTTTTACAAACTAGTTTTTCTGAATTCCAATCCAAATACAATTAGCTTATCTAATTTAGTTTTTTTCTAACTTTATTTTTTCAAAAACTATTTTTTTAATAAGTTACTTTTCTAATAACTCATCCAAACCTACCCACAATTTTTATTGCCAGTGGCTCGCGACATGGTTTCACAAATCATGAAAGCCGGCTGCGTGCGCAGCTTCTGACTCGTGACTCGTGCCCCTTTACTATTGGCACATTTGACCTTTTTAAAACCAGGCCAACATCTTTATTTAACCACCCCACACGATTATTAAACTCCTCTTACTTCGCTGCCCCATTCTTAACGTTATCCCTCTTAAAAAGCGCCCAACACCTCATCTCATACGCAGACGGTTCCTTTTCTCTTGACATCGAGGCCTCAGATCATGGGCTATTCATGCCGCCGTTACTTACTCTATTCCATACTATTTTTAATTATTAATATAAGACTTTATTTAATTTTTATTTTAATTTTAAATACAAGATTTTAATTCATTTTATTTTTTATATTTATCTATTTTTTTAAATAGTCAATATATTTGATTAATAAAAATATTTTAGAAAAGACAACACATATTTATTACAAATAACTAATTTAATTTATTTTGTTAATCTACTCGAATTAGTCAACTAATTTTTATATTTAGGATCGGAGACAATGTGTTATTTGAAAAAGGCTCACCAATGATTCTGCCTTGGCTAATTCTGTCTCTAACTCTGAGCATTTCAACGGAAAAAAAACCTGTTGCAGAAGACTGCTACAAACTGGCGGCGAGACCTCAGGTATTTACACATTAACCAGGGAGACTATACTTTTATAGGAAAAAAACAAAAACAGAGGCGACCACTACCGATGATCTTCATTTTTCATATTGCCTCTTCAATGATTAGCTAGAATTTGCAGCCATATAAAAGTACATGAGCACTTGAACTATTATAATGTTTATCCGATCTCTGGAGTCTATATATACAACTCTGGGACCCGAACCTGGAAAATGATTCTCAGTTATTTACCTATGTATAAAAGCATCAATAGAAATGAATGAATGGTGGAAAGGAGGCCGTTTTATGCACTGACAGGTGTGTAAACAGATTAAAAGGTAAGTGTTTATTTATGTTTAGTGTGAATTGACCTAAAGTGTTCTGTTTGATTTAATGACACGGAGAGATCCATGGATGGGGCAGCATGCGGTATCATGACGCGTGAAAATCGCAGGATGGTCCTGCATTTATGAGATAGATGACTAATCCGGGGAATAGGATAGAACCCAGGACTGTGTCCCAGGGTGGGGCAATGAAACAGGAACATATGATGTCCCATTTTGTTGCCTGAAACCTGCCCCACACTGAATCTAACAACTAACGAGCGAAACCGCAAGGCCAACAAAATGCCAAGTGGGTCTCATGGTCTCAGATGAATAGGGAAGGAACGGATAGGATGAGGATTAGATAGAGGAGGACCCCAGAAATGGTTGTGGTGACGTCACCCACTCAAGTGTTTATGATAAAAGGCAAAGAAATGAGAGCGCAGAGCTCAAAAGCCAAAACTCAACAGAACAGGATATTGTAATGGTCAATTAGTTTTACGATGGATGATCGCGTGTGTTCGGATGGATTGCAAGTATCAAGTGAAGTCTCTGAATTGTAATAACGTTATTCTAAGTAAACCTTATACACGTGATGATACAAGTCGTTCAGAATAGCCCCGCCAGTGGAATGTATGGATCCGGCACAGCTGCACAAGGGCGAGGCGGAGTGATCGTTTACGGTAACCCTCGGCATCATAAAGGTTCCGGTGAAGGGGCCATTTCAGGCACCCGGGACCTATGCTTCCGAAAAGGAAAACAAATCGCTCTCAACAGTAACAGTCAAATTGAAGTGGGCCTTACAGATTCCAGTTGAAACCAGAAATCAAATTTCCCTCCAAAATTGTCTTCCACAATTCCCATCTCCTACCCATTATTATCGGCCCAAGAAAGGCCGAAGAAACTTCCCCAAGCAAGCACGCACTTGCTATTGCGGATGACCAATTTTTGGCATTTGCAGAAACATGCATACATGCGCCTAGAGAAGAGCAAATCAACCACAGCGAACCCTACTCCCCATTCCTCAGCTCTCCTACTTTAAAACTAGGAGGAGCCTGATTCCGATTGGTCCAACACAACTCCCATCATACATGTGAAGCACAATATAGCCCAGCTTGCACGTTTGGTGGGATTGAAGTAAAAAAGAGTTTCTTGTATACCCATATTCACTATAGTATTCCAAGTAAAAGCTTCACACTTCGTATGTTATAACGCACTAAGGGGTGTTTGGCAAGTGATAAAATTGCTTTTAAAACACTTTTCTGCAAATTGAGACAAACTCCTTCACATATTTGCTTCGTACATCATAAAATCACTTTTAAAACCATGGTTTAATTTTCACCCAAACACCCCCTAAATGAGCTTATTCCCCTCTCTCAAACTTCAACATTTTTTGGAGAGTGAATGCTCACTGAGTCACTATACTGAACAACAAGCAGCTACACTTACAGAAAACTTTGTTATTTGGCCAACATGTATTGGGACTTCTCACGGGAAGTTACTGCAAATCCGTTGATCAAGCTTTCTTATCTTACAAAAGGTTTACTAAAGAGCATCATTTCTTCCCACACTAAGTTCCACTGACTGATTCGGTTGTTTCCTTTGCAAACTTCGAAACCCCATTCCCGGAACAAAATGTTTCCTCCTTGCAACATCAACCAATTATTAACAAATTTGGGTTAAACATGAGATTCATAAAGCATGGAGAACCACCGTTGATTACTGCATCCACATCAGTAGAATCGTAATAGGGCTAAAAGCAGCAATGTCGGTACCAGTTCAAAAGAAGCCGTTCGATTTGTTATAAAATGAGGGGCAGTACTAGCAGTAGTCCAATACGGATTTCAGGCCCTAAGCATTACGGAAGACGATCTGACGTCCATTAGTTTGTCCAGCAAAGAATGCAGGTAACAAAATGAACAGTTTTGTAAGCAACATCATTTTTTCTTTTTCACATTGCCCAACATTTTCTTTGAAGAGGAAACGATTTGGCAGAAAACACAGCCACGAGAAGAGTACCCTGTGCCAACTAGAGAAAATAAATCCCTTCAAAAAGTATCATCCTCAAAGCATTAAAAACTAATGTTGATAGTCCTCTATCACGTAGGATCTTGCAATAACGATAGATACACATTAGCCTTGCCAAAGCTCTCTGAACCAATTTCCACAATAAACGCGAAAACATCCAAAAAAATCAGCTGACAGGTTTGCTTTCCTGATTATATAAAGCAATTGAAAGGAAAATATTCTATGGTATGTTGGAAAGTAATTATATACTCACAGCATACAACCATGCCGCAAATGACACATCACGTTACATTCACAGCAAGATTATGGCTTTCAGTGGAAACATATTTGTTTTTTTTTTTTGGTGAAAGGAAACATATTTGTTTTGAGCAACTAAAAATGTGCTGTCAAGAGTTCATATGATGGGCTGAAGGACGGTCAATGGAAATTGTATATTTACATTTAGAAAATCAGAATACAGCTTACTCTCAGCGCTTAATAACTCCACAAAAGTACAAACTAGAGACAATTATCAGTAGACCCTAATGAGAATGAAATGGAAAAATATGAAGATGCAATTGCAGAAAGCCAAGGTGGACTAAAGATGGCAGACAATTCTGTTAGGCTCACAGAAACATACAAGAAAATGGCGAATGAAGGGGGACAACAATTCCGCCGGCTCAAAGAAACAAACAAGGCGAGAGAATGGAAATTGAGTCACTAGTGATGGATTTTTCTTCAGAGAAGAGACATGAATGGCAATATTCACAGTCCACAACAATCTCTAAAACACCAAGAATTACTGACTTCTTTCCTTCGCCTGAAAAGGTTCTCATTTCATCCCAATTTCCAAGTATTTAATCACTCGGGACAGTTCAGTCCTTGTTATGTTATGCATGCAATGACAGCAATGTTTGGTGATTAGTCCAATATACTTCAACCTACACTGAAATGCCTCACCAAGAACTCAATTGCCACGATGTCAAGTAGCAGTTTTTTGACAATTGGGAAACATTAAAGCGAATAGTCAATAACCTCAAGCCATCGTATCAGTAAAGTTATACGGTGCGAAACTGTCGGTGACTTTCAAGCACGTATAAACCGATAGAATGAGCGAACTGCCATGGTGCGGAACAGCAAGTGGAGGAGTTCCTTAATTAGAGTTGAAATATCAAAATGAAAATTACATCACCGCATTGTTTCCAGAACAGAAAGTTCTCACGATCTACAACACAGCTATCCCAATAACTAATTCTAAAAATTCCTACTAACCTTCCGGGCTTATATATCGCTATCATCACTCTCATCATCGTCATCATTCCCCGGATCATTAGCAATGTATTCTCCGGGATGAATTGTCCGCCTCCGAGTCCTTGAAGGAAGGATGTTATTCAAGTCCACCTCTGCAAGTGGGTCATCCGACAGGTCACTGTCACCATCGGAAACAACCCCATCGTCACTGGAATCGTCGTCGTCATCGCTGTCTTCGTCGTCCTCGTCATCTTCTTCTATCAATTTCCCTTTCCCCTTGTCAGCTCTCATAATGCCTTTTCCCTTTCGGTCCACAACTTCTCCATTCGATTCTTCGCCGCCGCCGTCTTCATCTTCGTCCCCATCATCCTCAGCACCACCGTGATCAGGATTACCGCCTTCGTCGCCCCCATCCTCTGCGACGACATCGGACTGAACTTTTTCGACTTTCTCGTCGGTGGCAGAAGAACAATTACAACTAAGAACATCAACATTGTGATTCGAAATTAAAGAGGCCTCGTGGTGTTTCGGTTCATTTGATGGGGCCAATGACTTATCCTCTAGAGTTTCGAGCTTTTGAGCTTTGTTCTGATGACCGTGAGAATCTTCGCCGTTTATATCAGGCTTACGCTTCGTAGGGAATGTTGGTTCGTCCGGGCTCTTGGTTTCGGCCATAAATTAGAGCAGTGAAGGCGAGATGGTGGCGATGAGGACTGAGGACTTTGGGTGGCACAAATTAGGGTTTGAGGAGGAGGAATGCTGTATCAGCAGTTCAGAACTACCGCGAGGAAGAGACCCGTGATGACTTGGCTAGTTGGCTTTGGATTAGTGATGCTGGAATTCTTTTCTTGGGTCTCATTGGGGAAAATTATACTATTATTAATTGAAAAATAATAGTCAAGTGATCAATAATAAATATAATTACAAGGAAAATCTCCACACAAAAAATCTTTTAAATTTTAAATTTTCAAATAATTCTTATTTACTACACTTTAATAGTAATTGACTATATTTAAAAAATAAATGACAACATATTTTTTTCAGTAATTCATGATTTGTGATTTTAAGCATTCAAAATTCATAATTTTTGTAGTACTTAACCCAAATATAAAACTAAACGCATTTTAAAGTTTATTGACGAAATCAACAAAATTCAGAATAGTTATTGGGAACAATTTATATTCCCGGCAAATATTAACAATTTATGTATGCTATAAAAGTTGGAATCCAATCTTTTGATTAGATTAAAATGTTATGCAAATGATAAAAGAAAAATTAAAGAGATGGTATCCAAAAAACATTGTCTTCTCAGCAGCAGAATGCCGAGACCCCTTTCAGTAACTTGAAAGCTATCAATATCGGGTTACCAGTGTGAGATGGAAGTCTATAGTTGGATTCTCCTATATCCTTTGATGTCATCGGATAGTATCTACTATTTTTTTGGGACTTGAAATAGTGTCTACTTTGACGGCGTTGTAGTTGACGTAAGACAAGACTTAAAACTTTGGCCAGTATTCAAAGTGCTAATCTCTTTGAATTATATCGTATTTTTATGTGTTCTTCTATTAGTTTTTGGTTTTGTTGATTGTTGTTCTGCATGTTTTTTTTTTTCAAGTTTTAGATGTTCTGTTGATCTTTTTACGCATTCCTTTTATGTGAATTAAATTGTCTTTTATAAAAAAAGCAAAACATATAAAGGTTGAAACAAATACTAGTTGTAATTTTGTGACAACTTCCTGAGTCACCATCTCGTGGTTCATGTAAACACACGGGGAAGTAATTTTCTTCTATTAATTTTTGGTTTTGTTGATTGTTGTTCTGCGTTTTTTTTTTCAAGTATTAGATGTTCTATTGATCTTTTTATGCATTCCTTTTATGTGAAATTAAATTGTCTTTTATAAAAAAAGGAAAACATATAAATATTGAAAAAAAATACTAGTAGTAATTTTGTGACAACTTCCCGAGTTACCATCCCATAGTTCATGTAAATACATGGGGAATGCGTTTTATTTTTGCCATGAACGGATAGTTCTGTTTAGGGATAAGCATTCGTTTTTTTATTCGGTTTTTGGTGATAATTGAATTAATCGAATAATCGAATAGAGTGAATTTTAAACACCAAACCAAAACCGATTAATCAAATTAACCGAAATTGAATTAATCAAAATATTTTAGTTCGATTAACCGATTAACAGGAATATATAAATATGAAAAGTGATTTTAAATTTAAATAACAATAAAACACAATTAAAATAATAAATTATTAAATATTTCATTATTCAATGTGATTTATTATAATCATATTTATCGAATATAAATATGTTTAAAGAGTTTACATATATTCACACATATATCTATTATAATAATATTTATTCAACATAAATAATATATTTATTTCGATTTTTTGGTTACAACCGAATTTTTTTTCTATTAACTGAATTGAACACCAAAAATAAATTATTAAAAAATAAAAACTGAATATATAATCGAATCAAAAAATTGAAATTAAATTCAGTTCGATTTAGTTTTGTTCACCCTTAATTCTGTTTTATTTTATTAATTTCGTAGCTTGCTGTAATTGCCTTGTCAACTCCTTGGGTCATTTTTCCGATTTCGTTCGGGTTTTTTTCTACCCCGTTTCCTAAATCCTTCGGAACTTTCCATCTCACCAAACCGGGGGGTGGCGGGGAGAGGATGAGAAAGAGAGAGTTGACATTAACAAGATATTCAAACGTGGTGACAAATTTGGATCAGGGTGCAGTTGCTTGAATGAGATCTGAGCGTTAGTCCCGTTAAATATACATATTGAATTTAAAATATTTGGACTTAATTTTATTTCCATTGTACTAATTTTTAATTTCAATTTTTTTCAACACCAATTCCATAATCCCAAGAAGGGCCTCAAAATTAAAGCACGTTGTATTCTTTCGGTTAAAAAAACACATGATGTATTAATAAAAGAGTTAGTCTAAAGAATTAACTCATAATTTATATGTTTGAATCACGTTACTAATATAAAAGTTTTGTTAGGGTGATCTGAGAGAGAACTGCTAACCCAATACACTCAAATATTTTTTTTATATAAAAAAAACACGTGACATTAAGGATAAGTCAAAGTCCAATAAAAAATACTCCTCCGGTCCTAATTATAAGACCCAATTGACTTATTTGAGGAGATTAAGGAAGCAAGTTAAATTGGTTATTTATAATAAATAAGTGTTGTCATTCCTAAAATATCCTTGCTAATTAAGTATATTGGCTAAAACTATCATTATTAGAAGGATTATCTTGGAAAAAAATGCATAAATATAAGAGACAAAATGGATTGGGGTCTTATAATTAGGACCAAATGAAAAATCAAATGGGGTCTTATAATTAGGACCGGAGGAGTATATCCAAAAGTACTATCCCCATCATAAATATAAGAGCTAGTTGACTAATTTGAGTAAATTAAAAAAATAAGTTAAATTAGTTATTTGTTATAAATATGTGTTGTTAGTTATTTGTTATAAATATATGTTATATTTTTTAAAATATCTTTACTAATCAAATATATTTGTTAAAACTATTATTATTAGAAGGATTATCTTAAAAAAATATAAGAGATAAAATGAATTGAAATCTTCTATTTAAAATCAAAGTAAAAGTAAAACAAAAGTCATATACTCCTCCGGTCCTTATTATAAGACCCAATTTGACTTTTTATTTGGTCCTAATTATAAGACCAAATCCATTTTGTCTCTTATATTTATGCATTTTTTTCCAAGATAATCCTTCTAATAATGATAGTTTTAGCCAATATACTTAATTAGTAAGGATATTTTAGAAATGACAACATTTATTTATTATAAATAACCAATTTAACTTACTTCTTTAATCTCCTCAAATAAGTCAATTGGATTTTATAATTAGGACCGGGGGAGTATAAGGAAAAAAAAACTAATAAATTTTTTGGAAACATGGGATTTACGTTTACAATTTCTGAATGTAATCTTTGGCAAGGAGGATCGCATTCCGTCAGGCGCCAAGTGTGAGCTGGTCATTTGGAGTTGGTTTTGGATTCAGAAGAGTCCGAACGCAGCCGCCCCATCCGGTGACCATTCCCAATTCTTCATTCCCATCATTCCTTGTCGTTGCCTCTCTTTTTCTCTTCCCATTCTTCTTCTCCAACGGCCCACTGAGTCTCGGATTCTGTTTTCTCGTCGCCGGCCAGCAACCGGCTCCTTCCATGGAAGCCTAAACTCTCTTCTCCTATCCAATTTTTTGGAAACCTGATCCGATTCTTTCATGTTCTTCCAACCTTTTGTTTTGTCTGTTATCGAGCCTCAAGATGATTGCAATTCCGTATTTGACTGCATTAACTACTTACTTTAGTTATGGCTTGCTCTTTGCCTTCGGCCAATTGAGAGATTTCGGTCGGAAACTCATGGATTGGTTCAGCTCTAACAACCTCCAGGTCTGGCGCATTCTTCATATTTTCTCATAATTTTTACGAGCATGCTTTTACCGATGCGTTATTTCTGCAACGCAGGGTTACGCCCCGATCTGCCTAGGACTCGAAGATTTCTATATTCGTCGGTTATATCTCCGTATTCAGGTATTTCACTCTCTCTTCTTTTCATTTCTTTTTTTCCTGTTTTCTTTGATTAATTCTCAACTCTACCCTTTCATCTTAATACTAAAATACTTCGCGGCGTTAATGCTACATTGGAATATAAACAGATGCCGTTATGGCCTCATCTTCTATTCTTTGAATTGTTGAATTCATGTTCGAGGTGATACATTACGGCTTGAAGTTGACTGAGCGCTGTTTAGGGAGTAATATTACAAATAGACTCGTCAGTAGGTGAACTAATGTTTGGAACCCTCAGTAATTGCTATATAACTAGTAAATGCATATAAACTGCAAGTTTGTGGGTAGCCTTTATTTAACTATCTGTCTAATAAAAAAATTTTCATCTCTTTTGACAGGACTGCTTTGGGAGACCAATAGCAAGTGCTCCTGATGCTTGGTTTGATGTTGTTGAACGTTATTCAAATGATAATAACAAGACGCTGAAGTATAATTCTTATTATAATTTCGGGCCTATTATTATTTTTGGATATCTTAATTTTTGCTCCTTCAATTTGTTTCCTCAGAGCTACGGCATCAGAATGCACTTACTAAAAATCTTTTCATTTGTCCAAATGCAGAAGAACAGAAAAGCTAAGCAGATGCCTCAATTTGGGATCATACAATTATCTTGGTTTTGCTGCAGCAGATGAATACTGCACACCCCGGGTAGTTGAGTCACTGGAGAAGTATTCTCCGAGTACTTGCAGCAGTCGTGTTGATGGGGGTAAGCATATTAGTTCATGATTGGCCACCAATCAACGTCCTTTTTTGCTTATCCATGCATATATTCAATCAGGTCTCCTCAATTGTGGTTTCTCTTATAGGCACAACTGCACTACACAATGAACTGGAGGAATGTGTTGCAAAATTTGTTGGAAAGCCAGCAGCTCTGGTTTTTGGTATGGGCTATGTGACAAATTCAGCCATTCTTCCGGTCCTGGTGGGGAAGGTCTGTAAAATGTTCAGTGAGGGTATCTTGTTGGCACTTTAAGGATATCCATTATAATTGTTGATTAGTATATCTACATTTTACAGGGAAGTTTAATCATCAGTGATTCATTGAACCACAACTCTATTGTCAATGGTGCGCGAGGATCTGGCGCTACTATTCGTGTATTTCAACACAACAGTGAGTAGCTTTGTTTCGTTTTTGGTTTCTGGATGCGAAGTTTGTTGGCTATTAGCATCTCTCTCCTTTTGATAGGAAATTATAGTGGCTTCAGTTCCATGGATATGGATTTATAATTGTGGCTGCCGTTCTGTTTTATATCATCTTCTCTGGATTATAATAAAACTTGGTTATTTGGGTTTTACATGGTGACGTGGTTCATGTTGTAGAAAGAATATAAGACTCAAGTTTCTTTAGGTTGATCCCCGTCTCCCACCATTTCTCAAAAAGAAAAGACTAAAGTTAGCCTGTATCTATGAACATAAAAGGTTTTCTTTGGAAGTGCTTGGTGTGGGTTTGGATTCTGCGTTGCTTTTTTTTTCCTATTCACGCTCCTGTTTCTTTGTTAATGTTTCGGTCTCACTCTCCTTGACTTTCTTTGCTGTAGTACCATCTCATCTTGAAGAGGTTTTAAGAGAACAAATTGCGGAGGGACAGCCAAGGACCCATAGGCCATGGAAAAAGATAGTTGTCATTGTGGAAGGGATTTACAGCATGGAAGGGGAACTTTGTAAACTTCCAGAGATCATGGCAATATGCAAAAAATACAAGGTTGGTTGATGCAGTAGTTCTGATCTATTGTGCAATTTTGTCATCCTTTTGCATTTGTTTTTCACATGCTTTTTCACATTAGAGGAGGGAGTTGGTCGGTGTTGTGCAATTTCACATTAAAAATGCTTAATCTGTCATAACACTACATGGGTACAAGGCTTGCAGTATATGCTAAAATATAAGCTGTTATAATTGCTCTGTGTCCATGAAAATTATTGGGGCTGTAAAATGCGTACTGCATTTAAACCTTAAACGTTTGAGCAGACATTATCTAAAATGAGGGAATCATGGACGCGGGATAAGAATCTGGGTTCAGGGATAAGCTTTTTATCTGTGTAAATTTTTATATGAACTATTGTTTTTGCCAGTTTCCTTTCTTGGGAAGAAATCCTGTTATTATGTTTTTCTTTTTGTTTTATTTTGGGGTTGGGTGAGGGGAGGTTTTTATCATAAACTTTTGTTGGGATTTCACTTGCGTAATTCCTTTTACTTTCTTCATCTTTTGGTTACTTTATAGGCATATACATATTTGGATGAGGCACACAGCATCGGAGCAGTGGGCAAGACAGGCAGAGGTGTTTGTGAGCTCTTAGGTGTGGATACTGCTGATGTGGACATCATGATGGGGACATTCACCAAATCCTTTGGATCATGCGGGGGTTACATTGCAGGATCAAAGGTTTGTACACTTAAAAATGTCGCCCTAAATCATTTGACATAAATAATCTCTAGAAGACTAAGAGGTTTTCTGAAAATTTTATCTCATGGACTATAACTTTTTTCAAGTAAACCAGCTGTGTCATTTTTGTTTGGTCGCAGAATGCTTTGATTATATCTGAAGAGAAATATGAAATAGCATATAGAAGACAAGGGTTTTGGAGTGGGAGGGCACTTCAGAGTGTTAGATTCATGCAACTGAAGTCTTTTAGTATTGATGATGAAGTTGCTTATAGAACACTTATCATCTTTATATGTGGGGGTTAGAGTGATGTTGGATTTTACGTGTAGAAGACTATTTGTTTTACGCTGCTAATGTTTCATATTGCTTTCTGGCAATCTTCATCGCAGTGCACTGAATCTTTTGATTGTTTTTATAAAGTATTTTAAATCTTAGAATTGAAGTGTAATTCTTTTTTGGCCAAAAATTGAAGTGTAATTCTTAATATGAGATTTTGGAACTCTGGTCAGGAACTTATCCAATACTTGAAGTACACTTGCCCTGCTCATCTATATGCAACTTCAATTTCACCCCCAGCCGCACAACAAATAATATCTGCCATCAAAGTCATTCTTGGAGAGGATGGCTCCTACAGAGGTTTAATGGGCACTTGTCCTGTTATTTCGTCACCTGTCTGCTTTGTTATTTTATCCTGAAGCTTCTTCTTCTAATATAGGTGCCAAGAAACTTGCGCAAATTCGTGAGAACAGCAATTTCTTCAGGTCAGAACTTCAAAAGATGGGATTTGAGGTTCTTGGGGATAATGATTCTCCAGTAATGCCAATTATGCTTTACAACCCAGCCAAAATCCCTGCCTTTTCAAGGGAGTGCCTCAAGCAGAATGTGAGAATTTGTGCCCCATTCATGTTTAATCTATTTCATAAGCAGCAATATACATCTTATTATTATTTATTATTATTATTATGATTATTATTATTTTTAAATGCCTGCTGTTGCTGAATTTGTTGACGTTTCAGGTTGCCATTGTGACAGTGGCATTTCCAGCAACCCCCCTACTGTTAGCAAGAGCCCGCATATGCATATCTGCTTCTCATTCAAGGGAAGACCTTATTAAAGCTTTGGAGGTATATGCTTAGTTTCTCATTCCAGTGGTAACATTTACTCCGCATGCATCACTTAATTGTCTGTGGAGGTATCTGTCGTGGGAAGTACTATCAAGTTCATTTTATGATGAGCAGTGTCTTTGCTTTTAGATGAAAATATGAAGATATCCTGTTCTACCAAGAAGGTTACAATACGTTTTTTATCGTTTTAGTTGGTGCCTTATGCATCATGCAAAATTTTGTTTCTTCCGCTATATGTCTATTGTTCTAACTTTCTGATTTTGTTCCATTTCTTGATAGGTTATCAGTAGAGTTGGTGATCTAGTGGGGATAAAATACTTTCCTGCTGAACCAACTGAGCAGCGGAGAGAGAATAAAGATAAGAAGGCTGACTAAGTGACGTTATTACTTACGAGCTAAAATAGGAGTGGAAGCTGAAGTAAGTGAAGAGCCATTTAGGGCGCTTTCGTTTCCGTTTGTCATGTAAGTTTTAAATCTGCTGGTATGCACTGCGCTTGTATTTAATTCTCCTGCCATTGCAGAAGGGTTGGACTTGGATGGAGCAGCAGAACACGAGTTTTATTCTCAGGCGCAAGGGAATCTGTTTTGTTGGAGGGATATCTATCCATCTCTCAGTCGGGTCGTGAGATTATTTGTATAGTCGCAGGTGTAAATTCCCTACGTCTTGTGCTTATTCATTGGAAACTCGAACCTGTGTATGAGGGATCACTTGGGAGAATGGAATTTCATATAGGACAATACCTAGGTAAACTTCCTCATATCCATTATGTTAAGGTAAACTTCCTTATATCTGTTATGTCAAGTGCCTTGATCATTCATAGTCAATGTGTTCTATTTTTGAAATATTAGCATTTAATATCATTTAATTATAAACCTATATTAAAAAAATATGAAATATTTGGTCATATGTTATTGGAGAATTTAACCTAATAGATATAAGTAACTTGACCTAAGTATTTTATATATATATATATATATGTATATATGTATAAAATGGTGTGTCAATCACGTCATGTTTATGCACCTTTTTTAAATTAATTTTTAATTTTTAATATGTAATCCCCTAAGGATGCACGCAATGTAACTCAGTTATAAATCAGCAGGGAAAAATAATCTTTTTATCCAAAATTATTTAAAGATATTGCGCCTCACCTCTGATCTTCCTTGTGTAAAAGTTTGCCGTGCGTCAGTTTGTCTTCGTCATGCATCCACTAGGATGTCATTCAGTCCATCCTTTGAAGGGGGCCTCATACCATAATCTGTTAAATTTGCTTACCAAGATGGCAGAACGAAGTATTTAGTGCTTTGATCCTCTTCTTTTTTAGAAAAAGGGACGGTCTGTAAAACTCAAAAGAAAAATGTAGTTTCAGTTGATAATTTTTCTCTTAATCGAAGTTGATGAATTTTAATGTCAATATTAATCTATCAATGTCGGTGTTGATATGGAATATACAATTTATTGCGAGTCAAATTAATATTGTGATACCAAAAGTTATTTTTACAGATTTTGGATAATGTACAGCTGTATAATTTTATTCTAATCATCAATAAGAGTTTATCATATATTATTGGATAGATATTTTTATTTTATGGCATATTCAACTATTTAAATCAGTCCAGCTTGTAAGATCCCGGACTCGACTCACATAATATGATACTCCTTGTTTTGCCCCATAATGTGATATTTATTTTATGGCATATGGTTTCCTGTATTTTTTACAAGCCAACACAATTTAAGATGCATTTAAAATGTCTTTCCAAAATTATCCCTCATTAACTACTCTTTATTAAATGAGCATCGTTAAACTAGAAGGTATTTGAGTAGAAATTAAATCATAATTTTAAAAATAAGTTAATAGTATACAAAATAACTATGTGAGTGAAACTTTGTCTCGATTTATATGAAAGCACTTTTTATAAATATTTTTAAGGGTTAATTAATCTGCAAGTCCTTATAGTTTCAACCAATTTTGAATTAAGTCCTTATAGTTTTTTTTCTTTTTATCAGGTCCTTATACTTTCATCTATTTTTAATTAGGTCCTCGCATTTATTTTTCTTTTTATTAAATCCTTATAATTTCACTAAAATTTTAATCAGGTCCATCTAGTTTTAATTTTTATTTATTAATTAAATATAAACTTAATTAAATAAATTAATACTGAAGTATAAAATATTAATAATTATAATAAAAGATAAATAATATAATTAATTAATTTAGGAAATTTTTTTTAAAACAATTATTTTTTTGCTAAAAAAATAAAATTATTATAATAATTCATTATTTTTAGAATATTATTGTTTATAAACTAATATTACATAATATATACTATTTTATGTTTATAGAATAGTACTACTAGAATTTATAAAATAAAGAATAAAAAATTCAGGGACTTACTTAAAAATAAGGTGATTTTATAAGGACTTGATAAAAAGAAAAATAAATGCAAGGACCTAATTAAAAACAGATGAAAATATAAGGACTTGATAAAAAGAAAAAAAATTATAGGGACCTGATTCAAAATTGGTTGAAACTATAAGGACTTGCAAATAATTATCCCTATTTTTAAATTAAACCAAACACCTTTTTAGAGAAGAAAATTAAACATTAATCACAAGTGTATTCTAGTTCAAAATTTTTAATTTGAGACAATTATTAAACTAAACTATTTTTTTCAAACTGAGTCGATTAATTAAAATTTGGTTACACTTTTTTTGGCCGAAAAAGTTGCTCATACTCGAAGACGGATGAAGCAGCTGCCGGAGATCATAACAATAAAAAATTAAATTTCTCTGCAAATTTTATGATTTGTTTTTGGGGGTAAAACCAATCCGTTGAAATGGTGCAAAGGAGCTTCTAACCGCTTGTTTGGGAACTATAACACTGGGGGCAGTGGGGGCATGGCACAAAACGATCACAGTTTCCAACTCTCGGCCTACTAGACCAACGGCCTGTTCAGTCTCTCCCATTCCCTCTCCCCTTTCCTCTGTGATCGGAGGTCCGACCCAGAGCTACAATGGCGACCAGATACTGGGTAGTCTCTCTCCCCGTTCAAAATTCGGCATCTGCTCTCTGGGCTCAATTGCAGGAGCAAATCTCCAAGCATTCCTTCGATACCCCTCTTTACAGAGTACTCTATTATTCTCTTTCTCAAGATCTGCCCTCACAGTGCTTAATCTCCTTTAACTCTGCTTAATTCTACAATTGCAGTTCGACATACCTAATCTCCGGGTTGGAACCCTAGATTCTCTTCTTTCTCTCAGCGATGATCTTGTGAAGGTGAATTTCCTACATTTCTGAGCTTAACGTTGTTTACAAACCTGTTATACTATTTGTAGATCTATGGTTGATCGCGTTTATGATTTCAGATGCGAGTTTTTTGTCTTTACCTGTTTCGGTGCTTCTATATGGATTGTGTGATTTCTTTGATTCATTGTTCTTTGCCGATTTGTGTTTTGTGGATTGAAAAATGCAAGGCTGAAATTGTTTGCAGGCAAACAGTTTCATGGAAGGAGTGTCACACAAGATCAGGCGACAGATTGAGGAATTGGAGAAAGTTTCGGGCGTTGTGAGCAGCGGGCTGACGGTTGACGGGGTGCCAGTCGATTCATACTTGACCAGGTCTATTGATTGATCAACTTGATCATTGAATATTTAGCCTGTCCTTGTTTCGGTTGTATTTTTGTTGAGTGCTGAAGCTGTTATTTTGATGGTTCCAGGTTTGTTTGGGATGAAGCGAAGTACCCGACTATGTCACCGTTGAAGGAGATTGTGGATGGTATTCAGGGTCAAGTGGCCAAGATTGAGGATGATCTGAAGGTTTTTATATTTTCTCCGCACTTTAGTTACAGTTGTCTTATAGTTCAGGACAATTCACTATTGTAGCTCATAATTTGTATGTGCTGCTTTTAGTCTCTCCAGTTCTAAATCACTCACTTATGACAGTTCTAAGCTGTCTAGCTTTTCTTATTGGCTAACTGCTAGCTGAGCGATGCTGAGTGCCTCTTTGTATGCGGCTTTTCTGGGTTGATTTAGTTATCAATTGCTGCTTGCGAGTCAGAGTTGGTACTTCGGAATGCGGCCGTCTTTTTTTGTTCTTTGGTATTTTCTTGGAAGGGCTAGTTTGGAATGAGGGTACTTACATGTTAGAGGAACAATAAAATATCTACTTATGCATCCTTATCTGCTTTGACATCAATTTCTCGGGTCTGTCTTTGTCTTAGCCGTTTATCCTTTCCTTTTCTTGCATATGCTCAGTAAGGAAGAAGTGACCTGAAGGGCCTGCCGTACCTGCAGTTTGGTAGTGATTTAAAACCTGTTTCAGATGGGGAAGTATAATAAAGGCTATTAACTCACCAATTAATTTGTTCAACCGTAAGACCAGCAATTGAACTGGAATCGATCATTATTACAAGAAATTTATAATTTTATTATTTAAAGATAGCCAAAATGATTTTTAGAAAGGTGTGAGAGGCTAAAACAGTTAGCATTTTTCCCCCTTCTGTCATGCATATAAATTAAAATGTACATTGAATTGATTGTTTGGGCCTTACAACTGCCATCTGGTAGGTTCGCGTTGCTGAGTATAACAATATCCGCAGTCAACTAAATGCTATCAACCGAAAGCAAACTGGAAGGTGTAGATGTTGTTCAATACTGATCATAGCTTTAAATTCTGCAATTTTATTTTTATCTTAGCTGACAAACTTCTGTTTATTTCAGCTTAGCTGTCCGTGATCTTTCCAACCTGGTAAAACCTGAGGATATTGTAACATCAGAACATTTAACTACCCTACTTGCAATTGTTCCCAAGTATTCTCAAAAGGACTGGCTCTCAAGCTATGAAACATTGACAAACTATGTGGTAAGGTTACCGTATTTACTAACAATGTCAAATTTCTTCTGCTACTTTCTGGAAATAGTTGTATTGTGTGATTTTGAATTTTGTCCTCTTTGATAGCTGGACGGTGCCTGTGGTTTATCTAAAATGTTCAATAATATTTTGAAACTTTGATTATTTCTGTACGTGTTTCACGTTTTTTGAGCTGCTATATTCATTTTTTTGGTTATGGTGTATTTGTTATTCTGATTACATTATTCTTTTTAGGTGCCCAGGTCTTCCAAGTTGTTGTATGAGGATAATGAGTATGCTCTTTATACTGTAACACTCTTTACACGTGTTGCAGACAATTTTAGAACTAGTGCACGTGAAAAAGGATTCCAAGTAAGTACTGCGCATAAATTGCATTTACTTTTGCCTATCTGTTAATCTTTGGAAAATTTAGATTGTTTTTAGGGTTTACACTGTGGAACTTATTAAGGTACTCTGAATCCAGGAGTGCATGGGGCGCCTAATGCTAAGTTGTACTTTATTGAATCTTAAGTTAATTGAAGGTTTTTAGTGACTTCCTATTTGTCATTGCATTTAGATTCGTGATTTTGAGTACAGTCAAGAAACACATGAAAGTCGGAAGCAGGAGCTAGAGAAGTTGGTGCAGGATCAGGAAAGCACAAGAGGAATTCTTTTGCAGTGGTGCTATACCAGTTATGGAGAGGTATTTATCCATTTGTTCATTATTTCATTAAATATTTGAAAATACACCTCGATAATTAAATTCATAGGCTATAAAGAGTTCTGAGAAACCAATAAGATCATAGAAACACGTTTAGTTAATTGCAAAATTACCAATATAATGGAATACACCTTGATGTGTCTGTGCTAGCATTATGAAGTAGTGCTCAATTTTTTTAATATTTTCTGTGGTTTATTTGCTTTGAATTTTTGGCTGTTTGCCATCATATATCATAAAATGTATTAACAAGTTTCCCAAACATTGGTGCCTTTGCTGTTACGATAGATGCTCTAATTCTTCACTTGCTATGTTTGCTTTTCCGTCTGAAGGTTTTCAGCTCCTGGATGCACTTTTGTGCTATACGTGTATTTACTGAGAGCATTCTGAGATATGGTTTGCCACCATCTTTCCTGGTACACACACTCTTCTAGCCCTAACAATTTTTGCTGCCTATCACTTTTGTTTCTTAAAACCTTCATTTCTGACCATTGGGTCTTGTTCGATTGCAGGCAGCTGTCTTGGCTCCGTCTGCCAAAAGTGAGAAGAAAGTACGTTCTATACTTGAAGGCTTGTGTGACAGTGCAAACAGGCAAGTATCTAATTCATGTATACGCTGCATGGGTATAGCTGATGGACCTCAGCATTTCATTTACAAACCCATGGACCACCTTCTGTGAAGTTGTTTGGCACACACTAATTGCCCGTCTTTTTTAACACCACCCTTTTTTTCCGAAAAGAGAAAAGCTTTTTCCCCCTATTCCTTTGGATGCGGATAAAACATGCAAGGGTTGAAAAAGAGTATACTTCAAAGCCAGATGAAAGGACAGTAAATGCTGTTTTCCTTAATGCGATTTGATGCAAAATGACTGGAGTTTTATGCGTCTTGTCTGTTATCCATACGTGTAATAACTGTTCAGTTTGTCCCTTTATTATTTTCTGCAGTGCGTACTGGAAGACTGAGGATGAAGTAGGGGGTGGTATGACCGGTCTAGCAGGGGATTCTGATGCCCATCCATACGTCTCCGTCACTATCAATCTTGTATGAGCGCTCAAAAAAATAAGCCCCATCTCATGTTTCATAGTCCGCATAGTATTTTTCTTTGGACAACAATAACGCCAGGTGGGGATCGAAGATATCGTACATTTGGTTCAAATTCCATTCATTGTTTGGAGCAGCATTCAGACTTGACGGAGGGACTGGTGAATTTTAGTGCAGGGTCTGGGCTCCAGGATGATCATTTGCAATTTGTATCTTTAAGTTATTTTACAGACTTTTCTCGTCTACCCTATGAAATTTGTTATACACATTTGGTTATGTCCCTTTAATTAGTGTATGTTCTGTTAAATTTATGCAATATGGCAAACCTAGGTCGATTTACCAGCCAGCCTAGCATCCAGCGACATCCACCCAGATGGGTTTCTTATGCTGCCTGAAGAGGAACTTTGGAATAACAGGTTGTTTTTCCTGGAAAAAATGCTTTGCGGGATGTAACGTAGCGCAAGTGCGTCTGTTTATAACATTCAACAATATTAGTAGTCCATTGCTCGTTTTGGCTAGAGCATGGAATCCGATACGTTCACTTATTGCATCTGGGACATCACTGCAGGTAGATCTGTAGAGGCCATTTTGTTTGTTCAAAAAATCTTTGGATGACAATGTTAAGTAATTCTTCAACCCTCACTGAAGGTGTGACTCCATCTGAAAGCTTTCGGTGTGCATAACTATCAACTCTTTCATATAGTGACTGCTTGTTTCTCTCTAAACATCTTGCGAGCCCAAATTTTGGGTTATAAAACCCCACGGCAATGCTGTTATATTTTAGTTGTTACCAACATCAATTTTTTATTTTGGCACGTGTCCCGCCCGCGCACAGGATGTAAAAATAATTTGTATTTTTATAGTTAAAATGTAATCGTAATTTTCCTTTTAACCCCCAAATATATTTTTAGTTGCAAGAACGCATGATTTTTTAAACGAAATTATGGTAACAAACGTATTTGATAATAACGTACTGCTAATCAGAACATCAGAATACCTTATTCTTGAAATGTCAATATAGGATATCCAAATTACATTACGCGCGTCAGCCGACCAGCATATGATTGGTAACAAAAACCAACTAAAACAAAATAAGCACTCTCCAGAAGAGCTAAGTAACATTTAAAAAAAAAAAAACTGCTCGAAAAAAAAATTGTCAATTTACGCATTGCACGCCTCCAAATTTTTGCAGAGATTAGACAGAAAAGTGTAATCCCATTTTCCATGGGATGAATGATCCCTAACTAGGAAATGTTTGGCTTTAAGGATGAGAGCAAAACCATCCCCAAAAAATTAATTACTCAAGAGACAAGAAAACTGACAACCAAAGTCTGAATATAAAAAAATATTACCCAACCGAGCCTGAGGTTAACTCAGGCAACTTAAGCAATCTTTTTTCTCTTTTATTTATTGTCTCTGCGTTGGTTTTCTACGTTATCTAGGGGGGTAAAATTGAAATCGTATCTTGCTTCATTGGAGATTCGAAGCCTCGGCTAGCTGAGAGGCAGGGGCGGCGGCAGGAGCAACGCCACCAGTGGTTGGCCTGAGGAACCAAGGAACTTCATTAGCACTTCCACGTAAAGAACTTGAAACAAATAAAACAGTCAGAATTTTTAAGAACTTACAGCCCCACAAAAACTTTGAAAGCGTCATATATTCCCCACTGAGCTCCAGTGAGAGTTCCGATCATAACAATACGAAGGGGGAGTCCACGGGTGAAAAGACCCCACAAGCCAAGTTTCTTCACAGCCTGCAGTAGACAGTCGACCACGTTTAAGAAACTTGTCAAAGCAGCTGAAACACCAGACACTTCGCACAATAGAATCTAACGAGTCATGTTATCACAAAAAAAATAATTAGTCCAGCACTCACGTCACCAACTGTAGCTCCCTTGGCATTGTTCAGGAAGGAGACGAGGTTGTCAGCAGGATGAGATACAATGGCACAAAACACGCCAGCAACATATCCGCCAGCAAAACTGATACCAAGTTGCAGGGGCTTGCTGCACTCATTCTTCGGCATGGGGATGGCATGCTTGTAGATCATCTCAACGATAGTCTCAAAAGAAGCAAATTTCATCATTGTATCTGTAGGAAAGACCGTTATTAACATTCCACTTACGAATCCATACATCAGAGTCAGATTCATAGGCTTCCATTAACAAATATGTTACAATTTAAAGCTAGTAACTAGAACAATAAGGTGAAACGGGGTAATATTTCCAAAGCCGAAAGCGGTACATCATGTGTATAAAGTTGATGGTTGAAGGCTCTAATAAATAGAAGGTTGAACAAGCACCCGCTCAATTAGCCCAACTTTAATTTGGGCATAAGTATGTGACCAAATAAAAAACAAGAACTACAGTTTTTGGCCAACTCAAATACAATAATTCCAGTGTTTTGAAAACCCAAGGTATTGGCTCCAACCATCAATCCAGTTAAAAAGAAAATGTAAAATAAAATTAAAAAAAAGGAAAGAAAGTAAAGAAAACAGTCATACCAGTGAAAATATATCATTTACACATAAAGTCTACCTTGGATCAAGAACCAATTAAAGTCACGCATAACACCTATAAATTACAATGGTATATGCCCCTCTGATTTTCAATAAAATGACAATCAATATAAAACATCAAATTTGTAGCAAGTTGCACCATTCATAAGCCATGAAAAATATGAATTATTAATCAAACCATATGCAATATGAAGGCACCTCATCGAGCTAATAAAATTAGAAATGATTATACAACGCCACTAATGATGAGTTTTTTTACCGGCAACCAAAAAGAGAAAAAAGAAAGAAAGAAAAAGTAAAACCAAGAGTGTAGACTAATCCAAAAACTTGGCAACTTAAATTTGACCAATTAGTCTTATACATTTACTCCTTAAACAGAAGCAGGATTGCAGCCAAAAAAGAAATATTTGAATTGTTCAAATAACAAATAAGCAAAAACATGCCAAGCGTTAAAAAAAATAAAATAAAATAAAATCGCTAGCCACCTATCTCCTCAATTATATTACTAGGAAATTCCTATTTAACCAACCTTCTCTCCACAACTATCATTGACAGGCAAGAATACTCCCCTCCCACATTGATATTAATCCTCAAGGATCACTACGAATGCAGAAATTAAAAAAATTTCGTTAACAAAAAAATTTATAGGAGTTTGCATAGCTTCTAACAACTTAAGCCCCTTAGCTACTATTATTCCCACGTAACAAAATTATTATCCAATCTCCATCAGAAAATATGTACTGAGGACCTTCCAGTCATCAAAATAAAAGCAGCAGGAACAAGTCCGCGCTAAAATGAGCAGAAAATGATAATATATGTCACGCACTGGCGCTTATGGGATAATAAAGACTCTAAAGTAAAAATCATTGCCTTCAAAACCAATTTGAGGTACGCTGACCAACATACAAGCAGCCAAAATAGCATGAAAGCGTAAACTTCAAGTCATAGCATACAGAGTTCACACTACAGTCTACAAAGTACTTACATGGGATCTGTCGTCCCCACAGAGGAACAATTCCCTTGTACAGCCTGAAATTTAAAAAAAAAAAAATCATTAGATATGCATCCTATCATGCAGAAACATTTGCGATTAAATTATACATCATCCATAAATAAAACAGCTGAAGAGTTCAAAGCGTTCAAAAGCATACCCCAAGGCTCCTTCAGATCTAATGAATTTTGGGAGACCATCTGCCATACCTCTGGCGAAACCAGGCTGAGTTTGAACTCGAACCTTTACAGCCTCAAAAGGGCAGAGCGCAACATCAGCAATAAACTCAGCAGATGCTGAACCAGCAAGGTAGATCAAGGTCTTGTACTTGGCCGCATACTCTGGACCGGCAATATCAGAATAATACTTCTTAAAGAACTCATAAAATCCAAATTTGCAAGCACCCTGAGCGCTGTAGCCAAGCAAGGTTGGCACCCACCCTCTGAAGAAACCCCTTAATCCCTGCTCCTTAAGCAATACTCCAAATCCAGACGAGATGCTTTTGTACTTTGCAGGGTCAATCTGAAATTAATAATTGAAGATCTTAAAGAAATGTTGAAAGTTCAACTATGTATGTAAGATGGCAAGTAGTATTCCATTCAAGTAAAAACTAGAGGCCAACAAACATCATAGCTTGCGATATCAAAATGAAAGCATATACAAAGAAATCATATGGACAATCTCATAACCACAACATCGCTTACGTCTCTTCCTTCACTCCACTTCGGATCACTAAAAATACATGCGTACAATAGTAAAATTTAATATGCAACCGCGTATTTCTTTATAATCTGGGATATCGTCGATCAAGATCATCAAGGTTAAGAAAATAAAATATTCCGTCAGACAAGCCTGGGATCAACAATACACCACTATACACGCAGCACAAGAAGGTCAATCTATGTACAGAACGGTAAACTAATTTCCAAGCTAACTGGAATGGAGGCTCGAACTGCCCCTAAATAAAACTCAAACACAATCAATTCAGCATCTCATTGGTGCAAAGCGCTGGTGGAAATACGGCCTAAGGTCAAGATCAAAAGGTCCCCAAATTTAGGGGGGAAGCAAAAATAAATCAAGGAATAAATCTGACATAAAGGAAGGGAACAAATCACGATTCGTAGATCGGTCCAATAAGCCCAAAAAATTCTCAAATGCTCATAAAAGAATAACAATCAGAAGGAGTTAAATATAAAGCGCAGATCTAACTCATCGGGAAACATAATGCTAATAGATCAAAGAATAACCAAGCAAAAGTGCTGTTTAGTGTTAATTTCATAATAAATGCCAGATCGAGAGAGAAAAGGACCTGCATATTACACTTGACAAGGTCAAGAGGTGTAACCGCCGTGTGAGTGAGACCACAGCTGAGAATTCCACCGAAGGTACAAGCAGTATAGAAGGCGGGCGAGTACATCTCGATCTTGCCGGGCTCACTTGGAGACGGAATCATGAAGTTAGGCCTGGGCGATCCGACTTCGAAATTGGAGGCCGGTAATGAGGCGGCGGCGGGGTTAGAGTGGAGCATCTTCTGAAGAGGCAGGGTTTTGGGGGAGGAAGAAGAGGAGTAGAGGAAGGTAGGAATCAAAGAGTTGCGGCGTGAGCTGTCCAAGAGAGCCATGGAGGAAGAGCGATGAATGAGGAAGCGAGGGTGTGTCGGAGACTTCAATTGAATGCCAGAGACGCACACCCAATCTCTGACTGCCAAACGCTCTCTGTTGCTCGGCTCCTTCTTCCGGTCTCCGTGCCCAAAGGCCAACCCTCGCGTATTTATATGCAGAGTTTGTTCCACATCAAATGCCCTGCTTATTTGCCTCTAATTACCATCCTGGCACCATCTGTAACTAAAAATACTAGAAATGTAAAAGCGGCTCTGTTTGAGGTGTCCCTCGGAGATTTTTGAAAATGTCCTGAAATACTTGAGACTGCTGCTAGAGTTCTAGTCATTGTCATGGTTACTTATATAAAAAAACTAAAAAGTCTTTCAAGCCACAAGTTTGGTGGTCATCAATGTTTCTAAAGAAAGTATTTGATAAATAAAATTTGTGAGTACCTTGGCTACTCACGATTATTGAATTATTAACATAAGGGCATGAAAATAATAATCTTATGCCAACTCTGCCTAGCTATATGGGAGTTTTATAAACTCGACTCTTCCTAACAAGAAAGTATACGCAATTTAGGAAATCATACTTTTATGTTATAACGAAAGAATCTGGGGTACAGGGCTTAAACGGGGAGAACGAGGACGTTGGCTGTGGGCAAAAATCAAAATGAATGGGCAAGAGGGCGTGAATGTGTAATTAGGAGGGATAATAAGTGGCAATGATGGATATTAGATTAATGAGGCGGGGTTGCCAACAAAGACCCAGCGAGCTGGTCAAACAAAACAAAGGCCCAGCAAAGCCAGCGCACCGGCAGGGTATATTCTCTCTCCACATCTTGGGAGCATCAATTCCGCCCCCTACCCCTCCCCTTGCGTCCCCCAACTTGCGTCTTCCCTCCCATAACTTCGCTTCACCACTTGACTTCCCCCGTTCTTTTATTATTTTCCGATACGAGCCACTTGACTTCCCTGTGTTTGATGCTCTACGCACCCCGGTTTAATTGTATTATGCTAGAAATTTTTACTACACTTTTTTTTAACTACCATTGAGTCCCCCCGCCCCTAGGGGAGACACATTTCCATTATAATAGTACTTTTCTTATTGTTAATATAAGATTTATTTAATTAATTTAATTAAATTAAAAAATTTATATAAGTTAGTTAATTATAAGAAATATGACATGTTTTTTCCAAGACACTGTAATCATCTTCCTTAATATCATTCCTTCCTCTTTTATTTGATTATGTTTTATAGAGTATCAATAGGAGTAATTTAAAAAAACTAATAAATATGATAAATAAGTCTTATATCTAGGATCAAAATCAACTCAACAATCATGTCATATATTAAGAATTGGAGGAGTATAAATTTTGTATAAAGCAACCTCACTATGTCGATGCTTAATATAAGAATTTTTTTAACTTTTAATTTGGTTTTAAATATAAAACTCTAATTCATTTAGTCTCTCATGTTTATTTTTTTTCAAAGTAGTCCTTATAGTAATTACACATATTACATGATAGTTCTGGTTAATACACATGATGAACAATGATATTTTAAGAAAAACAACACATGTTTATTACAAATAACTAATTTAACTTTTTAATTTACTTAAATTAGTCAACTAGCTTTTATATTAAAAAATGAAGTAAAATCATTTTTTCCCTTTCAAAACTTGACGTCTCACACCTAGTTGCAACGTAATTTTGTGGTATTTGTTTTGCATAATACTACCTCTCATTATTAATATAAAAACTCGTTTGATTTTTATTTTGATCCTAAATGTAAGATCCTAATTCACTTTATGTCTCATATTTATCTATTTTTCTAAAATAATCCTTATACTAATAGTAGTTCTAGCCGATATACTTGATTAGTAAGAATGTTTTAAGAAAGATAACACATGTTTATTGCAAATAACTAACTTAACTAGTTTTCTTAATCTACTCAAATCAATCAACTAGTTCTTATATTAAGAACCGGATTAGTATTTTTTTACAAATGGTTGTGCTTACAAGTTGTTGTGCTTATTTCCTCCCCATCTTGATACAACGATATTTTGACCAAAAAATAGTACATTAAAGATGCGCATTGCCTTGATTAAAAAATGAATTGCCAAAAAATAAGTTAATATGATTATATGTAAAATTACGAACTAATCTTGTTATTTCAAGTGAATGGAACGTGGCTTGGAAGACTTGCATTTGAATAAGGTGTATATTGTAGAATACTACCTCGCTCATAATATAAGATCCTGTTTGACTTTTATTTTGGTCTTAAATATAAGACCCAAATCCACTTTGTCTCTCATATTTATACATTTTTTTCCAAAGCAGCCCTTTTAACAATGATAGTTCTAGTCAATACACTTAATTAACAATGATATTTTAAAAAAGACAACACCTATTTAGGACAAATAATTAACTCAACTTGTTTTCTTAATCTCCTTAAATTAATCAATTGGCTCTTATAATTAGAACCGGAGGCGGTAAATCCATAAGAATAAATTTTCTAATTCGCTAGCAAAAAAAAATGAAAGTTCTCGAATTCTATGAACGGGATTACCTGAACTAGCATAAATGATGATGATGATGATTTTCTCAATTGATTTTGGCAACCACATGATTAATGGTCTATTGAACTTTTTGCGATTAGGTTATAATTATGATTACATATATAAGCATGACTGTAAATTGCCACACAGAAAACACCATGGCTAATTATTATTTACAAGAACTTATTGAAAAATAGATTTACTTAGTTTTAATAAATTTGATAAAAATCACATCAATTACGCAACAAACTAACAATAATGATAATTTTTAATGTGAAATATTTTATTAATTTTTCTTTTCACCGATTTCCATGAGAAACAGCTGTGCCCGTGGGGATCAGCTCAAAGATCCGCTGTATGAAAATAAATGGACTGCGTAATGTCGCTACAAATGGGCCAGTCATGACCTGATATTTGCGTATTAAAGAGTATAAACAAAATTAACGGGCTAACGGAGGATCAATCAGCGGATTAATGGTACTCAAATAGGGTAAATTAGAAGCCTAAAAGCATAGAGGAACAAAGACCTCTACCTTAGAATGCTTCCGAAGTTGACAAAGAATCTGCTTAACGTTGGTTACCCGTTAAGCACACGATCACAACCTGCGCTTTTCGATTTAACTTGCTTCTCTACACATTGTTCTGCCCTCTCTGATTGTCTTAATTACAATGTTCTTCTGAGACAGCACAGCTTTCATGGAGAATAAATCAAGTTCTGATCATTCTCACCAGTCTCAATGGCTTCAGACAACTATATCAGGTTCCTCTCTCTCTAACACACGCTTTTTGAGATTATTTTTTTAATAATAAAGTTGTTAGGCTTCGGAATACTATTGTCTCGCCACTCTTGGTCTTGTACGTGTTGTTCTACTTTGACTTCGTTTTGGGCATTAAAACCATGCGAGGGTGAATGAGGGTGGTTGCGTTTGAACTTTGACGTATGCTAGAGCCTACAGCCGAAATATTTGAAGTCAATCAATTCTCCTCGAAACTGTTCTGGTCCAGAAAATCACACAAAAAGCTGCCTGTGTTAAATTTCCAAAATTTTAGCTGTAAATTAAGTCTTGAGCAACTCAATCAGATGAAGAACAAAAGACAAAAAAGTCATCAAACATCTAAAGAAAAGAAATTAGCTTCCTAGAACCCCTTTAGCCTTCTCCATAAGAAGACTCCTCCCATCCCTATTTCAAGATTAAAACTCGGTTGTCCCACCTAGTTGGAACTTGTAAGAGTTGACCAAAAGGTAACTGATTATTGCATTCTCATAAAATCCTTGTTCTGCTGTATTTTCCATTCAGAAATTCCAGTATATTTGACTAATTTGCAGATTTGGATACGAAAATGATGGCCATCACGACCATTTTAAAAGAGGACTACTGTGCAGATCAAGAAGCTGACATGCATCAGAAAGGGAGAAGAGATATCAAACAGGTGCTTGAAGAGTTAGGAAAATCTTACCGGGCTTTAGCCATAGCATATGACCAATTGAGGTCTGAATCACCTCATCCCTCTCATTCAGGGTCCTCTTCATCTTCTAATACAACAACAACCCTCTGTGCTATCTGCAACGAAAAAGCAACGGGGAACATACAAGACCAACAACTTGAGGATGCCTTCAATTGTCGTCTAAAATCTATTGTCAGAGGTCCTGATATGAAATTTGATGGTACAGACCTCAATTTTGGACAAATAAACAAGCTAGAAGATGAATATGATGAACTGATATCAACTGTTAAGCAAAGCAGCATGATGTTTAAAGCAGGATTGGAATGCCAAGGCACCCAAGAAGAAATAATGACCGATTTTTCCATCAATGAAAAATTTCTTATGGAGATCGAGGGCTTTGAAACAAGTCAAAAAATGGAAGATCCATCGACAACTCATCGCAAATTTGGCAAAACGTGGTCTGGGGTAGATTTTCAAATCACACAACTTGTAGAAGAGAATCTGCAACAACTGGTAGAGTTGGTGAGAAGAAATGATGAGAAGAGGGAAACCATTAAAAAGCTCCACTTAGAGATTGAAGCATTGAAACGTGAGAACAAGGCCCTTCAGATTTCTTCAAGATACTCAAATGCTGATTCACAACGGGATCAACCACAGATTTCACGACGTGGAAGAATATCTGTGAGCAAGCTCTTCGGAGGCTGTTCCACATGATATCTAGTTCCAAGCAAAAATGCAAAATAATGGTCACGATATATTCCAGAAGAACTTCACCAATTTTTCAACGGAGATGCTTTGTCTTTCCCACAATCAAATAAGCGTGGTATTGAGGGCAATTTAGCTTACTACAAAATTTTCGGGTTCACAATGATTTCAATATAAATGAATGACGTATTAGGAATAAAATTTCTCCCTTGGAAGACCCTGTACTCAGTTATATATATACTGTATTTTTTATGCCAAGACATTTGGGTATATGTCTATGAACTGGAAACCAATCATCTGGAAAAACCAGCCTTAAAACCACGTCACCGTTCTTATGCAAAGTATCTGATTCTCCGATCAGTCCTTAGCAAATTGGTTAGTCTTCAATTTAGATGAGTATCATTACGAAGTAAATATAAAGGCATGTGCAATATGCTTCTGTTCAGGCCTCGTTGATGGAGAAAACAACAGCAAATATTCCTATTCCCTTCATTATCACTGCAGTCACCAGTAGTCTCCACATGAGCATAGCCCATCCTTAAAATGATGAAATCGCTTGGCATCTCTGATCACAATTTCCCGATTCACTATTTTGGAGATCAGCTTAATTACAGTATGGCAGTCACTGCAAACTCGAAGATTTTTTATCACCTGGATTGTTGTACCAGGAACCGAATTTATGATTCCGAAGGCAACAGCTAGTTTCTCACTGTGAACTCTTAGAACCATTCCTTTCTCTTCTTCATCCACATCATGAAGCACTGACGTTACATTTGGTACGTAGCCGAATTCTTGCAGCTTTATATTCAATTGGTCCAAATATTCATAAAGCGTCTTATGCTGAGGATGCTCTTTGTCTCCAACTAAAAACACATGTACCCTACCTTTAAGTTCAACTACACTGAACCCCGGGGTTTTAAGTAATCCATGTCTCTTCATGTTTATTCTCATCCTCTCAACATCTTCCCACCTTCCGGCATCAGCATAAATATTGGAGAGTAGCACAAAGTACCCACAATTACTTGAGTCTAACTCGAATAATTTTCTTGCAGAGATCTCCCCTAGCTCCACGTTCTTGTGAATCCTACATGCTCCAAGAAGGGAGCCCCAGATTATAAAATCAGGCCTAACCTTCATCTCCTTTATCAAACAATAGGCCTCATTAAGGTAACCAGCACGCCCAAGGAGATCCACCATGCATGAGTAATGCTCAATCCCAGGTTCAACATCAAAGTCATGGAACATTCTATTAAACCAATGCCAGCCTTCTTCCAAAAGACCAGCATGGCTGCAGGCAGCTAACACTGACACAAAAGTAACGTGATTTGGTTTGACTCCTGACCTTATCATCTTGTAGAAGACTTCCATAGCATCTTTACCATAGCCATGCATTCCATAACCAGCGATCATAGCAGTCCATGACTTAATATTCTTCGCTTTCATGCGATCGAATGCCTTCCTAGCCATATCAACCCTCCCACATTTGCAATACATGTCAATAATAGAAGTACCTATAAACACATCGTCTTCCAGAGCCATCTTTATTACCTAAAATAAAAGGCAACAGATATGTAGTATGATTGAACAGACGTAGAAAAAATTATTATTTGGACAAAAACTTGATGAATGATTACTGCATATTTCATCGTGAACAAAATGGATTTACAGAACCATTAACAAGTGAATGGGCAAAAGAAAATAGAAATACCATGCACCTGATCATGTATGCACTTCCCCACTCGCAGAGCTCCTGAATGTGCACAGGCTAATAATACAGCAGACAATGTCACAGCGTTGTAGATGACATTACCGCATTTTACCATGTCACTGAAAATTTGGAATGCCTCGGCAGACAACCCGTGTCGTGCATATTCAGCAATCATAGAGTTCCAAGAAACAGTATCCTTTGCACCCATCCCGTCAAACAGTTGCCTCGAAATATCTAGCTCCCCACATTTGGCGTATGCATCCATCAAAGTATTGCAGATTCCTGAATACCCCACAAAGCCCCTTTTTGTAACAAAACCATGAACCACTTCGGTCATTCTCTTCGAGCCTACACGAGAACAAGCTGATAAAACCGAAGCTAGAGCGACCGAATCAACCAAAACTTCTTCGCCCATTACATTCTCGCTCTCCTCAGCCAGTAATTCCTTAAACAAGCATATTGCTTCGTGGGCATGGCTACTTTGGACGTAACCAACAATCATGGACGTCCAAGAGACCACGTTTCTCGTAGGAATTTCATCAAACAGTGTTCTTGCATCCATCAACTCGCCACACTTCGAGTACATGTCAATCAGAGAGGACGATACAAAAAGGTTCGATTCAAAGCCAAAGATTAACGCTTGTTGATGGATTTGCTTGCCCGCGTGAAGATCAAAAAGGGCAGAGCAGGATTTAATGGCGCAAGGAAAGGTCGAACGATTCGGGTGCAGAGCAAGCTTTCGCATAGATGAGAAGGCGCGAAGAGCCTCAACGGAATCGCCGCTTCGAGCAAAATCGGCAATGACTGTGTTCCAAGACGAGATGCTTGTTTGGTCAACATACTTGTTGAACCAGGTCGTGAGGTTGGCGGTGGTCGAAGTTGAGTATTGTTTCCTATAAGCTCCGCATCGGAATCTGAGTAGAAATGAGTCGGATACTGATCTCTTCATTCATTCGTGTAATTGACAGGTGTTTTGTTACTTTTGTCAATCTCAGGCTCCCAATTTGCAGTTTGAAAAGGTTCTAGTTGCTGGAATTCGCGCGCAGCTTGTGGATTGGGAGCAGTGACGATTACGAAAGGAAATTGTGCAGCATTACAAGCAGCCGAAAACACGTTTATATTTATAATTTGATTATACTAACTTCTCTTTTTTCTCAGTATAGAAGCATATTTGATTTTTATTTTAATTTTAAATATAAAATCCTAATATATTTTATTTTTCATATTTATTTATTTTTTTAAAAATATTTTTTTTAATAATTATAATTCTAATCAGTACACTTGATTAGTAAGAATATCTTGAAAAAGACAACACTTATTTATTATAAATAATCAACTTAACTTATTTTTTTAATATCCTCAAATTAATCAACTAGTTTTTATAACTAGAATACTATGAAAATACTTTTTTGGGAGTTTTGCTCTGCAAAAATTGAGTAGGTATTGGATTTTTTAATCGAAAGTTGAAACATTATTCGTTGCCTTTTATGGTGTCATGTTAAACATCACCATTAGCCGTTGATAATGGCTGAACGTGAGACCACTATTAAATTACTTTTATCGCATCGCTATCATGATTGTTGATTTGATTTATTTTCATATTAAATGAATATATTAATCGATTTAATATTTTAATAATAAAAACATTGGGATATGATTTCTTTAATTTTCTCCATAAAAATTTTGTTATTGGTCTTGACCTTGTGGTCAAAAAAAAAAAATATACATATACGTATATGTCACAAATTAAATGCTTTGAAAGGCTCAAACCTTATGAAGTATGAAACAAGAAGTCAAGAATGATATCATTTGATTTACCAACACTCAATTAAATTGGCAAGATGCGCCGCATAAAACGGGCTCATCACTTGTCTTCAGCAAGAACGTTATTTGAACATAGAAGAAAATTAAGGGGAACAACACTTCCTACTTGATAGGTGAAAAAGTGAAAATTATCTTCAACGTCTAAAAAAAAAAACCAGCGGCCTCAAACAACCAGGATTGTTAGTATGAAACTAGAGATAAGCAGGACCCCAACAATGGCAGTCGAGCAATCCAACCTAGTTGAACCGGAAAACATCTTCCCAACAAACTCGCCGGAACTCGGCGCTGGTGCTTCTACCTGAGGAGACACTGCAGAACTCGGAGTTCCCTGATCGGCACCCGTGGGACGAGGAAAGAATGAAGAGATATTAGGCGCAGTGACGTAGGGTGAAACTGCTGGAGAAGCTGAAGTTGCTCTTGGATGATCAGCAGTGGATAGGAGAACTTGTGAATTGGCAAAGAAGACAGTGGAAAAGACAAGGAAGACGAATGGAGGGATAGAAGCCATGAACTAGTGAAGAACTGAACTAATCAGAAGGATGCAGAGCAAAGCAAGTAGCAAAGGAAGTGAGGGGAGATAAGCAAATGGTGTAGATCAGGATAGATGTGTCAGTTGGTGCAATTGGTGAGCATCACGGGGTAGGTGGAGGACCGATATTTCGGTTGTCCCATTGTGCATCCATATTTATTTAGTCTGTAGTCATCACTACAGGAGATTCCGTTACGCTGAACCTACGGAGGGGACAAGCCAGTGCCGAGTAATGCTGCCAAGATAAGGTTATTTCACATGCTCAAGGTTTTTGCTTTTTAACCAAAGGGGGCCGATTCTGTCGGCTAGGAATTGCTGCCTAGTACGCTACCCCATGTGACATGGGCCACGTGGACAGGACAACTCCCCCCCCCCCATATGATGATTATATTCAGATCTATTCTCATTTCTGAAAATATTATGAGGAGGAGGAGGAGGAGGATTTTCCGAAACCAAAAGATGAAAGACTCTACAGGAAGGGTGAAAATTCTCAAGAGGAGAATAGCATCTCGTACGATAAAGGAAAGGAAATGATGGCAATATTAATTGGAATTTTACCTATCAAGTGAGGCCCGCACGACAACATTCATTGTATGCCTGATCCACACGGTATGGTACGTACTATAATCGAGTTGGTGATAAATACAAGATAAACAAAACAGGCATCCCTAGCCTGTGGTCCCATTCATATAGCGTTGGAAGAATAAGACTGCATGAAAAATATCTGATCCTTGGATCTAAACTGATGGGGGAAAAGAAGGCTCATCAAAGTTCTTCAGTTTCAAAATTTCACCCTTTATAGTAGTACATGAAATATATGGCATGTAGATGTATAGCTTCAACTTGAGAAGTGCTACAAATCAAAAGAATTGATACAACAATTCAACTCCTGCACCATATCGTTGGGAGTTGACTACTGCAGAATTAAATAAAAGGCTACAACAAGAGCTGCCAAGTCATGTGAATAGCAACAACAACCACGCTAAATTTATAAATCCAAGCAATATCGAACTTCAGGTTTCTGTGAGTGAAGCTTCCCTTAATTATAGAAGCCTAAGGTGGGCTGTGTCATTGAGCCTTTTTATCTGCCAACCAGCTTTCAAAGAATGCTGCAACACAGTCACTGAAGAATCATCTATGCAGATTTTATGTGACATCAGAGGGCTGCATCCAAGAAGCCCTGTCAGGAGACACTTAATTGGCACCGAATGAGTGAAGACACCAATATGTGAAACAGGAGCCGAAAAGCTGCTGAAACTTGAATTATGCAAGGAAGTTTGGTGGTTCACTTCAATAGGAGAAATTTCATCTTCAATCTCATCTCCAGTAGTCGTCACAAACTGTAACCTGCTCTTACCAGATTTTTTCCTTGATAGTCCTGGCCGATGATGCCTGTGGAGTAAATCCCAGTGGGTCGGATGAAGAGGAGATCCATCTTGCTCGTGAACTGAGTTGTTCAAAGAATGGGAGCTGTGCTGTGCAAATGCCTGGCTTTCATTTTGATGGGAGGAGAGATCTAACCTCAGTTTTTCAGGCAGTCCCAGGATTCCATTTAAGAAGTGAATCATCCGGAATTCCACCTGTCTAAGTGATTCTCCAGACGGTGCAGTGAAATCTGGCTGGAACCTATCAATTAAGCTCAACATCTCAGGTGTATAGACGTCTGATCGAGAACATCCCTCCCAATTCCCTTGACTCATCTCTTCAAGAGCATCTGATGATTGAATCTGTTCCTCGGAAAAATTGATCTCCTGGCAACAGAAGTTTTATACAATGAGGTTTAAACCACTAAGTTTCGTAACATAATATTTACATTTCACATCAGCAATGCTTCATTCATCCAAGTGAAATTCCAAAGGCGAGTAAAGTTCAACACAAAATTATCACAAAAAATTAAACAAATTTAAAAACAAAAAAGTTCAGTACAAAACAATTATACGCACACTTCTTTCTCAATCAAAGCCGAACTTCATCGTTGCATGTGTCTTATAGCTAGAAGGTAACTAACACAATTCTTCAGTCCTATGTTCGACTCTAGAGTCAAATGAGAATTGCCCAAACTCCCAGCTCTTCACCACTGATTCAAGTCCATTAGCGTCCTAAATAATTTTGTTGAGGAACTTAGGACATCCCATGCCCTTAACTGCCTATCATTGAACACCAAAGATGTTAACTTTTCAAGGTTATGACAATTTCTGCATCAGTTAGTCTGCTTTGATTGTATGAAAAAATGACTTCAAGCAATCAATAGAAACAGTATAAACAGCGCTGTTTGCTGTGAGCCTGTGACATCTTTCATCATTTCTTTTCATTTTCCTCTCCAATTTCATAAACACGTCTGTTCCATCTCATACTTACCTGCTGATATTTCAACGTGAGAATAAGCACATCCATCTTCACTGCAACTGAAAATATCGAGTACGGTGTTGATAAGGGATTGTTTTTACTTGAGTGTTATAAGCAAGAAATAGGATATAAGCACCTCATCTATTTAAGTGCCTGTCCTGATGCTGAGTATCAGTTTTAAGTGCCTTTCCAACACAAGAAATGTTCTCTTAAAATCCTTCCACATCTTTCATCTCAGATTTATTTCATCACATCATCTCCAACACAGTTTTAAAGCGGTATATGAGTAATCTCAATTCACCATGAAAATAAGAGATGGAACAAAAAAATAGCAACAAGCTTCCCTATATCACTATTTCCTACTCTATCTTTCTCCCTTCACTGCTGAGTTGCTAGTAGGTGGAAGTTATAGCTGAGAAACCAAGACCCAAGAGTATATTTTTGCAAGAGAATTTATCAGCATTTCATATTCTAGTACAGTCTGTATGTAGAGTTGGCGGGGGGAAAAAAGCAGTCTATGTGAAGAAAAGTACGGTCTGACATATATTAGAGCCGAAAACCAACAAGCTATCACTAAGATATGCTATCGTCACTGATACAAACACTCAGATGGTTTTTATCCCGTTCATTTGAAAGATGTCTTGAGGAAGTGAAACATGCAGATGTTGTAAATAACATATATAATGGAAACTCAGATGATCAGCCCTGGATGACCACCGGCAAAGTTGCCATCTAGATCAACGATAAACCAACGATGATTTTCGATTATTTCTCCTTCCATATAAACTCGAGATTGTAAAACCAATGTCACTTCACCGCCTTCCGCTCCCATGTTTATGTTTTTCAGATCATCAATTCTTTACGAGTAGGCAATCAGGCGTAATATAACTAGAATTTTGTACAGTTCATTTCTAAGACCCCCCCCCCCGGGGCCCAAAAGAAAAAAAAAGATGCTTCAAAACATTTACTGAAATCAAACCAAGCATATGAAGATTGTTTAATGCGTACCTTGCAGACAGAGACTGCCGTTGACCGTGCCCGATCCAATGGTGAAGAGAACACAGCACTGAACCGAACACCCTGCGACTTCAAAAACACCGCCAAAGCCCTCGCCTGTCGCTTCCCATTGGGCGTTAACGCCGCCCCGGGGCACCTACCCCCCACCAAATCCGGCCTCAAATTCAATTCACACTCTCCATGGCTGATCAGATACACCTCCGTCACCGTCTGGTCATCATCAATTGCGTTCGCGGAGAAGCTCCTCGAGAACACTGGAGGCGGTGGCAGAGGCGGCGGCGGAGCCAAGACATTGTAAGGATCCCAGACCTTGATGGAGGGACCAAGACGAGGCGTTCCCAAGGAAGAAAGCTGCGGGGATAGTGGCGACGCTGATGCGCGGCACGGTAGCATCTCCGGTTCTTGCTCTAACACTTTCTTCAACAAATGATTATCCGATTCCAACCTATCCCTCTCGCCGTTGATGTTCCTCTCATCGTCGTCTTCTTCCTCTTCCTCGTCGCTCTCCTTGATTACTTGTGCGGACTGGTTCGAACCCATTGCAGCCGATTCAAAACTCGTGTCGAAACGATCCCGCCGATCCCGTCCAGATGCAAACTATATTATTCAGATTTGAAGCGCAGCGCATTGTACACACGCGTAGAGAATTCTTAGTCGGTCGAAAACCTTAACAAATCGAGAATGGACATGTTTGAAACTGAAAGTGGACTAATAGAGGGAGAGAGGTAAGATCTACGGAAAGCTGAAAAATCAGAAACGAAGATATTGGCACGGAGCTTTGAGGACTGGGGGGGGGGGGGAGCGGGATTTCGCCGCAAACTAGCACGGAGTGTGAATGGACTCGATGAAAAGCAGATATCGGCGTCTTTTCCTGTAGTGTTTTGTTGTGAATTTTCATTCAGTTAGACTCGGGATTGAACCCATCACTCAGTAAAGCTAAATCTACTAATCTGAAGTTGAAGCCGAAGACTAAGCCACCTCCGGGTCGAAAGAATTAACGTTTTAGTCTCAGATTTCAGATTTTTATCCTTCTTCGAAAGAAGGATCTTTCGGATAATGGGGGCCTTCAATTTATTCCTGCCAAAATTTACCTTCTTTTTCGTTTATATTTTTTTATTTTGTTTTTCTGATTGATGGGATAAACTCTCCCTCTCTCCCTATAAAAGGAAGCGATATCTTTTCTTTTCTTTTTTCTTTTTTTTTTTTACCAAGAAAGGAAGCGATATCTGCAATGAACAGGCGCCTATGCTTAATATGGGACTGCGTCACAATCAAATTCAAATCTTCAATGACAATGAGAAGATATTTTGCGTTTAATAAACAAAAGGAAAAATCACAAAAAAAGCGGCTAAAATTAAAAAATTATAAACAGGAACTTATTATAATATTAGTATAGATTATGATAACGAATATAATTTTTTAATTTTGACGGCTTTTTTTGTGATTTTTTGTAACAAAATGCATTACTTTATTTTTTTTAATTACTAACTACGGTTTCTTTTAATTTTATTTTCATTTAACAAAAATGTAGCTTCTCAGGCCTGAAAAAAGATTTAAAAGAAGCTGATGAGGTGGAAGGTGAGTGTAAAAAATATACTACCTCTGTTTCTTAATAGGAAAAGTGACATAAAAAAAGTTAGAAATTACAATATTTCAATTCAAGCACATGAGAGATCAAAATTCTAAAAAAAAAAAAAACAGATCCTAATTAGGTATTTTACAAATATAGTCAAACAATTAAAGTACCCTTGTACCAAATATTTTTAAAAAAAATTATCAAACTTGTTACTGTCGATGAATTTCTTGTTATTGGTTATTCAATACTTATTATTGTTAATTCACAACTTATTAATAAATAACTTGTTATTATTAGTATATTTTTTGTCATTTGCTATTTAACACTTATCATTACCAATTCAGATCTTGTTAATAAATTTTTTTCATACAAAAGCATTTTATCTTTTAACTACAATTACAAAATACCAAATTAAACATCACTTTCTACCATTGATTTTGACCTTTTCGATGTCTGAATTGGAATATTTTTATATTAAGACAATAATTTTGAAAAATCAACATATGTTTGTTATATTTAACTAACTTAATTAATTTTTTTAAATTAATTATCTAATTATTAAAGGGAGGGAAAATCCAGTGTCGATTGCGGAACAGCATAAAAAGCATACAGGTAAGTCCTGTCCAGTTACTCTGGAGTCCTGTTGTTACTTAATTGAAAAAAATGAATGAATAAGACGCATGTGTTTGGCTTAGACTGTCTTGTTGCCCGGATCAGGAGGGGCTGCTAAAATTGGGGTGTTCAGAGAAGTGGATAGTGGGGTCATAAGGAAAGAGTTAACTGTTCAGTAGTAGCAAGGGGCAGTAAAAAGAAGAACAACTATGGGCGCGTAAGGGTGTGTTTGATACAAGAGATTTAAGAGGGAGGGGAAGGATTTTAATCATTTCCCCTTATTTGGCAACACACAAATTTTAGGAGGGGAGGGAAAAAATTTTAAAATTTCCCCTCCCCTCCCCTCTTCAACCTCCCCTCCGAAATTGGGAGGATTTGGAGGGAAAGGATAATATTTTGTCATATTATGACCATTATGTCCATATTTTGTCATGTTGTGACCATTATGCCCACGCTTTAAATGAAATAAGAGCAAAATTGTCCATATTAAAATATTTTTCCCTCCCCTCCTCTCTTTTTTTATAAATCCAAACAAGATAATATTAAAATCCTTCCACTCCCCTCCCCTCCCCTTCCCTCCATTAAAATCCCTCCCCTCTCCTTCCTCTCATTGAGCCAAACATACCCTAAGGCGCGAGAGATCCCGAGGCAGATAACAGGGCGGGTGCAGGTAAAATGCATCGATCAGTCCTCTTTATCCCATGATGACGCGACCAACTTACATGTAACTAACAAGAATATTTTAAAAAATAATAACACTTATTTATTATTATAAATAATTAATCTAACTAATATTGTTAGGGAGAATCCCATTTAAATCTAGTTGAAATACCAAAATTCAAAATCAGGCCTATATTTTGAACAAATTCCTAATCAGGATTAAAGGCCCAATTAGGAATTTAGAAATGTTCTTAAAAGTCAAAAACGCCCCTCTATAATTGAAATGAGTTGTTACCTTTATATTTTTTTGAGTATTTTTTTCCTCTTTTTTTGGTTGACTTTATATTTTTCTCTCTCATAAATTCTTTGTCTACCTCACAAATTCTTTTCTTGAAATACAAAAACAGTAAATCTTTAGTAAATGATAGGAAATTACAATACAATCATTGATTCATATTAATAATTACTCCAGCACTCTAATCAATCTAACAGTGTTGGTCAGTGCTAGATTTTAATTTTCAATGGGTTTGATTTTTGCTCAATTTTAAAATTGATCCATCCTCCATATACTTAATAATATACACACACGTGTACACTTGGAAAATTGGTAAAATAGTGTAGACGGAGGATCATAATGTATAATTAATTTGTTCTGAAATAGTCAAAGGAAAAGGCATACGATAGTCATGAATAAATAGGAAACTATTTGAAAAGCCCTTGCATTAAGGATTACGGACCATTTGATCCCTTATTTAGACCAGCACCTTTTACAGGTTGATTAGGGTGTCGGAGTAATTATTAATTTGAATTGAGAACAGTGTTATAATTTCATGTCATCTACTATGGATCGAGAACTTTCGTATTTTAGGAAAACGACCTGTGGAGGAGAAAAATATAGAACTAACAACTCATTTTAATTATAGAGGGGCATTTTAGACTTTAAACAACATTCATAAATCCTAATCAGGCCTCTTTGCCTCATTAGGAATTTGTACAAAGTGAAGACCTAATTTTGAATTTTAGTGTTTTAACTGGATTTAATTAGGATTATCCCATATTTTTAATATTCATAAATTAGTTATTAAATTTTTATATTTAAAAAATATTTGGATGGATTTTTTAAAAATATCGTCTCAATTTATATTATGAGAGCATTTTTTCTAATTCATTCCAGTGTTTTCCGACGAATAGGAGGCGGTACTACACTACGAATATCACTCTTTAGAACACTCATAATTTTTTCATGAATCGGAACAAAGTATCGTAAAATCATACCTTCTAAAATTTACAAAGTTGACGCGTCAACATCACCACACCGGAATTTATGCTCCGTTTGTTCCTGGTAGAGTCGCCTGCATACACTTACTGGGCTTGTAGTGGTCCATAAAATTGTATTTTATGCTTTTTTATTAAAAAAATTACAGTATATGTATAAAATTTAAATATTCTTATTTTTTAAAATTATATATAAATATTTTATAAATTTTAATTTAATTAATTTTTATTATTTTAACCGTAATTGAGCTGACTCCGATTAATTCATATTTCAATTTTCAATTTCCAATGCTCCATTATGAAATAGATGGAGTATTTACAAGGTTGAAGGAATCAAAAGGGTCAAAACACAGAGTTGTTTGAAGGGAGATTATAAAAGGTGAAAGCCGGAATCCATTGTATATGTTCCAGAGAAAGGTCTCCATGCAGGGGGGAAAAAATAGCGCCTGTTAAGAAAAGCATATTCCATAATTCATACGATTTGATACAAATTAAATTAAAATTTTTATTCTTATTAAAAAAATATAAATGGTGTGATGCCTATTAATAAAACATTCCTATGAAACTCTAAGAAAATGAATTTTGGGGGAGAGAGGAGTTTTGTGAATGCAAAGGCCGAAACAAAAGAATAAAAGCCAGAAAAGGGACTAATGAGTGCATGGAAACATAGGAGGGCTGAGATCGGGAGTGGATGGGCCAGGAGCAGCTGTCTCATTTGCGGCCTGCGAAAAATGTTGGCCCCCTTCAACACGCCCATGATGTACGCTTAAGGACGGTTGAAAAAGCCCAAATCTTGAAAGGTAGACGTCTCCCTGCGAAGCCATTCTTACCTGCCAGCCCACACGTCTGCCTCAACCTACTTACGAGTAAGACGCAGCCATTTGTTTTCTTTTTAATTAGTTCTTGACAATTACATCTTTTCAGAAGCCATCCCTTGCGCTGTTCCTCCATTCCTCGCCCAAGCACTCGCTAACAATTTCATGTAAATTTAAAAAATCTAGTGAGAACTAGTTAATATTTTTCAACTTTATTACATACTATTTCTGGTGCGTCGAATTGATGATAATTAGTGGGTTAGGGAGTTGTTTAATTGGTTAAAAAATATTGAAATAAAAGGCATCGAAAAGAAAATTGATGAAGACCATGAGAACAAGGGTTCATGACAAAGATAAGGATTGAGAATGGTCACTTGCGTAAAGAATTTTATCAGTCAAAAGGACCTAGTGCAGGTGCAACTCGAGTTCAATTGAAACAGTATGTTTAGAAAGTCTTCAAAATGAAAGTCATCTGTACATAACTCGTTCAGTTTTTTTTTTGGGGCCAAATAAAATCTTCAAACAGGCACTTTAAGCCACTTTTTCCAAAAGAGTTTTACTGTACTGCAAACTCATCATCATCCCTCTCATTCATGACACTGCCTGTCTCCATCGCTCTATTTTTTTCCCCATACACTCAAATACTCGTCCTCTTCTGCCCTCAAGAGATTTGACCAGAGTCAACATATCTAAATATGCAGTGGTGTCGGATATACATTAAAAAAGGGACGTAAAAGTGAATTTAGAATAATAATAATTAATGTATGAGCATACATCGTGTTTGCAGAAAGAGATCCCAGGAAACATGTTGAATGCCCTCTAACACAAAAACAAAAAGAGGAGGGGGTTGGACCTTTACTTTGCAGCAAAGAGTAGTATGATTGAGGGCACTATACATACGATCCCCTCCTTTTCCTGCTTTAATAATTCAAAAACCCTCCAGCATTGTTAGTTACGCAGGAATTAATTAATATGAGTTGGTACGAAAAGGAGGCGACAGGCAATGCTGCACAGTTCCAGTGTTGTTTGCTGGCCTTTCACTCGCTTGTCTAGCGTCTGTCTTCTTCTCCTGCATAAGATGACAACATTTTTATTCTATTCAAATTATTAACATGTTCATCCCATATTATGCCTCTCTGCTGCTGCCTAACCTCCTTCCTTCGTTTTGTCTTCTTCTTATCCTTCTAATCAAGCCACACTATCATCGTTTTTTTTCCCAGCCACTACGTGCTGCTATTTCCGATCCTTAATATAAGAGTTTGTTTGATTTTTATTTTGATCATAAATATAAGATCTCAATCCATATTATCTCTCATATTTATGTAATTTTTTTAAAGTAGTCCCTGTAATAATAATGGTAGTTATAGCCTAATAGGCTTGATTAGAAAGGATATTTTAGAAAATATAGTATTTATTTATTACAAATAACTAACTTAACTAGTTTTCTTAATCTACTCAAATTAATCAACTAGCTATTATATTAAAAACTAGATATAACAATTAACAAAGTGAAGTTGTCGCTTGGACGCCCAATTAGTTTTTGATCAGTGCTTTTCAAAGGAGGATGCTATATAATTTTATAAATTGAATCTATCGTTTTCATCATTATTTCAGGGACATGGGACGTAAAAGTGAGGATTTAGAGTCATGGAAAGAAGGCATAACTCAAGGCCTCAAGGGTATGCATGTATACATGTCTGCAACATTTATCTGCATATAGTGCAGCCGGCTGGCAACAAATCATGGAATGGAATTAAGTCAGAGAAATTAATATAAAAAGAAGCCAGCAAGCATCTATTTTTAGCCGGATCATTTTAATCAAGACTCATAGACAAATGGTCTTCTTCCCCCCCCCCCCCCAAAACAACAACTCGCGTACTTAAAAGCGTATTTAATATCATATAAGCTAACAAATACTCTTTACTAATCTTTATTAACGAGTTTAGAAAGTTCCTTTCAGTGATAAATGTAATATCAAACTTAATTTATTTTATTTCTTATGCTTATTTTTAAATTATTTTATCTCATTTATAAATTAATATATAATTTAAGGTTGCATAGCGGTATTTTAGAGATATTGTGTTGCATTTGTTAAAATTAAGTGATTTATTTAACTTTATTAATTTGTTTAGATTAATTAAGTAACTCTGAGAATTAGAGGAGTGATATCTTTCCCGTATAGTATGAATACAGTCATCTAATCCCAAATAGAGGATTCATTTGATATATAGTATAAATCACACTAAAAATAAGTCTTATATTTTGAACCAAACGAGTATAATATAACTTTGCGGGTCGAGACGGTTGACAGATAACATAATTAAGAGGAGCTGGATTGTATTGAAAAAGAGAATAAGATATACAAAGCGGGAAGGCAGCATAGTCTTTTTAGAAAGGTTTGGTGCAAGCATTTCATATTATTATTAATTTATATTGCGTGGTCGGTCCAGTACGATCTCTTTTCCATCAGAATCCATATCTTACCTGTGATATTCTCGTTGAATTGCATGCGCTTTCATGATTCAAATTACAATCTTTTTGTTCTTAATTCGGAGCATATATTATTAATATATCATTAATTATTTTCCATGTGTTCCTCCGTTTTGCCACCACATATATTCCAATATATTCCCGGCTCCAGGAATTGATGATCAGACAGATTAATTTGCGCATATTGGACTTTCTCACCTGATACTAAATGATAGGATAATAAAGTTGACGAAAAATAGCAAGTGAAGGGAAATCGATCCGCAATAATCAGCGTGAAATTAAGTCGAAGCAAATTGCGGTAATTTATTAAATATTACTTTATTTGGTTTTAAATATAAAACTTATCTTTTAGTGCAATTTATACTATACAATAAATTTTATATTTAGAATATTAGTTTAAAGGACAAGCACCAATGAGGTGCCATGTCAGAAATTGACGCCAGAAATGATAAGTTAATTAGCAAGCCACCCTTCACGCACCAAAGTCATCCTCCATCTAATTAACGAAAATAAATCCTGTGATTGTAATTTATCTTCACGATCAGAATAGATAAGAAACCAATTGTATATGAAATAAAACAATACATATAAAGCAAAACCACGAAATTCATTTATAGTATCAGCTTTAATGCAAAATTTCTATAATATATTTTTTTACCTGCAATTTTTTTATAGTATGGAGTATAATTCCATGATTGCTATAAATCGAATAATTTATTTTTTTAACCACATTTTATTCTTTTCAACTAACCCCATATCTCATTCATTAGTAAACAATAATTCGACTCCATCCTTCTATATTTTTTTCCCAAAACAATAAATACCTTGATTATTCACGCACACCACTGATGAACTGATGGCCACAATTGCAGGTTCGAGTTCATTTTCAAGATATTTTCTACGCTCAGTGATGCCATGTAATTTATTAATTCCTCTCAATTATAAGATTAATAATCACATCATCTTTCCTTTTATTCATTTTTTTTTTTTCCAATTATTGACAATGGACTGTGGTATAAACAGCTCTTCTACGCATATTTTTATTCCTCCAACGTCAAGTTCCTCATACGCATCATTAAATAGGACAGATCACAAAGAGCCAGCCATGTTCTTGCTCATCTCTCTCTCTACCTCCTCTCTCTCTGCATGAAAATGCGGGTCCAGTATTACAATATATACAACACAAAACAATAAGGTTTCCTCGCTCCTTCCATAAAAACCTTCACTACTGTCTCCGTCCTCAAAAGTTCAAACCTCACCCGATAATCTGAGATCTATCCCTTTGTCTTCAACGCCGGCATGTTCAGAACATTATCAGGGTTCGTTCGTCGTTCCTTTTTAACTCGTTACTTTACAGACCATTTTTAGCTCCCCATAGTTGTGTTCCTTCATGATTTTTACTATAAGTATGGTATATATATTGATATGAAAATCAAAGGTCTGTTATATTCTTCTGCTCTTATTTCCCAGCAGGGAGTTCAAATTCACGAGCTTCATCAGTGATGCGCTGAAAAAGAAAAGCAGATTCTATGCAACGGTTGGTGGAAGAAGGTGAGTCTCATTAACTAGCTACCCATAATTCACTGGTGAATAATTGAATACGACGATCAGGATTCAGTATAGTACCCGTGTATTTATTTCTCTTATAAGTTAGCTTTTTCACAAAAACTATGACTAGTATGTCTCTCCAAACTATTCATCTAATTAACCTGCTTGTCCTTCCTGCCAGATGGGGGAGGGCCGGGGACAGCTTGTCCCTTGAAATGATTTTTTCCGCCCCCCCGGGTGTTCTGAAGTGTTGAGGCTTTAACCTATATAATCTCTCTCTCTCTCTCTATATATATATATCTATATATATATTTATCCATATATCACTTGCCTGGAAGAAATTTCATATGCTTCCGTAGGGTTCGAGAGAAAGAATTAAGATTATTTCAGTTTTTCGGGTATTTTTCTCTGGGGAATGGATTGTGTTTCGTTGATGAGTCATTCTCCTCTATTAGGAAAAAGAAGAGCAAATCTCTATGATCACTTGCAACTTGCAAGTGCCAAAGCCATATCTCGCTATTAATTTGTCAGCTTTAATTTATTTTAGGGGGGAAAAAGATAAAGAAAGCAAGAATTAAGGCTGTTCCGTTTTTCTCGTGCTTTTTTCTGGGAATGGATGGTATTCTTCGTTTCAGGTCATTTCTCTCCATGGAAAGAAGAGATACTTTTCACGCTAATGCGATCCTTTGCAGATCACTTCTAACTGCTGACCCCACTTCTTGCCATTTTAATTAACTTTTAAAATCATGAATATGACTGCATATTGTAAAACCTAAAACCACACACACAAATTTTGTTGTCATTTTCAAACGTGATAGATAACAGCGAGCTAGGAATCATTTGGCTTGAAATAATTTAACTCTGTCTGCCGTCACTCTCCTTACTGCTTGTATGTCTGTTTGTCATAGGAGCTACATTATTGACACATATATGTACTAAAATTATAGCACATTTTATTCATTTACAAAATAAGTAGAAGCTAATAATATTGTTTGGCTATATATTTAAATGTTTTATATTGACTGGTATTGATGATTAATACTGCTGTCGACGAGGACCCGTGAAATAGTGAAACCTTGGTTTACTCGTATGGGCGTTGGCAAACGAAAACTAACTGTAGAGTAAATAACAAGTCATTTTAAGATTCTAGTGAAAACCTGTAAGGGATTTCAGTGAAGCACATGTAGGCGCAAATCATGATACCTGCCCTCAAATTTGCATGTTCTCTTGCCGTAGATCTAGTGAACACCACCTTCTTCTTCTGTTTATTTTATTTGTCAGCTAAATGTGCCAATAACATATTTGATGTTCATAGATTTCCCAACTGACAATATAGAACTATAACATTATTGGAGCAAAACACTAATGGTGGGGGAAAGTCAGTAAGACTCGCAATTTTCAGGCCACATATGTATAAAAACCCAACCCCTTCTGAGCTGTCCATGTGGGTATGTCACCACATATATATTCAAAATTTAGCATTTTTCAACTTCCCGAATGATAATCAGTCTTTGAAAGTTAGAACGTATAGGTAAAGATCATCTCTCTTTGTCTTTTCTTTTTCTTTTGTGTTCTTTTTCAAAGTCACACAAGAAGGGCAATCTTAATCAATCTTTGTTGGAGGAAACTAGGGTCCACGACATCATCTTCCAACTTTGCCAAAAAGAAACTATACTTTTGTGATTTAGACAATTGAGATAAAGCCGATAGTGTCATTTTCAAAGAAGTCATCATGAATAGTCCACCGTTTTCTTCATGCCCATTTCAAACCAGTGATTTCGTTTGGCATTATATATTTCCTTCTGTCCTCACTAAAATGATAGGGAACAACGTGATCATCTCCTCTCCAAAATGCAGGCTTGAGGGAAAAGTGGCTGTCATAACTGGGTCCGCAAGTGGGCTTGGCAAGGCTTCGGCCCATGAATTTATCCAACATGGGGCCCAAGTCATAATTGCCGATAAAGACACTCTTATTGGGCCACAAGTTGCCAAAGAATTAGGCCCATCAGCCCAATTTGTGGAGTGCGACGTTACCAGTGAGGCCCAAGTTGCTGAAGCTGTAAACGCTGCCGTAGACCGCCACGGAAAACTCGACATAATGTACAACAATGCCGGAATAACAGGCCCAACATTCCCGTACAGCATCGCTGAACTGAACCTCGATGACTTTGACCACGTCATGCGGATCAACCTCCGAGGCACAATCGCAGGTATAAAGCATGCGGCTCGGGTCATGGTACCCACGGGCTCAGGATCCATTCTGTGTACATCAAGCATAAGTGGGATTTTGGGCGGGCTCGGGCCTTACCCATACTCAGTTTCCAAATTTACGGTACAGGGGATAGTGAAGTTTGCGGCCAGTGAGCTGTGTCGATCTGGGATCAGAATTAATTGCATATCTCCGGCTCCAATTCCTACACCGATGGCGTTGGAGCAGATAGGTCAGCTTTACCCGGGTTTGACCCGAGAGCAGGTAACCGAGATTGTGAATGGGCTCGGCGAGCTACAAGGTGCGAAGTGTGAAGAAATAGATGTGGCCCGGGCCGCCTTGTACTTGGCCTCCGATGATGCAAAATACATCACAGGGCAAAACCTTGTGGTAGATGGAGGGTTTACCAGCTTTAAAAATCTTAAGTTCCCTTCGCCTGATCAACTGGCCTAGTTCCTATAGCTTATTTGTGTTATGTAGTGTCAAATATTGTTGATCTGTGAATTCACTGTGAGCAATTTCTTGATTTTCTGTTTCATTGTCTCTATTTTGCACCTATAGTCTTGATATTCGCACACAGCAGGTACCTATTTTGCTTTTCGCTATTGAAAGGCAAAACATTAATGATGTAAAGTCAAAAGGACATAACGCGATCCAATACTGAATCTTATGTGGTATATGTGAAGCTGACAGAGATATGGATGAGCCATAGACATGGTTCTGCAAAATACAGGTCTGGAGTGGACCAAGGCACTGACACAGGGAGACAAAAACAAGCTGGAGCTGGCCTGCCATTTCTTTTCCCTGGGCATGCGTGTTTTTTAATTCATAAAAAGGGTTGACATCAGGCCGCATGTGGAAGCAAACTATTTATGAACCTTCCCACCCAGCATCGGAAATCTTACATGGCTAACTTGCTTGTTCAAGAGAGCCTTCAAGCCTCTCTCTATCAATGCCACTTACATAGTACACGCCGAAATTGTGGGGAGCTCTTTTTCATTATCGTCTTCTTTGCCGCACTATTTGCTTCTCCTGTATAAAAGAGCATCAGTAATATATGGAACAGAATGGGGCTGAGGAGCACAGTTCCACCGTTAAAGGCTTTCATAGAAATCTCCAAAATTGGAGCGAGAAGGCCACGGCTTCAATGATACATTACTGGGCCATGAAACTATTAATGCTCTCTTGTCCCATTGTTTCGTCTGGATTCGATCCCCCTCTTAATGATGTGACGTGGAATGGTCACCCTTTTTTGTTTTCGACTCGAAATTCATCTGTGTGGAGTATTGAGCATGGACCATGTCAATGTGCCTCTATTCAAAAAAAAGCATCATCAAGTTTCGATAACTAATCAGGCATGGGCATATCCGTCGATTAATAATCAATATCAAACCTTCACCTCTTTAATTTTGTATGGAGCAACGAACTCATTCCAAATTCTGCGAATACACACTTAAATAAATTGATGGGAATAAGAGGAGGAATAATAGATAAGTCTATTTTTAGTTCTACTTCTGCTGAGCTCTTACTCTTCTGATGATCTCAGCTGAGAATATGAATTGATTCTGAGCTGGAGAAACAATTACCTAGGGACCCATCTGGATTTAGTCGAACTCTTCTTCTCCATTAGTTTGCATGTGTGCCACGTGTGATGTTTAAGATGTCTACTGTGCTGTCACGTTGCAGCGATTAAACAATGGCTGATCTTAGGTTACTCATTTTGGGAGTTACAGAACAAGATGGGACCAGAAATTGATGTCGGGTTAATTTTCCTCAATGTCTGCGTTTTTCTGCCTGAAACCCCTATCAGCAAATTTGATGCTCAGAGGGCGACAGTTTTTTTTTTTTTTGACGGTAGAGGGCGACAGTTACCAGTTTGAGGAGGTCAGTTAAAAAAAATTCGGTCCGTTGTCATGAACCCAACCATAGTGTCGTTATCTCGGGTTGGATGAACATATGAAAGTCCTCGTAGGCACCACAGAAGAGACCTCAAATGCAACAACATATGGCCTCTTCTCTAAAGCATTTGTTATTTTCAATTTTATATGCTGGGTCAGCGGCCACGTTAATTATGGAGAGTTTTACGAAAAGCAAAAAGTTTGCTCACTGTACTTGTGGCCATTGTGCTGGGTTATTTTTGTTGTGAGATCAGAGAAGGGCAAGTGGAAGGAGGGAAGAACGAGAGGGAACTGGGAATAAGAGAGTTAAATTTGATTGGGGAGTAGGTGAGGTGAGAAGAAAACCAAGAGAACAGTTTCAAAAAACAATAAACAAGGTCACGAGAACCTTGGAATTTCTCAACTCACATAGAAGAATTTACTCCAAAGGCTTGGAATTTGAAGTTCAGCGTTTGGTTTTGATTTTTGATTTATTCGGAATGTGGAACACGAAGAGGGTAAAAAAAGGAACCAACCATATACTTGCATATTTAAGACGCGAGAGAGAACAAGGAGAAAACCAAATTGGCTTCTGGGGGTGAAAAAAATTTCAACCCTAATCGCTTTCTGGTCCCCCGAGGGTTTATTCTGCTTCTCTCTCATGAATAATTGGATACAGGAGAGGCATGTCAGAGATGCTTCAAAAAGGTCTTTAATCAAACCAGAAATTAGAAGGACAAAGCATGGAACAAGCCTGTGATCTCATTGAAGGCCGGGGATGCCTTTAGATTCTTCGTCATCTTTACCATAACCAGTTAAAGTTGGCCCAACACATGACGCCCCCATTGTCCATATCTGGTCGCTAATTTTGAAGAATAATCAATTTAAAATGGAATATTTACTCCTCTGCCTCACCAAATCAACTATCATTCTTGTCATTTAGTTTCGGTCGCCCACCTTTCCCAGCCCCCCCCCTTTTTTTTGGCCAAACTTCCCAGCCCCTTTTTAATAACTCCTTTTTGGCATATCATATACTTCATGCCCTCACAAAACGTGCACTCCATTTCCAATTTTGATTTAAATCTTAGTTTGAACAAAATATTATTAGTCTGATCCTCCGTTTTAAATCTTAGTTTGAACAGATTATCATAAGCTCGATCCTCCGTTTCTGCTATATTAATTATGGCATGTAAATATCATAATTTTTGTTTTTAAGTCCTACTAATTTTTGTCCAAAAAAAAATTAAAGAGGGGAGGCAACTGCCAAGAAGCAAATAGACTACATACTCTCTATCTCTTCGCATTAATAGATACTAGTATAGCCATTTGTATTAACTTTTTTGACATCGAATTACCTGCAATTAAGAAAAAATCTGCCTTTCACTAAAATTCTCCATTTTTTGGCCAAAAATCTTTCACTAAAATTCAATTCAACATATAATAACTTGTTGTTATTTTTTTGCCAGCATAGTAATTTGTTATTATAATTCATTAGACAACAAAATAACCGGACATATTTTACTTATATAAATTTAATTAGTGTACATATGTTTTGATACTCATGATCTATTTTTCGCCAGAGAATATTAATAATCAATAGTAAAATTAATATATTTTTCCATTTATTACCATATAATACACCGTTCACAGAGCTTGAGGCAAATAAATCATATACAACACGTATATGTTAAGTATTTCTATTGGTAAAGTCCAGTACATATTGATATTGGTAAAGCAAACAGCAGCCGTTCATTTTCATCGCATAGCGCTCAAACTCGAACATCCTTCCCCTCCATCTTTCTACAAATGCTCCTCATCTCTAACCACCTTACTTGTCGAAACACACCCGCTCTTTCTGCTCTCCTCTGTCTCGCGCTCTGACGCAATGGAGGGAGAGATGCCACCCATAACTAACGTCGTACCTTGGATGGAAGGAAAAGTTGAACATGAAGAAGCCTCTTGGACCAGAACTAACAACGACGGTGAGCTCAAGGACGACGACATTGTGTTGGGTGGCCCTCTAACCTCTTTCAAATCCATGCTCGAAGGTGACTGGTACATGAACTCTGCTATCAATTTAGCTCACCAAGACCTCCTCGGTCTCCCGAATCCCCAAGAAACCACTGATATCGTCTTTTGTTCAAACCCGGCTGATAGTTTTCTAGTACAGCCAGTGGATTCGTCGTCTTCCTGCTCACCATCATTTACTCTTGACCCATCTCAGTCACAGCACTTGTTACAGCCCAAAACTTCTTTCCCTTCCCTCCTCAATGTCATTTGCGACAACCCTTTTGACAGTGGCTTCGATTTGAGCTCCGACGGTGGGTTCCTTGGTCCCCTCAGGGGAATTCATTCTTCGAATTCCCCTGTTGTGACGGATTTCTCGGGCTTGAATACTCAATCCCAGATGGGCAACCTGGAACTGAGTTCAAACTCTGAGTTTCTAGCTACTCGGCTGCTGCCAGCAGCTGACAATGCCGTCTCGTTAGGTGGCGGATTTTGTCCGGCAGGTTTCGGAGGGTTTGATAATCCGGGTGCTCTGTTGTTGAATCGTTCCAAGGTTTTGCGACCTCTTGAAGTTTCCCCTCCGGTGGGTGCGGCACCTACTCTGTTTCAGAAGCGAGCAGCACTCCGCAATACTTCCCTTGGAACTGATAGACTGGAAACTTTGGATATTTCAGCGTCGAGATTCGAAAACTGTTCTACAAGGTTGGAGAACATGGAGAGGAAGAGAAAGGGAGTCGAAGACAGCGAAATCGAGGAAGCTTCCATCGACGCATCAGGGCCGAACTATGATTCTGATGAGCTTAATGAGAATGGTAAGATGGGTGAGAATGCTTATAATGTGGCGAGCAATTCTAATGCCAATAGTTCTGTCACTGGTGGAGACCAGAAGGGGAAGAAAAGGGGGCAACCAGCGAAAAATCTGATGGCTGAGAGGCGGCGAAGAAAGAAACTAAATGATAGGTTGTACATGCTGAGGTCAGTTGTGCCGAAGATTAGCAAGGTATGTGTATTGGTTTTGAACCATTTTGCTTAGGCTTATCAATTATCACTACTAGGGTATACGTCCTTCCGGTTGTATCAAAAACTACCAAGGGTATACAAAAAACGTTTGGTGTAAACTTTGCCATTTTATAGGCCTTGAATGATTTTAATTTTTAAGGGCTGCGGAGAACTATGCGTTTAATTGTTTAACATTGGAGTACAACTCCTGCGTCCTTTTTTTGGTAGAAAGTTGACGTAAGTTAGTTTGTTCCAATGGTAGATCCTATAATGAGAAATGATATACCATCTCTCGTGTTTGAGGAACTTGATATGTTATGCTCATGACAAGTCTTAAGACTCTGAAATTTAATTTATGTTGTTGTGGCTATAGTCATCGGCTAGGTTCTTAATATAAACACCTCACTCACTATGTACTAATCTTCTTTTATTTGCTTACAGATGGATAGGGCTTCGATACTTGGGGACGCGATTGACTACCTGAAGGAGCTGCTGCAGCGGATTAACGATCTTCATAACGAGCTGGAGTCAACTCCACCTGGCTCATTGCCACCACCTTCTACAAGCTTTCACCCTTTGACGCCCACTCCACCAACACTTCCCTGTCGGGTCAAGGAAGAGCTTTGCCCTAGCTCCTTGTCAAGCCCTAAAAACCAAGCTGCAAAGGTAATCTTTGCTCATTCTGAAGCAAAATTGTTCATCTTGGGTTAAATTATTGTAGTTTATTGCCTACAGACAAAGTTAATGGCTGTCACAGTTGAAATTGCCTTAATAAATGTGTAAAGTTTATAGTGTGTGCAAAATTGGCCAGTGTCTAGGATATTGAATTTATGCATGTGATCCTTGTTGCTTTTTAAGTTGCATAGCCGAGATTATTGAATTGCATGCTCTGAATATTCTGTGAATGTGGCCTGTTGACCAATTTTATTATAGGATTGACATAACAGCTTACCATGTTTTATCTGTTTCATAATTAAGACAGATGTCAATGACATTATCTGTTTCATAATTAAGACAGGTATCAATGACATTATCTGTTTCATAATTAAGACAGGTATCAATGACATTAACTATGTACTTCATATAGCATTTGGCTTATAGTTCCTGTGGATCCTTTTTGGCCAAGCTATGACATGCATTTGACATGTGAATGTGTGATAGACATAGTTGAGTTCGCTTTGACGTTGATCTTTTTTCATTTTGTTTTAGTTCTTTATCATTTTCAAACATTCAGTTATAAATTTCGGTCCTGTTGTTTTACTTCCATGAAATCTCAATTTACTATCTTTGAATGAAAACGAAACCACAACATAAATAGTGATGCCATCA